ACCAAAGCTCCTGCTCTTCCTGCCACCGGTATGGTGATTCTTTGGGACTTCGAACTTTGCATAAACACTTGGCGACCCTTCTTGCAAACTTTCTTGGATAGTTTTCGGAAAAGCTGGAACGATTCATGGTTTTTCCATTGACGTGGCATGATCCCTCAATCTGTTGATGTTCATGTTTTCCCGAACATTTCAAACCGCACATGTCATGGAAAAGGCTCTTTGACGACGTCATGATTGTAAGGGCTTTCCGCATATGCAACTTGGTGTCAGGATCGATCAAATCACCTGCCGTGCACAAGTCGATCTCCAGGGCAATCAAATGCTGACGGACCTCCTGTAAATATGGCAACCTCAACATTTGGGAGTTTTGTGGTTGTTCCCAATGAAAGTGGTTCCCCTGACTACGTTGATATCTCAGGAGTACAATTCCCAAAGCAATTTGATCAAGGTGTTGTAACCGGCTTTGTTGAAGAGCATCCCATGATTGGATCGACCTACTTCCATTAAGATTTGACCAACCACTCCATGGACCGCATTTTGGGCTAAACCATACATGCTTTGGGCGGTGCTTGATCAACACTTCAAATAACCGGTTGCGACCCTCTTCTGTTTGAAGATCCCCTTCAGCAAGGCCAAATCTGACGGCTCGATATCCCAGTTGCTGGCACTGATGGGTCAGTTGGCTTTGTGGTCCACAAAACACTTCTAAGACATCGATTCTGGAACCGGAACATTCAACCCTTCTTTGACAAGTTTCAAGTTCATGGGAAATGAGATCAACAAACTTTTGAAACTGTTTTCTTTCTACATTGGATTCATGTGTCAACTTTTCCGGGGATGTCCCTGACTCATCGATGTCTCCGGCATGGAGACCATAGGCCCAGCATGGGCAGGCATCTACTGAGATTCCACCTGGTGCTCCAAATGAGCAAGGATGCGGCTCAGAACAGCTTCCATTTGATCCACACGGTTCTCGAGGGGCTGCATGTTCTCCGTGAGTGCCACACTCTGGGCATCCATCTCGGCTTCCGGCAGAAACTCGAAGTGATCTTCTTCCTCCTCCATCTCGGGAATTGGAGTCTCCGCAGGCATTTGTGACTTGCGGCAGGCCACCTTGGCCATCATCTTGGGCTTCCGTTGGCTCATCTTCGGTCCGGCATGCTGTGGAATCCCTTCCCCCGTGAGTTCCGCTTGCTCGATCTTCAACTGAATGAAGTGGATCACCTTCTAGTGATTCTCCTTGCCTGACTTCTCGTAATGGCTCACGAACCATCCGATCCAGTCCTGGTGACGATTCCACATCTCCAGATAGGTTTTGCCCCGATGGGCTTGTCCGAAGTCGATGGTCGACTCTTCGAGATCCTTCATGCTGAGGTGGTCGAAGTTGTACTTCTCGGGAGCACTGGGAATCTGGAGAGCTTTCAACCGATCGCTGAGGCTCATGGCGATCACGCTTGGGCACTTCGAAACTCTGGGCAAAACGGGTGTGCTTTGAGCTTCTGGGATCTGCCGGATGCAGCGCTTCTGTACAGTTCTTTTCACTTTCGATCATTTGGTCAAGGCTTTGATCATGGGCTTGGCATGAATTTGACTGGGTTATGTTAACTGGTGTGAACTTGTTGGCATCATTTGAAGTTATTTTGGTTAAATTATCACGTGGAGACCTGTTGCGTGAACTTTGGGATGGCATTGTCCTGTTGTTGGCACACTGATCATGGATGGTTGACTCTGCAGCAGTCGATGCAACAGCGGCAGCAGGCTCTGTACACTCTTTTGGCATGGTTGATACCTGATGTGTCTCGGCTACTTGTGTGGACCCGGTCGCGTCCATCAGGTCATTGAGGTCCAAAAGAAACAAACCCTTCTCAGTGAGCTGAATTGGTATGGTCTTGGAGATCTTGGTAGCATGAATGACTTGCTGACTTGTATCAATCACTGCACCAATCGCTCTCAAAAGGGTGTTTGACAAAAGGAAAGGAGTAGATCCGGGTACTACGGCCACCTTAAGCAACAGACCATGAATTGGAATCACTAGGGCTTGTTCACTTTGTAAGACCCCTTGGTTACCAAACCGGAAAGTCAACTTACATGGACATCGGCGTACAGTTTGACGTGCTTCAGGACTTAAACCCTTGAGTAACCCTGGCACAAGCTGACTTCCTATGACTGTTTTAGTGGCACCCAAATCGACTACTCCCAGGCTGCTGTGTGTTGCAAACAAGGTCATATGATCCTCACTCTCAGTGTCACCAAAGCTTCGATCTCTGGGCTCTTGGACGGACATGCGATTCGATCTCAGCTCATTCCTGATGCCGTGAAAACGGTTGACTCGCATGCATGATTGTTGCCATGAAGACAGTGATCTTTTCAGCCTATCTTTGGAGGATTCATGATATGTTTCAACATGCGAACACGTAAAACACATGCTATCATGAAATTGAGGCTCATCCATCGTGCTCTCCAATGTCGGCACTTGTAGGAACTCTAACGGCAGACTGTCTTGACCACCTTGAACCTGGACAAAGGACGTGGGAGCTTGAGGTCGGCTGGCACCGGATGCATCAGTTCTGTTGGGGCATTCGGCACGCCAGTGGCCGATCTTTCCGCAAAGCCTACATGCTGAGGTCAAAATCCTCTGCTGCAAAGACTTTCTGTTGGACTGATGTCCCTTTTGGAACTTTCCTTTGACCCCTTTGTAGGACCCCTTATGTTTCCCTTTTGACAACGGCCAGAAACCACGGGACTTCACTTTGTCGCTGAGACGCTTTCGGGCCTCGGTATAGGCATTGAATGCCGAGGCAAGATCCTCATCCTGTTGGATGACATCGGCTGCAGCATTTTCGAAGTCCGCTATGAGTATGGCGTCCTCGTCACCTTCCTGGAAAAGGGCCTCAACAAGGTCATCTTCACAAATTTCTTCACTCGTCTCTGCATGCAGTGTGTTCGACATGTCCTCCTGGTCAGGACTGTCGGACATGATCATGGCAGCATCATACGTTTTCAGTCTGTTGGGCTTCTTTCCTGATGTCACCTCTTGGAAAAATCCAGCACCCAGCATACGGATCGCGGCTGCCACACGTTTCATGGTGAGTCTACCATCTTCACTGGCTTCACTGTCGATCACAACTCGTTTCTTGTCTTCACCACTGAGGCCTGATCCACGCAACGTGATGTAAGCTTGCAAATCTTCCAGCTTGATCTCCTTGGTCATGAGCTCTTGCCAGGCAACATCAGCCCTGGCCAGGTAGCTATCATTGGTTTCGTCACTCTTTTGTGACAGGCGATACAAGGCTTTTTCTGCAGCTTCATACTTGCGTTCTAACGGAATCTGACCCCATTGACCTCCAAGGAGTTCAATCAGGCGTTGAATTGATTTCTTGTCATTGTCGGTCAATTCGGTACTGTGCAGTTGCAGCTTCTGAAATGCAGTTCCTGTACATCCCAAAATGAGACGGGTGGCAAGTTCGGTCCACTTACCATCAGGCCACATGTTCATGAGCAGTTGCACCTTCTTGGTGTAATCTACAATCTCATCTTTGGCAGGGTCAAAGGTCGGGACAAGGTTGGCTAGCTGGTTCGGAACTAGTGTTGAAGTTCCAGTCCCATCTGAGCCATCACTTGCTTCTGGCATGTCCTCCCCCCTGGATCCTCAGCGAGAGCTCGCTGAGCTCCGCTACCAGTGTGATTGGCAACACTGGCAACGGATATCCTCCTCCCAGTCCACCACGGCGCTCTCAGATTGTTTTTCCCTTCCAGGCCACAAGTCTGATCACGGTGCAAGTCGGGGATCAACCCCGAGGCAACAAGAGTTATCCAAACTCAAGGCAACGGCTGGATGCAAAGTGCTCCTATGGATTTTTGGGGACCCCTGGTCCAAAGCAGTAAGTGCGGCCTCGCACAAAGCCTATGGCTAAAACACACGGAAGCAAATGACCCTCCCTCACCTTACCCTATGGGCACTCCTGAGCCATGCATGTGCTATGGATGTGAACTCTGGTGATTGACCCTTTGATTGGATTGTAAGACAAGAAGTGCAATGATGTTGAACATTCACAATATGTATATATATATATATATGTATGTATGTATGTATATATATATACATACACATGCAGATGTCTATATTTAATATATTTTCTGTATAAACTTAGTCTCTATGGATCTCTTGAAGGTTGGAAAGCTTGGCTCAAAACTTTAGACTCTGATCCATGCAGAATTTGACTCAGCCTATCAAGGGATGGGATGGTAGAGAATGCACTTATCCATGCATATGTACATATGTATATACATACTAGTACATATATATATATATTTATACACCAGTATATATATAGTAATTTGATATGTATACGTATATGTGTATCTGTATCTATATATATATATATATGTCTATGTATATATTATAGAGTGAACTTTGTACACACGGACTTTAGAGATGAACATCCAATTTTTACGCGCTGGATCTGCCTGGCCATTGCGGGCAACGCGTAGGATATACATCGAAGACTTAGACTACAACTTGGTGAAGATCTTCGACAGTGACTACAAACCAACGTCCAACCAGTTTCTTGGAGCTATCCGATCCGGATCTTGAAAAATTGTGGCTAGGGATGAGGAGAATGTCCGTCACGGTTGATATCCGATGTTGAAAACATGTGGCGTATGAATTCAGGATATTTTAGGACCATGTCCAACAAAGGTTGATAGGTCGGTACAGTAGGCCGTGCGCTGTGAGTCTGTTGATCCTTCACCTAGTGACGAACCTCTCACGAAGGTTGATACCGTGCTGGCGGTTGATTTCTTCGTCCAAGTCATAGATACCTCATCCATGAGATTGGCAGAATCTCATCCAGTAGAAATCCGCAATTTACCCTCTGGTAATCTAACATAGCTATTGAAAATGGCCATTTATAGTGGATTTTCCCATTAAAAATGGTGGATCTTTCCATAGTTATGTAAACGTTTACCAGAGGGTCGGTAGATATCGTGGTTTCGTAGCAATGCCAGAATTGGTGGGAACATTGGGATTCCCGAGGATCGTAGCGCGCTTGGAGCAGTATGAGCAGATGAATGCCATCCCGGCCTACAAGAAGATGGCAAAGATCATGAAAGATACCATGAAGCAGGCCCGGAACATCCCAAAACACATGCAAAAAACATCCAAAAAGTCTAAGTCACGGTGGGATTGTCTGAAAAATGTCGGGAAAACCATCCGGAAACTTGATGGTTGATGAGTTGATGAAATTTACCCTCTGGTAAACTGTCACATAACTATGGAAAGATCCACCATTTTCAATGGGTCTTTCCCACTATTTCTATGGGCCATTTTCAATAGCTATGTTAGTCATAACCAGAGGGTATACCATCATATATCCCATTAAATCACCATTAAATCACCATTTTGTTGGTTAAACCCCATTAAACTACCATTAAACCACCAAAAAACCACCATAACCCCCATATTCCCCAGGTTTTTGTTGGTGACCGGTCACCACGTCCAGCTCCCATGGCTCCGCTCCCATGGCTCAGGAGGAGGCGAGCGAGAAGGTGGAGCCAGGCTGGCGCTCCTCCGCCAGCCCTGAGGAGATCGTGAAACGCCAGGAGGCCGCCCAGGAGCGCGCCAGAGACGCCGGGAATGCTACGGAAACCATGGGGAAAGCCAGGGCGAAACCATGGGGTCTATAGAAATGGTGGGGTTTTCCACATAGATGTAGAATGATGTAGAATCTAGAAATGATTGTTGAGTTTTCCAGATCTATATATGTTAGTTTCACCTGTGGCCCTGTGGTATCGAAAATAACCATAGTTACCATAGTTCACCAATTGCAATAAGTAGTTCATAAATCGACACATGATTAATGTACCATCTGGGGCATCATCACATATCGCTTTTTAAGAGCTATGTCGAATACAGAGAGGGTATCTTAGGGAACATGTCCTATAGGCTGAACATTGCGAAGCATTTGTTTTACTGTCTGGCTTGGGATAAGGCGGATAAGGTAAAGATGGATTAGGAAGTCTTACACGGCTTATGTTCTGCTTTGCTGGCTTGGTATACTTGTAACGGTTGTGCAAAGCTTGAAGAATTAGGGTAGCCAAATTGGCCAAATGTTGACCTCAGATGGATCATCCCTAGAGGACTGACCTGTTTTTTTTATCCACCTGGGGTTTGATCAATTTGGGAATTTCTACTGTACTGGCTGGGGAGATTCTCTGTTAAATTAAGACATTCCATAGACCTAACATATCTAGCTCGAAGTTTTTTCTTACTGTACCTAAGATGTCCCTCGATGTCCCAACTTCCCACTGCTTGATGAATAGAGGGTGGGCCCATCCGTTCTTGAGATGGCTATGGCACTGGGATTCACCATGGCTGTTGAAACGGTGATGATGAAAACCCATGGTAACCCCTTGGTCACGGGACTGACTGACCGCGGATTGAAGGATTGAAGAAATTACAACGGGATAAATCGTATTACTCTTTAGCATATAATATAATATAAATATATAATAATATATATATAATATAATATATATAATATATTATATATATAATATATATAATATATAATATATATAATATATATAATATATATAATATATAATATATATAATATATATATTATATATATAATATATAATATATATATAACATATAATATATATAATATATATAATATAATATATATATATATATTATATATATAATATAATATATATATAATTATATAATATAATATAATACAATATAATATAATATAATATGTCTATATATACAATATAATATAAATAATATAATATAATATAATATAATATAATATGATATAATATAATCTAATCTAATATGATATATTATAATATTATATTATATACTGTAATATACTATATAATATAATATAATATAATATAATATGATATAATCTAATCTAATCTAATATGATATATTATAATATTATATTATATACTGTAATATACTATATAATATAATATAACATAATATAATGTAATATAATATAATATACTATACTGTAATATATTATAATATACAATAATATACAATAATATACAATAATATACAATAATATACAATAATATACAATAATATACAATAATATACAATAATATACAATAATATACAATAATATAATATAAATATATAGATATGATTGTGAGTTTGTCCAGCAATAGAATACACAAAAACATCCAGTTGCGTTTAATCACCCGATGATTCGATTGTCATTTGGGATACGGTATCCCTGGATTATGCGAAAAAGTCGACAGCAAGTCGTGAGCTGCTGAGGAAGAGGCTGCCAAATGGGAGCAAAAAGAAGGAGTCTGAGGCATTGGAACCTTTAGGGCCCGAATCGGGCCTTCCGAGTGTGTCCTTCGAAAAATTCTGGAAAGGACTTGGTCGGAGAAAAGAACATGGCAAAAGCAGGTTAATGGTCCAGAAATAATCTGAAAAGATAGAAATTGTTGGAGACTTTGAGTCCGCAATAAGTTTTTGTGCAGGGTGAGGGTTGCATCACCAGGCATTGCTTCCCAGCTCATTGCTTCCCAGCTCAAAGGAGTCCTATCCCCACCTAATTTTGGCCTGGTATGCAATCCTGAACCCCTTTTTCGGCTTTGAAGCCCAGCTGAAAGCTGCAAACCTTATTTTCCATCCGGTCTCCCTGGGAGATGCAGACACAATCCCTCCAATCCGTGCAAAACAGAACTTGAAAAAGGACGTCATCGGATTGTCAAATTTGGGAACCTCTAAATTCTTTGCTTTTTGCAGAAGATCCAGTTTGGGTTCGGCAGGAGAGCAGGTCTAAGCTTCCAGCAGTCCAAGGTGCTGGCTGCATTTCAGCTGCTGATGGTGTTGCTGCTTTGGAGGCAGGACTGGATAATTCCTTGGAGCAATGTCAATGGCTGTCCCAACTCTTGGCTTCATTTTTCCTGAATATTTTCGAATAGCAATTTTGCAATATTTTGACATCCATGTTGAGACAGATCATGACAGATCCAAGTCCCCCTTGGGAAGAAGCGCCCTTGGAACTTGGCGAAATCCAGGTGGCGCAACCGTGATGAGACCAGTCAGGGCCCTCAGTGTTGGACCATCTGATGCGACTGGATGTGGTAAAACCCAAAGCATACCTCAAGGACTTGCTGGAAATGGATGGTGTTCACAGCATGCACAATTTCGGATTGGGCTTCCGAAATATGCTTCATCGAACTTGATGTTTCATGTTTTTTTTTTTTAATCAGTGATAGACTGTGGAAAGCAGCCGATGTTTCCTGCTTGCACCGCCATACAGAAGCAAAGTCAGGTCTCATGTGATATCATGTGATCAGGATGATTTTCACAGCGGAAGGGATGATTTTCAGTGGCCTTGGGAATGGCTTAGCGCTGAGTGGCTTCGGCGGTCTGTCTAACATATCACTTAACACCCATTTCTCCGACGTTAATAGTTTGACTCTTTATTTGGCATATCTGTACTGTATATATATAATCATGTAGTATTGTATAGTTGATATTATTAATATTATAGTCATAGTTATAGTTGATATTAATATAAGTATTATAGTTACTATAGTTGATCTATGTTGATCTTATTTCATGTTGTTTCAAACACTTTTCTCATTTTTTGACGTCGGTGACGCCAAATTCATGCCATCAGGTGTCGACAAATTACCTGCCAGGTGCGAGTCCCACTTTGCGCCGTGGGAAGAGACATTTTTATCAATCGCAAGAGTGGGAATTCATAGTCCTATATGAATGACATTAGTATGTGTACTAATATATATATATGTGTGTATATATATACATATATATATATATTACGTTTTGGATGAATACTTGGGATGTTAGTAATGACACTACAATTAAAAAGCGCTCCAAAAAAGCCCAAAAAAGGCACACGGACCAAACACCCCAAAATGGTTCTGCACTTAAGAAGCAACTCATCCCATGATCTTCCCATGATGAAGTTGCATGGCACTGTCCGAGAGCTCCATCCGTGGGAGGCTATCAGACTTAGAGTCCTGTGTGCCTGATGGGCCGCCTGAAGTTAGCCCTACAGTTTCTGGGCGGCAAAGAGTGAAGCCACCAAAAGGGCTATAGAACCCACCGCGGGTTGGGTGGGTACCAACAAAATCGGCATATGAATATAATATATATATAATACAATATAATAAAATATAATATAATAAAATATAATATAATATACTATAATATAATATTAATATAATATGATAGAATAAAATATAGTATAATATAATATAATAATATATAATATATAATAATATATATATATATACATATATATATTATAAAATGTAAATCACATAATATTAAACGTGTACAGTATGGGCCAAAACTATGTATTCCTCAAATTCTTACCAGATTTGGTTGCTCAAATCAGTCCTTGTGGTGGCGGTCTTGGTGTGAGTATGGAGTCTCACTGAAGATGTTTGGCTGCTTCCTACATGTGAAGGACCCTCAACCAGATGATTTTTCAATTGCTAAAAAAGACACTTGGTGCCTCTTCATCCTCTAGGCCACTGGGATCCATACCAGCTTTCCCTGCCTAATTCACGAGAATTTTCCCAGTTTCGCGCGTGGCGCTCGGAGTATGAGGCTGCCCAAAAAATTAGAAATGGTTCCACATTTTTGGAAGAAAACAAACACACACACACATATACATATATATATATAATATAATATAATATAATATAATATAATATAATATAATATATAATAATATACACCTAGAATAGGGTTACATATATTTGTATATATCATATATTATACAGACATCACCACTACACCATTGTTGCTTACGTTACATCACCACTGATGCTGGTTGCAACACTTAGGCCTTGCCCAACACAGCCGAGGAATGGGGGGGTGCGGTCTGGGGGGTAGCCAGATTTTTCCGTTTTTTGGGGGTGGCTTTCTAGGGTTTTCCATGAGTTTCCAGGGTTTCCATATGTTTCCATGTCCAAATTCTTGGTCGCCGGAGCGCCAGGAAGGCCATGAAATTGAGGAGCAACACTGCGATCCCTGCCAGTCCTGTCAGGTGGGTACCATGGAAGACCTGAGATGGGCTGTGCATAGGGATACCCCATGATACCCCATGATACCCCATTTTATCAATATTTAAACTAGTAAACATATGTAAACTAATATGTAAACTAATATGGAAACATATGTAAACATGTGGTTTTAATCTATGAGATCTGGGGTATCTGTTAAAAAATGAACTGAGCGATGAATTTGGGAGAACATGGGTCTTGACCAAAATTTCGGTCAGGAACCTGCAGATTTTACATATTCCAGGCACAAACAATCTATTTTTGGGGGTTTTCGACTTTGGAACGTGCCGATGTATCCTCCACATGCATGAAGGCCTGACAAGCAATCAGTATATAGTCCGAGATTGTTTGGCCCCTTCTTTGGTTGAGTCCCCTTGTCTTTTGGAGTTTCCTGATGCAATCGATTCACGGGGGGTTCAAAATGTTGGAGCTTTCATTTTTCCCAATTGGCGCTTGTAACGTGATGTTAAGACAGTTCAAAGCAGCTGCCTCAATAGCGCCCCAAAGCCATGTGGTGATCCGAAAAATTGGGGTGTCCACTGGGACAGCGCTAGGAGCTCACAAAGTTGCTTGCGGAGCTTCGGAGGGACTTGATGGATGCAGGTTGGGCTTTGGTGTCAAGATATGCTGGTCACACCGCTCCGATATTTTGTGGTCTGACATTGAAAAGGGGGGGAAGATACAAAACCAATTTTCTTCTTGCAGACGTTGTGGTTGTGGTTGCTGTCGTTGCTGTCGTTGCTGTCGTTGCTGTCGTTGCTGTCGTTGCTGTCGTTGCTGTCGTTGCTGTTGTTGCTGTTGTTGCTGTTGTTGCTGTTGTTGCTGTTGTTGCTGTTGTTGCTGTTGTTGCTGTTGTTGCTGTTGTTGCTGTTGTTGCTGTTGCTGCTGCTGCTGCTGCTGTTGGTGTTGTTGTTGTTGTTGTTGTTGTTGTTGTTGTTGTTGTTGTTGTTGTTGTTGTTGTTGTTGTTGTTGTTGTTGTTGTTAACCCCCAACTGTTGGTGATATTTAATGGGGTTAATATATCAATAAAGTGTCAACTGCTGTTGGTTAATAAATAGCTGATGTATCAATAGTTTACCCTTTATATAAACGGGCTTGGGTTGTTGCTGCTGGTGGTGCCTGCCAGGCGCCAGGGAGCAACGCCTGAGGGATCTGCTGCGCAGTCGCTCTGCGGCCTTGATGCGTCTTGCGACGCTTGGCTCATCGACGTGTGAAAATGACCCGTCCAATATGAAGTTTCCTGGAATGGGGGTACCCCCAAATCACCCATTTATAGATGAATTTTCCATTATAAACCATCCAGCTATTGGGGTACCCCCATTTCAGGAAGACCCCAATATGGACAGCTACCACAGACACAAAGACACATAGACACATAGATAGAAAGATACAAAGATAGTAAAGATACATAGACATGACATGACATGACATTCATGACATACATGAAATAAATGACATACATGACATACAATACATACAAGACATACAATACATACAAAACATACAATACATGCAATGCATACAATGCATACACTGCATACAATACATACAATGCATGCATGCGTGCATATGTATACAGGCAGACAGACACACGGACGGACGGACGGACGGACGGACTGACAGACGGACAGACAGACAGACATAGAAACATAGAAACATAGATACATGGATTCATGGATACATGGATAGATAAATAGATGGATAGATAGATAAATAGATAGATAGATAGACGGATAGATAGATAAATAGATAGATAGATAGATAGATAGATAGACAGCTAGATAGCTAGATAGCTAGCTAGCTAGATAGATAGATAGATAGATAGATAGATAGATACAGAACATTACATAACATAACATTACATTACATGACATCACATTACAGGACATAACATAACATTACATTACATTACAAAACATTACATTGCATTACATTACCATACAATACATGCAATACATGCAATACATGCAATCAATACATACATACATACATACATACATACATACATACGTACATACATACGTACGTTCGTACGTACGTACGTACGTGCGTACATACATACATACATAAATACAAACATACGCTTACACATTTTATAAACATAATACATATATACAACACCTTCACAGAAACACATAGTACACACATTTCATGTGTACAAAAGATCTACTCCAATCTAAATGTATATAATCTAACCAAATCTAATTTAGTTAAACCCAAACTAATCTATCTAAGCTATCTATCTATCTATCTATCTACCTATCTATCTATCTATCTATCTATCTAAGCTATCTATCTATCTATCTATCTATCTATCTATCTATCCCTCCCTCCATCCTTCCATCCATCCGTCCGTCCGTGCGTCCGTCCGTACCGCAGGTCACACCTGACCCGTGCTCAAGACATTGGCAGGCGGTCTGAAGAGCGTGTTGTTGGCCGAAAAACGGGGAATACCGCCTTCTTCTTTTTGATTTGCCATTTGATTGGATAATATTGGATATAATTTGGATATATTTGGTGTATGGCACAATGACCAGTGGGCTCTATTTTTCCAAAACGTTAAATCATCACGTAGCACGGATCTTTGGTGACCCGGATTCAGGGCTGTTTTCAGTCTCGGCCAGGCCACCGAGGCCCTCGGCAGAGAGTGGCTCGCCGGCAGTTCTTTGAACCGTGGAGTCTGGTTGGTGGTTTGGTGAATAGTGGTTAATAATGGGATATTAATGGTTAATACTCTGATTGGTGGTGACTGGAACCATGGAATTTTCCATGACTTTCCCATCATATTGGGAATGTCATCATCCCATTTGACTATATCATATTTTTCAGAGGGGTAGGTCAACCACCAACCAGGATTCGGTGAGATTTTCCCCCACGGACATCGGATGACTACCTTTCCAGTGTGAGTGACAAGGTGACGACCCAACATAGTTTAGCGAGGTGGTATGAGGCTTGGTTCGACGAAAGTCCAGAAGTCAACTTCGAAAAGTTTCGTATTTCGGATGGAAAGGAGTTTTCGTAGAGGTTGAAGTGAGGAACGGCAGAAGGTTAATTCAGTGGGGACATAGGGGTGATAAACCGATTGTATGATTATGGCGTTATTTTGGGATTGGGGCCCCTCACCCTATCGGCGCAGCCGATGACCAGTGTGAAAATCTCTCCCGGGGACTGCGATCTGGTACTGGAATGAAGTTTCACTAGTGGCTGTTCGATTTTTTTTTGGTTGAATCACGAGACAACCTTGGAACTTGTGACAGAGGCAACACAGCACGTAGGGACAGCATTGATGCAAAGTTCACAGATATATCTAAGCATGGGGGTACCTTTTCTTCATGTCAGGCAGTGTCAGGCAGCATGTTTTTTTTTTTTAAATGAGTTTTCTCGCTGTGCGTGATATGTATGGAATGCAATGTAGAAGTTGTCAATGCAAACGCAAGCGCAAAATGAAGGTGAGCTGCAAATGTAAATTCTGTTTGACTTAATGTAATATAGTCATATATAGCCTATGTATGTCTATGTACATATTGATATTTACAGACATGCACCTAAAAAAGCGCCTATATGTCATTTCTTCACGAATCTCCTTTGTCAACATACCTTCTGACAATCAAAAATAGCAACCGAAGATTCTCATTTGTAGATGGTGCGAGTGCCGGTGGACCTAATTTCAATGGGAATTCCAGGATCCTAAAATGGAGGTACTGTACCATATAAGGCCCTATTTTGTGGGGATATTCCCTTACATATAGGCTAATATAGGCCTTACATAGGCCTTATATACGGTAGGTACCTCCAATCTAGGATCCTGAAATGGCCATTGATAATTGGGTCACGATACCAGTGTTGAGCCGTCCATTTCAAGGGTCCGCAGCGTTTACATGTTTGGCTGGGAAATCGCCAAGCCCAATCGGAAAATCTATATGAGGTTGTCCAAGAATGGGGTACCCCATTTCCATGCAGGATTCCATACATGGGTGCATCTGAACCATGTGTTCAGAGGCCCACAGATGTATGTTGGTTACTATGTAGGAATATCCACAAAGAACATCTCCATTATCTTTTCAAACACATAAGTTGGTAGACCACCCAACCCCATCTTACAGGGAAAATCATCTAGTGAATCTAGTGGCGTTTTTTTTCCCCTCAAGTGTTCGGGGTGCTATGCCACAGGACCCAGGTGCGTTGAGTCGATATCACATAGCATCCACAATCCGACCTTTTTTACTGCTGGTTTAGTCCAATGTGGTGAGCCCAATTACACCAATATTCCCATTAAATAAATTCTAACCATCCCTTACCCTCTGGTTATTTAACATAGCCATGGTATAGATGGCCCATAGAAATAGAGGTTTGCCTATTAAACATGGTGAATCTTTCCATGGCAAACTGTTAGTCATAACCAGAGGGTAAATTCTAACCATCCCTTAATTCACAGTAGCAAACACATGGATACAAATAGTATGTGTTAATATGTTTCAATGATTTCTATGTTCAGCGCCAGCAGAATCATGGTGATGTCAAATGATTTGAGTCTTTCTAATTTGTCACTGGATGTATAGCATGTGGCAGCCACTTGTGTCTCAAAATTGACCAGAATAGACCAGATCAACAACGATACGATCTTATGTCATCATTCCAAAAAACGGTTGGAGAGAGAAAATACAGAAGCCCTTGAATTTGGAGACGAACAAGCATGGTTTCCTGCAGTCTTTATCCTCAAACCAACCCATTGAATCCCAAGAAATTGTTGGAAAGCGCGCGATGCTGTGTAAAGAATCTTCAATGATGAAGAAAACCTGGATACTCAGTCAAAATTGGTTTGGTACTCTAGTCTCCATAGTACTTTTATCTTTAGCTATGAATGATACATCTAATTTCTGACGATGTCCGGTGCACAACATGGCTATGTGGATCCGTCATCTACTGACAAAGGTACAGCAGATGAAACTGATCAGGTCGATCTTCAGGTGCTCTGCTTGACTGGAGAAGGAGTGACACTAAGCGTCCCTTGCTCTATGCTTGGATATGAGCTGCGCAGATTGGTGTCAGAGAAGCTTCCATGCAAGCCAGGCGCAAAGCTCGCCGTGCATCATGTGAATACAAAGCTGACGCTGAATCAAACCTTGGCAGAGCAAGGAATTGTTGGGAAATCTGCAATCCTATCCTGCGCTTACATATCGACAAATGTGTACACTGCATGGTGTTTTGTCTGTGGGCTCCCAACTAGTGAGAGAGAGGTTGCGCTGGAGGGTGTTACACAACTTGAGGCAGCGACCACTGGAGAGTATTTACATTATCTTCCCCGCAGCCTTGCAAAATTGACTTTTGGTGAGAATTTCAACAACCAAAGCCTGGAACGGGTGACCTTGCCATCGAGTCTACAAAGCTTGAGTTTTGGTGCGAAATTCAACCAAAGCCTGGAGCAGGTGACCTTGCCATTAAGTCTTCAATGCTTGAGTCTTGGCTGGAACTTCAACCAAAGCCTGGAGCGGGTGACCGTGCCATCGAGTCTTCAAAGCTTGAGTTTTGGTGAGAAGTTTAACCAAAGCCTGGAGCGGGTGACCTTGCCATCGAGCCTTCAAAGCTTGAGTTTTGGCTGGGCATTCAACCAAAGCCTGGAGCGGGTGACCTTGCCATCAGGTCTTCAAAGCTTGAGTTTTGGCTGGGAATTCAATCAAAGCCTGGAGCAGGTGACCTGGCCATCGAGCCTTCAAAGTTTGAGTTTTGGCAATGATTTCAACCAAAGCCTGGAACGGGTGACCTTGCCATCGAGTCTTCAAAGCTTGAGTTTTGGTGAGAATTTTAACCAAAGCCTGGAGCAGGTGACCTGGCCATCGAGCCTTCAAAGTTTGAGTTTTGGCAATGATTTCAACCAAAGCCTGGAGCGGGTGACCTTGCCATCGAGTCTTCAAAGCTTGAGTTTTGGAGGGACGTTCCACCAAAGCCTGGAGCGAATGACCTTGCCATCGAGCCTTCGAAGCTTGAGTTTTGGCGGGACATCCGACCAAGGCCTGCAGCGGCTGACTTTGCCATCGAGCCTTCAAAGCTTGAGTTTTGGCGGGACATCTGACCAAGGCCTGCAGCGGCTGACCTTGCCATCGAGTCTTCAAAGCTTGAGTTCTGGCTCATTCAACCAAAGCCTGGAGCGGGTGACCTTGCCATCGAGTCTTCAAAGCTTGAGTTTTGGTGAGAAGTTTAACCAAAGCCTGGAGCGGGTGACCTTGCCATCGAGCCTTCAAAGCTTGAGTTTTGGCTGGGCATTCAACCAAAGCCTGGAGCGGGTGACCTTGCCATCAGGTCTTCAAAGCTTGAGTTTTGGCTGGGAATTCAATCAAAGCCTGGAGCAGGTGACCTGGCCATCGAGCCTTCAAAGTTTGAGTTTTGGCAATGATTTTAACCAAAGCCTGGAACGGGTGACCTTGCCATCGAGCCTTCAAAGCTTGAGTTTTGGCTGGAAATTCAACCAAAGCCTGGAGCAGGTGACCTTGCCATCGGGCCTTCAAAGCTTGCGTTTTGGACATTACTTTAACCAAAGCCTGGAGCGGGTGACCTTGCCGTCGAGTCTTCAAAGCTTGAGTTTTGGACGTTACTTTAACCAAAGCCTGGAGCGGGTGACCTTGCCATCGGGTCTTCAGAGCTTGAGTTTTGGCTTTGAATTTAACCAAAGCCTGGAGCGGGTGACCTTGCCATCGGGTCTTCAAAGCTTTACTGCTTTCCATGGGTTGGGCATGATATCTGTCAGTTGTGCAGGCTGTGCTTAGTTTCTATGACGCGTCCCCCAATAGGTATCAATGCAAAAGAGGCTTGCGGCGACCATTCTGTGATGGTAGAGGACCTGAACCATTTTCTTTGCGAGCAGTCTATCGGTGAACACCCACATCCGTGGGATGCAGATTGCTAAAAAGGGTGAATCTTGGTTTTGTATACAAGGTATTGCAAGGTGGGCCCCCTAGTTTTGTTTGTTTGTTTACAACTCTATCTTTAGTATTCTTTAGTTATATATCCCCTAGTTCTTGTAGTTAACCAACTTAGCTATCTTGGAGTCCCACATTGTAGAGCCGACAAGAAATGGAGGTGTATAGCTGGGAATATCATCTACAAATGGTGGATTTGGTGGAATTTCCTGCCATGTTTGACTATCAGTTTTTGTTCTCTGGGTTTCCGCGTTTGGCCGTGGTGGAAGTTCGCCAGGACACAACAAAACGCAAAGTTCAGCTACCTAAATTGGAAGTACCTACGATAAGGCCTATGCAAGGGGATATATACCCCAAATATGATTTTGTAAGGTTCTATATGGTACAATACCTCCAGTTTAAGTACCTAACATTTGCCATTGATATTACATGTGAACCAGCACACTTAAACAGCCAGTTCTACTGTGGATGGAAGAAATCCATGCACAGTAGGGATTCACCAATTTCACATTTAGAATTATGGGAATTGTAGCTATAGTTCATGGTCTATGGATGGCTATTGTAGATGTACGGTAGATGCATGAGGGTTTCCGAACATGGTGGATTCCCAAGTCACCAGTTGTTCTAATGTTCTATGTCTATCTCAACCTGGCGGAGGTTCCGCCTGCCTCAGCCTTGCCACCGATCGTGCCTTGCCAGCGGGCGCGGATGTTTTTTCGCCGGGGCGGCTGGGAAGAATGCAACCGGAAGTGGCCCAAAAAAGACGGGATTTCATCTAGAGAAACTGGGATTTAAGCCAACAAGAAATGACATTGCATCCAAGGTTGATCAAAATTGTGTTTTTCACCATCAAACACATGGGTTTTTCATCGCCAACGACTGTTCGAAATGAAGTTCACCTTTCGAACAAATGTGAGTTATCAAATAACAATTGCAGGATAATACTATCATATCAGCCATTGAACACTCCCAAATGATAACAAATGAACATCCAATAACAATTGCAGGTTCTACTATGTTATATTATCATACCAGTAGTACCCGCACGAGGCGGGGCGGAAGTTGCCTTTAAGATATATATCAGACCTTTCTCACCTATAGAACTTGCATGCGCCGTGCGCCAGCCAAGCCCGTGCGTGCGTGCACTCTGCAAAAGTGGTGTCCTGTTGCACATGTCACATTTGAAGCTGCACTTCGCACGTCACACTTCTGACTGCACTCTTCACACCCCACGCTGCACTCTTCGCACTCTTCACACATCACACTGCATTCTTCGCACTTCTCACTGCTTTCTTCACACTCCACACTACACACTTCACACACTCCACACTTCACATTGCACTCTTCACACTGGACTCTTCGCACTCCAACACTTCACTTCACACTGTACTCTTAAGACTCCACACTTCACACTCCACGCTTCACACTGCACTCTTCGCACTCCACACTTCACACATCACACGCCACACTTAACACTTCACAGTTCACACTTCTCACTTCCCACTGCTTCCTTCACACTTCACATTGCACTCTTCACGCCCCACATTTCACACTGCATTAAACCTGAGCCCAAAACTGTGCATCGACAAAATCACTCAGCAAACAAAAAGATATTCCTAGTTTCAACAACGCATCCAAAGCTTATGACCATTTCAAGACATTCTTCCTGTGAAAGATCCAACAAGCGATCGTGGAAACAACACTTACCCCCTTCGTTCGTGATGTGCTTCAAAACCGGATCTCGCACCAAAGCAAAAAAAGCAATTTTGAAGCACTTTTTAAAAGGATTTTTAAAAGGAAAATCACTAGCGCCAAAATGGAGAAAATCTGCTGACAAATCACTGTCGCAGCCTGGATGCAGCCACTCCAATGCGTTTTACGATCTGCAGCTGCAAAAGACACCAAGCAACCTTGACGCAGCCATTCCAATGCGATCTGCGGACACTGAGGTGCAAAGCACAATAGAACTACACGCAACGGCGTCGAAAAATTGTAGCTTCAAAACCGGATGGATCTCGACGCCAAAGCAGAAAAAAAGACGATTTTGAAGCACTTTTTAAAAGGATTTTTAAAAGGAAAATCACTAGCGCCAAAATGGAAAAAATCTGCTGCCAAATCACTGTCGCAGCCTTCATGCAGCCACTCCAATACGATTTACGAAGTCCAGCTGCAAAAGACAATAGTATTACGCATGCAGCCGCGGCAAGAAGCAACCTTGACGCAGCCATTACACTGCGATCTGCAAAGACTGAGTTGCAAAACACAATAGAACTACGCGCAACTAGGTCGGAAAATGCAGCTCCAAAACCGGATCTCGACGCCAAAACGAAAAAAAGACGATTTTGAAGCACTTTTTAAAGGGATTTTTAAAAGGAAAATCACTAGCGCCAAAATGGAGAGAATCTGCTGACAAATCACTGTCGCAGCCTGGATGCAGCCACTCCAATACGATTTACGATCTTCAGCTGCAAAAGACAATAGAATTACGCGGGCAGCCGCGGCACCAAGCAACCTTGACGCAGCCATTCCAATGCGATCTGCAACCACAGATTCAAGAACCGCATAGAACTACGCAGACAGACACAACCACTCGTTGCAAAACACATAGGAGGAAGCGATTGAACTCGAAACGATCCAAACCGCAACCGCCGCACAGACGAGGTACCTTTCATCGCCGGCTGCAGCGACTTTACACGGAAAAACACAAGGTTTCGTGCTCCGGCTTCCTCCCCACAACATAGCCCATGCAACATTCATGCAGCCATTCCAATGCGATCTGCCACCACAGCGTCAAGAAACGCATAGAAATACGCACACAGGAACAACCACTCGTTGCAAAACACATAGGAGGAACCGATTGAACTCGAAACGATCCAAGCCGCAACCGCCGCACACACGAGGTACCTTTCATCGTCGCCTGCAGCCACTTTACACGGAAAAATACAAGGTTTCGTGCTCCGGCTTCCTCCCCACAACATAGCCCATGCAACATTCATGCAGCCATTCCAATGCGATCTGCCACCACAGCGTCAAGAACGCATAGAACTACGCACACAGACACAACCACTCGTTGCAAAACACATAGGAGGAACCGATTGAACTCGAAACGATCCAAACCGCAACCGCCGCACAGACGAGGTACCTTTCATCGTCGGCTGCAGCCACTTTACACGGAAAAACGCAAGGTTTCGTGCTCCGGCTTCCTCCCCAAAACATAGCCCATGCAACATTCATGCAGCCATTCCAATGCAATCTGCAACCAGAGATTCAAGAACCGCATAGAACTACGCACACAGGAACAACCACTCGTTGCAAAACACATAGGAGGAACAATTCGCGACAGAAACGACCGCAGCCGCAACCGCCGCACAGACGAGGTACCTTTCATCGCCGGCTGTAGCTACTTTACACGGTAAAACATAAGGTTTCGTGCTCCAGCTTCCTTCCCACAACATAGCCCATGCAACATTCATGCACCCATTCCAATGGGATCTGCAACCAGAGCTGCAAGAAACGCATAGAACTACGCACACAGGAGCAAGAATTCTTGCAAAACACATAGGAGGAACCAATCGCGTCCGGAACGACCGCAGCCGCAACCGTCGCACAGACGAGGTACCTTTCATCGCCGGCTCCAGCCACTTTACACGGAAAAACACAAGGTTTCGTGCTCCGGCTTCCTCCCCACAACATAGCCCATGCAACATTCATGCAGCCATTCCAATGCGATCTGCCACCACAGCGTCAAGAAACGCATAGAACTACGCACACAGACACAACCACTCGTTGCAAAACACATAGGAGGAACCGATTGAACTCGAAACGATCCAAACCGCAACCGCCGCACACACGAGGTACCTTTCATCGCCGGCTGAAGCCACTTTACACGGAAAAACGCAAGGTTTCGTGCTCCGGCTTCCTCCCCACAACATAGCCCATGCAACATTCATGCAGCCATTCCAATGCAATCTGCAACCAGAGATTCAAGAACCGCATAGAACTACACACGCAGACACAACCACTCGTTGCAAAACACATAGGAGGAACCGATTGAACTTGAAACGATCCAAACCGCAACCGCCGCACACACGAGGTACCTTTCATCGCCGGCTGCAGCCACTTTACACGGAAAAACACAAGGTTTCGTGCTCCGGCTTCCTCCCCAAAACATAGCCCATGCAACAGTCATGCAGCCATTCCAATGCGATCTGCACACGCAGATTCAAGAAACGCATAGAACTACGCACACACACACACAACCACTCGATGCAGAACACAGAGGAAGAACCGATTGAACTCGAAACGATCCAAACCGCAACCGCCGCACACACGAGGTACTTTTCATCGTCGCTTGCAGCCACTTTACACGAAAAAATACAAGGTTTCGTGCTCCGGCTTCCTCCCCACAACATAGCCCATGCAACATTCATGCAGCCATTCCAATGCGATCTGCCACCACAGTGTCAAGAAACGCATAGAATTACGCACACAGGAACAACCACTCGTTGCAAAACACATAGGAGGAACCGATTGAATTCGAAACGATCCAAACCGCAACCGCCGCACACACGAGGTACCTTTCATCGCCGGCTGCAGCCACTTTACACGGAAAAACACAAGGTTTGGTGCTCCGGCTTCCTCCCCACAACACACGGCATGCAACATTCATGCAGCCATTCCAATGCGATCTGCACTCCCCTTCGTCACCACTCCCCTTCTTCACCACTTCCCTTCTTCACCACTTCCCTTCGTCACCACTTCCCTTCTCCACCACTTCCCTTCCTCACCACTTCCCTTCGTCACCACTTCCCTTCATCATCACTTCCCTTCTTCACCACTTCTCTTCTTCACCACTTCCCTTCGTCACCACTTCCCTTCTTGACCACTTCCCTTCTTCACCACTTCCCTTCGTCACCACTTCCCTTCTTGACCACTTCCCTTCTTCACCACTTCCCTTCGTCACCATTTCCCTTCTTCACCACTTCCCTTCGTCACCACTCCCCTTCATCATCACTTCCCTTCGTCACCACTCCCCTTCATCATCACTTCCCCTTATTCTTTTGTTATGTACTGTTATGTGATCTACCACCCTTCATCAAGGTCAACTGCATTGCTTCTTATTCTTTTGTTATGTATGGTTACATTATGTATTGTTATGTGATCTACCACCCTTCATCAAGGTCAACTGCATAGCTTCTTATTCTTTTGTTATGTATTGTTATGTGATCTACCACCCTTCATCAAGGTCAACTGCATTGCTTCTTATTCTTTTGTTATGTATGGTTACATTATGTATTGTTATGTGATCTACCACCCTTCATCAAGGTCAACCGCATAGCTTCTTATTCTTTTGTTATGTATTGTTAGATGACATACCACCCTTCATCATTTCAAGTCTCAGAATTCTATTTGTCTGTAACTCGGAAGTATTGCTTCCCAACTTCCTTTGATCAGTGGTTGGTGGTGTATTTTCTTCAGCCCAGGCCATGGCCAGAAAGCGACAGTGTTGCAAAAAACACCCACAGAATTTTCCCTCTGGTAAACGTACAAACAAAAACATGGGAACATCACCATTTTTGAGAAGTAAATCAACGAACTCAGATGCGAATTGCAAGAAGCGATGATAGTTTACCAGAGGCTAAAAGCGGTTTACTTGGAGGTTTCCTATGGGGATACCCCAAGTGATCATCCACCCTTTTTTTCGGCTCCTGGAGGGCTGATAAAAAAGTGGGTGAGGTGATGTAAGACATGGCAGTTGAATGAAAATGAACATTGCCAGCCAAATATGTTGCTGTGACAGCCAAGGTACCGTTGTTTTTTTCATTTTCAGAATGGGTTGAATTCCCTGATTCCTTTGCTGGCAAGTTTGCTACATGGTGCCCTGAAAAATAGTTTTGAAATCAAAGACCTTACATGACAAATTTCAGAGCCCTTTGATTTCTGGATTAGAAATCAATGCAAAATCCGGGCCAGGCGAGCCAGTGGAGCCTGTTCCGTTGCCAGTCGAGGTGGGATATTTTGGTGGGTGCCCGATAAAGTAAAATAACATAAACTAACATAGGTATTGAACCTAGCCCATTTACCTATTCAAATGGTGATTTTCCATGGTTATGTTAGTTTGAGGGTAGATGATATACATGAAGGGTCTATATACGTTTTTCTTTGGTTCTTTACGTCTTACTACTTACTCACGGGGACTACATGTATATCTATTGTAGATCGATTTATTTGTAATTTGTTTATCGATATATATATATATAAATACATATGCCTATGAAGAAGCAAATGTCAACTTATAGAGATAGTTATATATATATGTATATACAGCACATTATGTGTATATATATATTATGTGTATATATATATATATATTATGTGTATATATATATATTATGTGTATATATATATACACTGTATATGTATATGTATATGTATATGTATATGTATATGTATATATGTATATATGTATATGTATATGTATATGTATATGTATATATATATACATGAACATACATCAAAAATAGTGGTGGAATAATATCACTGGTAGCACTGATACGGCTGAATGTATTTTGGAGAAGGCATTGCCAAAATGACAAAATGAAAAGCGGAAAAAACGATACACAAGTAACAAACCGATATGATTTACCTCGGCGGGAGCTTTAGTGTCAGATTGCAACACAGGTTTAACGGTTTAACATCCAAACACTTTTGGATCCCACATATTCGATGAACATCTTCGTCGGAAAGGGTTGGCCCCCAATGAGTTATGAGTTCACAATACGGATGTCTAAGCACCAATGTCAAGCAAGTGGTGTTCAGGGAAGCCGCGAAAATAAATCAGGGACCCCTTCTCAGTGAGGAAAAATGCAGAGCCAGGCTAGTGGTTGAAGCGACATAGATCTGGGTGATCAGCACATCAAGATTTGGATGCTTTTAAAGCCAGGCTGTGCCAATCACTTTGGACAGACCGGTGTGGGTTTCCACCGCGGCCAATGTTGTATCTGGTGAGGACAGGCTCTTTTGGAGACCTCGAAATTCTGATTTTGTGAGACTGTCATGGGAACACATCAGTGCTGTTGCCTTGGGCTATGTCAATCCCATCTCACCCCTTCTCAGGTCGTCTCATCTCTTCTCATCTCTTATCAGCTTGTCTCACCTCTTCTCAGGTCGTCTTCTCGCACCTCTTCGTAGGTTCGAACGAATATCCGTTCCACTGCAGTTTCTGTCCTAAGATTCGCAGGAGTCGCAGTCTCAAACCAATGTGTGCCATTCCTCCCATGATTCCATGAGTGTTCCCTCCCTGAAACTAAGGGTTGTATCCCTTCACAATCTTTTTTATAGGTGACATTCCATATATGATATTTTTGCTATGATTCCATGATTGGTCCTGCGCCCAACCTACAGGGTCGTATCCCCCCACAATCCCCTTTACAATGATTTTTTCCCCCTACGGTTCCATGATTGAGGGCAGACGGGGGAACACTAAAATCAGTACTAGAAAATGAGTGAGTGTGATCTCTTATTGAGTTTTCAGGGGTTGAGAGGTGGAGATGACCCTAATGCTCGTCAATGGTTTTTTTTCGGGCGCAGATGACCTTGTGTAGGGGCGCAGATGGCCACCCGATTTGGGGTTGAATATCCATAGCTGTGTTGGTTTGAACTTCGAACCAAGTAAAATAAGTAAAACCCCAAATTTATTTGGTGCTCAGCGAACCTCCGCCTGGTTCGTTTGGCCAGGAGACGAAGCCCCAAACCAAGCTGCTGGAACTTGCTAGTGCTAGCGAGGGACCCAAAAGACTTGCACACGCCGGTGCCCCATTTCACGTTGTTGTTTTGCCTTTTTACCATTTGATGTACTAGTTCAATCCATGTCAGAATCTTAGAACAACTTTCTTGAGACACTGTTAAGGGTTTAGAAACACCATTCAGAACCACCATTTCACTATTTGGATGTTTTCCAAAATAGGGGTACCTCCATAATTTATAGATGAATTTTCCATGAAATAAACCCTCCAGCGCTAAAGGGGCACCCCCATTTACAGAAACCTCCATTTAAAATACCCTCTGGTAAACATTTACATAACTATGGAAAGATTTACCATGCTATTAATGGGTAAGTCCACTATTTCTATGGCCATTTTCAATAGCCATGTCCGTTATTACCACTATTTTAAGCACGACGTAACCAGATCTGTGACACCGACACTGGTCCGAAGACCCAGGTCCCGAGCTCCGGGACGCCTTGCTGCATCGACTTCGGGCCAAAGGTGCTTCGGGCCAATGGCGAATGTCATGTAACCCGTGTATACATATTAACGTATTATTTCTTATATTCATGATAGATAGATGGATGGATGGATGGATGGATGGATAGATAGATAGATAGATAGATGGATAGATAGATAGATAGATAGATAGATAGAATATATAGATAGATAGTACACACATACACTTATTAATGTAGTGAATGTAATACACTATTTATACATCGATATTTTGTCACCGATTCGAGACCCAAAAGATCACCCCGATTCGAGGCTTCAAGGACCTCCGCGAACGAGATTCGAGCGATTTAGAAATCCCTGGCGCATCGTACCAAGATGTACCAAGTACAGGATTATTTGGAGGTTTATCCCATCATATATATATATATGTATGTATATATATATGTATATATATATGTATATATATATATATACATATATATATATATATACACATACATATACATACACAATGGTGGTTTCCCAAAATAGGGGTACCCCTGTGATCATCCATTGGGGATTTTCCATGAAACCATCCAGCTCTGCCCCGATGCACCTCACCTTTTGGGCGCGCCATGGTCGCCGCTTTGCCACCGCGCCAGTGCTGCAAGTGCCTGGGAAGCTTTGAGGGAGCGGGCCTTTTCACATCAGATTTTTAGATGTTTAGTTTATGTTAGACCATAGCTGCCATAGCTTATTCTAAGAATCAACAAACTTGAAAAAAAAATCGAGACAAATGCAACTAATGAGGAGAACATAATGTTTAGTACCTTTTCCCCCGAGTGTTCAATTGCACCCAAGAAACCATGTTTTAGTATTGGATCCACTCATTTTTTGGGGCCATATGTGGCGTATTTAATATTAGGGAGAGGGGATTAGTGCACATTTTTTTTTTGGTCAAGTCATTCTGACCTTGAACAGGAACATCAACATTTCCTGGGGGGACTCTTGCATTGACATGTGATTGTTTGTATCAAAATTGAAAAGATTACCAATCTTGTCCATCTTTTGGTAGCCTATTCTTGAGGGAAACAGAAATCTGGAAGGGAACGACATTTCTTCCCAGAAAATGGCTTTGTCGTGGGGAATACCAGCAAAATGGCAATTGAATGAAGATCTTGTAGAGGCTCTTCTCAGGCGATTGTGTCAGTAGATGTTTTAATGCTGGGATCGGGACGATTGTCCTAGGCTTTGCGGCGCGTGCGTTCCTTGGCTGGACGCCTGTGGGGCGACCCACTCTTGGGATATCGTGAGAGGTGTGAACCCTTAGGTCAGATGCTTGGGGTTCCCAGCAATCGGAGAATTTTCGCACCATTTTTTTTTCGGAGTTCTCCCGGGGGTCCCCAACATACAGCAAAACGGCCAGCGAGATTTTTTGTGTGACCACAAATCTTTCCACATGCCTCAAGTTTCATCCTGTTCCGGTATGACCGACTGCACTTGAGGGGCCTTGCGAAGCCCCTCACAGCTGCTGGGCTTTGCTGCGAAAAATGAGGGTGCTGAGATGCTTGTGCTCTACTCGGTGCTGCAAAGGTGGGATGGGGGAGATCTCAATGGGAGAATCCTCGAAGCAGCTAGGGGTCAAGTGGCTTAGTGGGGTCAACATTTTTCAGCATTTTTTTTGTTTGTTTTTAAATGCCAAGGGCCAAAGTGGAAGGACACGGGGCTCGCTGCCAGGTTGGTGTCACTGCTCCCAAAGACTGGCGCGGGCACCGTTGCGGTTGCCGAGGGACTTGCTGGTGACGGTCGGTTTCAGGTCCTGTGACTTGGCAGATTTGGATGATCGTTCATCACGATATCATCAAACTGACATTAATTATAGGTCATATGTTGGAATACTGTATGTATATCACACACACACACAATCACATATATATATAATTACATATATATATATATACGCAGTAGAATGTAATAGTATATAGATGATATTACGTATTACATCTATCTATATCTATATCTCACCATATCTCACCATAAACTCGCGTCAGCCCTTGAGGATGAAGACCTTGAGCAGCCGCGCGGAGGAGTGCAACGGTGCCACCTTGGCGCGTGTGGCGGATGCGGCAGTGCGGCTGCGGACACGGAGCCCCGAGCTAGAGGAGCTGCTCCAGAGATTGGCAGAGGTCCATTGGGTCTATGACTGGGCGAGATAAAACTGGGGCTAAAAATCTAGTTTTATCTAGGTTTTATGGCTGATGTTTCATATTTTATTTCTTATTTATCTAGTTTTATGGCTAATGTTTCATATTTTATTTCTTATTTATCTAGTTTTATGGCTGATGTTTCATATTTTGTTTCTTATAACTGAAAATAGTCAACGATATGGGATGATATGGATATATTCATTGGGAATGTTGATTAATGTTGACCAACGTGTATTTGTCCAAAAGTCAGGGACCAGCCCCCAATTTATGGTAGCTTGGCGGCAAATGTCGTTGCATGGCATGCTGATCTGCTTTGAATTTGTTGCGCCTTTGTTCACCGGTGCTCACTCTTCTACTTCAGGCCTTTGCATCCCGGGTTTAGTGGAACTTCACCCTCACTCATTCATTGATTCACTGATTCATAAAAATTCCGCGACTCACTAATTCACTCCTTCAGAGCTCTTCAACATCTTGTTTGAATCATAGAATTGGATGATGGGAAAAATTACAGGAAACCCCTATATTCACCCCGCTTCGCGTGGGGTGGCCGCCCACACCGCAGGTTTATTTAGGTCCGTGAGAGGGGCTAAGGGTGGTTTTCCCCCGTGGGGGCTCCCCAAGCTAAGAATTTTAACTTTCCCCCCCCGTGGGGGCTCCCCAAGCTAGGGAATTTTCACTTTTCCCCCCCGTGGGGGCTCCCCAAGCTAGGGAATTTTCACTTTTCCCCCCCGTGGGGGCTCCCCAAGCTAGGGAATTTTCACTTTTCCCCCCCGTGGGGGCTCCCCAAGCTAGGGAATTTTCACTTTCCCCCCCGTGGGGGCTCCCCAAGCTAGGAATTTTCACTTTTCCCCCCCGTGGGGGCTCCCCAAGCTAGGGAATTTTCACTTTTCCCCCCCGTGGGGGCTTCCCAAGCTAGGGAATTTTCACTTTTCCCCGCCGTGACAGCTTCCCAAGCTATGGAATTTTCACTTTTCCCTCCCTTGGAGGCTCTCCAAGCTGCGGAATTTCAAATAGCTAGACAACGACGCCTAGATAGTCCCCCAAATCCCGTGTTCTTTGAATGTGTTTCCATGTTTTTGCAATGGTTTCCTTCAAAGCACGGTACTTTACACTTTTGTCGCCATAAAACCGGTCGAAAACATCATGTTCGACAATGCTTCCAATTCCCTTATCTCCCCAACCGTTGAAAATACCGCTATTTACAGTGTTTTCTTCAATTTTTCCATGTTCCAATGCCGGTAGCCAACTCCAACATATATATAAGAAATCCTTCCAAAACATTGTTTTTGACAGTGTTTTTCCAATGTTTCCAGTCAAACAGACGGTAATTTACACGTTTTTTGCCATAAAGGCAGTAAATCCTTCCAAAACATTGCTTTTGACAGTGTTTTTGTAATGTTTCCAGTCAAGCATACGGTAATTTACACGTTTTTTGCTATAACGTCAGTCCAAAACACTTGTTTTTGCAGTGTTTTCAATGCTCTGGCATCCAAAAACCCTGCAAAATCTTGCTATGTACAATGTTTTTTTCATTTTTGGCCGTTTTTCCATTGCCGGAAAGCTACCAAAATGACCCAAAATTCCATTTCAATACCCTCTTGCGCTCAGACACCCAAAAATCCTCGAAAAATGTCGAAAACACCACCGTATTCTGGTCTCGGTGCGAAACCGTTTTTGGCCCCCCCCCCCAGCTAAAGCTGATATAGCGACTGCTATATTAACAAATGTCATTGAGCATTTAGTGTTGCTGTTTTGCCCCCCAATAAGCACGCCTTCACCACCAAAGCGGTGTGGGCGGATTTGATGGTAAAAACCATGGTTTCCTGTAAATTTTCCCTTAAACCAATCCAATGTTTGAATGGATGTTTTCAAATGTTTTCCCGCGACTCCCCCTGAACTCGCCAGGACCCCCCCAAAAAATCCCCAGTCCTCGGTCCCAGGTGACCGTGACGCGTCACAACTGCATCAAGCCTCAGGACATCTGGGTTACGTATCCCTTGGAAAATGACACGCTTTAATATACATATAATATACATAATATACATAATATACACATAGATTTATATATATATATATATATATTATGTATATATGTATATCGATTTATTTATTTAGACAACTGGCCATTCAATTTTTTTAAATGACATGTTGATCTAAATACGTTGTTCACACCAAACAAACATCAGTTCACTGCAAACAAGAAACATGGGTTCATCCCGGGCCGTCTGAAAGTGGAGTACCCCATTGCATCCCTGGCCCTAAACTTGGGGCCAGATAAAATTTGGTTAGTTCCCCTTGTTGACGACTATCCTCTAGTATCCCCATTATATTCCACCATGTTTTTAGGTAAAGCCAATTTTTAGTTTAACAAAGTTTTGGACAAAATCAGATAGATTAAACAACTCCTAAGTAATTGTTGTTAACTGTTCCCAATTTTCTTCATAAGTGTCCCGCATTTTATCCAACATTGCACGGTCCGACTCCAAAAATTCTTCATCATTTTCCCGCATTTGATCTGATTTCCCGAAGTTTTTCACCAAGAACAAGTTTTTCAATTTCCTTGAGATTCATTCATCCATATTTTGCCCATTTTGGATTCCATTTTTCCATATGTTTTCATATGTTTTCCATATGTTCCCATCTTTCCCCCCTATTTTTCCTCCAGTTTCATTCCCAGGACCTTTCTATCCTGGCACAAGCCTTCGGCTCTTGGCGCCTCGACCCTGGAGCCGATCCGGCGCGCTTCTTGCGGGGCGAAGCCTTGCGACAGATGCAGGCGCCATGCGCATTGATGTAGAGATTGGTGGGAGGTACCCCTAAATCATCCATTTTAGATTGGGATTTTAATACTTGATGCTTGATTCATGTTTGGATAAGTTGAGAAGACTTGAGATCAAGATGGGCTGAGATGTGGTTGGGTTTCTTTCCCTTTTCATAAGTACTGGAGAGTGTTACGGGGATTTTCTGGCCAGGTTCAATTAGTGGCTTTTGATGGGGGTTGAACCAGCCACTGATAGTTGGTTTTTGCATTGGATCAATCCAATTCCCCCCTGGGACATCTTAGGACCTTGAAAAATACGGTCTGCCCTGCCGTCATCAAACGTAGAAAAATTGGAAACCTTCCATTAAGAATCATTAAGAGAGGATTTTCGCAGTTAGAAACCTCCTTCAAACATTTTTCCCATATATTCCCAGCTAATAGAAACACAGTCGAAACCAGGAGTTCCACAAACCTCGAAACCTCCATTTCGACCATTTTCGAGGATTTCAAGTGGAACAGTTGCGTGCGTTTCTTGGACGCCTTCCGTCGCTGGGGCATCGTGGACCCCGAGTTGACCGCCATGACACTGGAGCGGCTCCAGGACGAAGCGACCGAGAGAGGCGACGAAGGATGTTGGATCGTCCAAGTCTTAGGGCTTATGCAACTATTCATTATATATATATAGAGTAATTATATATATATATATATTATATTTATTTATTTATTTATTCATTTATTTGTTGATTGTGTACATTCATATATATATATATACATACTGTATATGTATATAGATATGAGAGGGTCCAAAAATGCTGGATACCCCAAATATGTTTGATGGAAAACAAGATGATAAACCATGAGAATTTGGGATACCCACTGGAAATCCCAGCCAACTTCTCTCCCAAAGTCATCCTTGAGTGGCAACCAGCTGATAGGCACTATCCTGGTTAAGTGTTTTTCATCATACAGGTAGATCAAGATTTGGCAGCTGGACATGTCTCTGTGGATGTATGCCACATACCGAAATACTTCACCTGAAAACGGCTATTTTTTGCGCTACATGGACCAGGACATCTTACCCGCTGCCACCAACCGAGATGTGGTCATGATCTTGGAGCCATGGCGATTCGGAAAAATCAACCCCCCAAACCACGACTAGTCAGCCGCAGATTTTCCCTTCCTCAAATGAGCAGTGGCTGCTAAGCCCCTGTTGGTTGATGAATATATGTATATATACACACACACATGGGATTATACTAACCAATATATTGGATCATCACAAGCCATGACTTGGGAAACCCAAGAAAACGTTGGGATTGTTGGGACGACGCTGTAGACAAGAACAGCCACTCCCAAAAAATCCAGCCACTCCCAATGATTGTGATGGGAATATAACTACCAATCATTTGAAGCCGTTATATTCCCATCACAATCAACCATGATACCGTGGATGGTTGCGAAATCCTGCACCACCGGATGGTTGAAAGCCTATAAATGATGGGATGTTTACCACCGTTTTCAAGTGGTTTTCGGATTTCGCAACCATCCACCGAGGAAGTCTTCAGCAAACTGGGCATTGCACGCTTGGAGCTGCTGCAGAAGCTCTGTCAGATGGCCTTCAGCGGCTCAGACATCACCATTCCGACAGATGGCTTGTGTAAACCATTCCCAAATGCTTCCGGTAGGGAGGTTTACCCTCTGGTAATTTAACATAGCTATTAAAAATGGTCATTAAAAGTGGATTTTCCCATTAAAAATTGTGATTTTCCATAGCTATGTTAGTTTACCAGAGGGTAGGGCATTGGGTTTACCACATTATGTTGGGGAACGACTAAGCATGACCCCATGCTTAGTTTGGGTGTGCGATGATCAGCGCGATCTTTAAATTTAGCGGGTGACTATTGAGATCTCCTGATCATAAGCCCCCGTGGAATGACGCCCCAAAATAAATGCGGGGTGTCTGCAGTGTATTTATTGTGATTGGAGAAAGAGATGAATTTGAATTGTGGATGGCCAAAATCACCTATTTGTGTTAGTGCCACCACCACTTCTGTTCGTAATTTCCAGATTTTAGATGGTCAAACCAGCATTTTTGCAGGTGAATCCAGTAAAGTCATGTTACAAAACGGTGTTTTGTTGATAGACTCCAGCAACATGTGTTGGTTGATACCCAGCCTCAGGCAACTTGTGGCTCTTCAGCCCACAGCAACTGGTTTCAGTCACCTCATCCCTGGCAAAACTTCGGTTCCTGACGGAACGAGATGTGGAGGACGGGGTCATCGTGGCTTTAGGCCATCCCCATGTGCTAGGGTCAAGTTACATCGTATGTGGTATAATAATGTATATATATATATATCTATATATATTACATTATCATATAGTTATATACTCTATAATTAATTTGTTAATATATATATATATATGTTATTATAGTATATATTATTATATTCTATAATATATATATACACACTCTATTCTATTATATTTATATTATATTTATATTATATTTATATTATATTTATATTATATTTATATTATACTTATATTATAGTCATGTTATATTTATATTATATTTATATTATATTCACATCATATTTATATTATATTTATATTATATATATATATTATATTTATATTATCTTATATTATATCATATTTTGATTATATTGTTATATTATATTATATTCTATTATATTATATCATATTATATTATATCATATTTATATTATATTATATTATATTATATTATATCATATTTATATTATATTATATTATATTTACATAATATTATATTATATTAATACATATTGTTATATATATATATATATATTCTACAATATTTATATACATGGTCCAACCCCCCGCCCCCCCTGGCCATGGTCGTGGGTCAGCCATAGTACTGTCCCCCTTCCCCCCTGTGGTGTGGTGGGGGTGTAGTGTATGTATGACGATATATATGGCATGGTGGGTATGGTGAGTATGGTATGTAATTATCTCATGTGCGGTATGTTTGATATGTATGGTATGTTTGGCATGTATGGCTGGTATGGTATGTATGGTATGTTTGGTATGTATGGTATGTTTGGTATGTATGGCAGGTATGGTGTGTGTGGCATGTATGGTTGGTATTGTATGGATGGTAGGGGTCGTATGTAAGTATGTTGGGTATGGCATGTTTGATATGACGGTATGTATGGAGTGTATGGTCGGTCTGGTATGGTATGTGTGCTACGTAGGTCGTCTAAAGGTAGCATGTACCTAGTAAATGCGAGGCTGGTAGTCAGAAATGCTGCGAGGCTGGACCTCAGAAATGCTGCCAATAGCTTGCAAATAGAAGGGAAAGGGGTGCTACCTGCGGACCCATACCATTGGGGGGTAGGAACACGGAACACGAGATATATTCATTCTATAATTAAGACATACATTGCAGATTATATTATTATGTGTATTATATTTATATTCGATAACATGTATATATATATATATATTCGATGATATATATATACATACACATAAGTACATTACTATGTTTCATTTGATATACATTGTCTCTTATATATGTTACTACATTATATATATATATGTATACACATTCTTTTATATAAAGTATATATAATACGATAGATTTATAATGGTATATGGTGATCCATCCCATGGTTATCATGGGATTTCACAATCAAACCTCGGGATTCACCATGGTTTCGTTGGGCATCAAACATGGGGAAGTGACGGTTTTCGTTTAGGGAAGATGAGTCGAGTAATGAAAGCTAGAAACCAAAAAGGGATGCACTTGGTTTACTTGGTTTACGTGTACTCGTTTTTTTTTTTGGATTCCAGATGACCTTGTCGATGCGACCGAAAAGAGGGTAGGGATGATTGAAATGATGGAGAAAAACTAGAACTACTGTATATATATATATTTAGGTTGGTTAGTAGCTCCCCAAACATCGGAGAGGCGTTCAAAGCAATTCGCTCTTTCTGTTTTTTTGATGAACTGGTGCCATCTAGACCTTGACCAGTGGCTGTATTTGCCTTGGCGTCACAGCAGACTGCGTATCTGCGTGTTTCTTTTTCCTTGATGATTTTGTGAAACGAACCAACACAGTTTGGACATTAGTGCTTACTGCTGCATGCCACCTTATATCTTACTTATGGGTAAATCAGACAGATCAATTTGACATCCATTTGCTGTGGTCTTGGAATTTTTGACATGCATATCATATCTGGTTGGTGGTTTGGAACATTTTTTATTTTTCCATATCTTGGGAATGTCATCATCCCAACTGACGAACTCCATCATTTTTCGGGTAGGTATACCACCAACCAGATATCTTTTCCATTTTCTTGTCCAGCATGCTTTGCCATCCATGGCTAGGAGCTCTTGAAGGCGTTGATGCCGCAGTTTGGGCGGCTGAGCGATGTGGATGTGGGCAGGTGGGAAGGTGGGAAACCTCAGGTGATGTCAATCCTCCAAAATTAGAGGTTCATTGTTGGAGACCATTCATTTATAGTGTTTTGTTTTCTGAAAAATGGGATGTATATGTATATGTACACATACAATTTCGGATCACTTATATTTATATCATTGTATATTTTTTGTTGATTATATTTGTATTGTTGGTGTTGCGATCTTTATGTTGATTGGATAGACATTTATCAATATGTATTTTGTCTGAAATTTTTATATTTTTTGGACTATCACAACTTTTGCTCGGTTAAGTTGACATCTCAGACAGCTGAAATACGCATTGTGGTCGCTCCGGTCAATTCGATCCCAGGTTTTTATATATTTCTGTTTGGTAGGTATATAATACATCACCATTTTTGGTTGCCACGCATCCCAATTCCCCATTTGTCAGGACTAACATATTGTTTTTATGTTGTTTTGTATACGTTCTCACTGAACATTCTCCGTTGGTCAGACTCACCAGTCCAAAAGTCCGCAAAAGCTTGGATTCCCCATCTGAACAGGTTACCCTAACGTTGTAAACGTTTACATAGGTCTATGTAAAACCCATTGCGGATGCTTTTCGTAAGGGTTTTCTGCACTTTTTCTATGTTTAGGGAAAACCCACCAATTGTGGATGATTTTCCTAAGGTTTTCTAAGGTTTTCCACATTTTTTTTTCTCTCTCTGTTTTTTGGGTAACCAGGGCTGCCACCTAGCCGGAGGTTGCTCTTTGCCCTGGCCATGGCCAATGTTTGCTGCGCTCAAGATCCCAGGCTTAAGGTGCTGGCAGTATCTTGGCGTCCAAGGCAGCGCCAGCCACGCTGCAGCTTCGGATGACACGTGGGAATGTATATCTATATATATACACGTATATGGATATATATATATGTATATATATATGTATGTACATATATATATATATATATGTGTATGTATGTAATGTAATGTAATGTAATGTAGTGTAGTGTAGTGTAGTGTAGTGTAATGTAATGTATGTATGTATGTATGTCTTCACCAGTCCATTTCCATCCATTTTGAAGTACCAGTTCATGCATTTTGGTACGTAAGAAGTTATCTGTTTGGGATCAAGCCTTCCAGACTAGCCAGTTTGTCCCACAGATACTGTGAAAAGCATTGGATTTGAAGTGATTTTGACTGCTGAGAATAGCATAACTGTTGGATTCCCTGCGGCCCTGCCTGTGCCTCACTAAGCCGGGCCTGGAACCATGATTTTACTCCAGGGTCGATGAAGATGATGATCAATCATGAACATGGCGAGGATTTTTGGTGCGTTTCTCCACATTGTTCCCACATATCAAAACTATCAAGTTGGTCTTGTATCCCAGGATACCACCATTATATACCAACCATGGATGATAGATCAACGGGATACCACCATTATATACCAGTATTAAATACCAACCATTAGATACCACCATTATATACCAACAATGTGTGTTTCTTTTGCGGCACATTTTTGTGGATGATAGACCTTGCACCTCGAGGCTCAATATGTGGGCGCTGGGAACTCAGATGTGCTAAGCGACATCGATGTGGCCTGGGCCCTAGCTGTGCTGGGGCTCGATCGATACTTCCCAGCTGCTGGGCTGCAGGATGTTTTGACCAGGCAGATCATCAAATCCCATAAACGATATATATATATATGATATATATATATATGATATATATATATATGTGTGTTATATATAATATATAATAATATATATATATGTTATATATAATATATAATATATAATATATAATATATAATATTTAATATATAATATATAATATATCATATATAATATTATAATATATAATATATAATATACAATATATAATATACGATAAATAATATATAATATATAATGTATAATATGGAATATATAATATACACTATATGATATATAATATATAATATATGATATATAATATATGATATATAGTTTATAATATATAATATATGATATTTAATATATAGTATATAATGTATAATATGGAATATATAATATACAATATATAATATATAATATATATAATATATGATATATGATATATAATATAGAATATATAATATATGATATTTAATATATAATATATAATGTATAATGTGGAATATATAATATATATAATATATGATATATAATATATAATATAGAATATATAATATTTGATATTTGATATTTAATATAAAATATCCATATACAATATACAATATATAATATATAATATATAATATATAATATATAATATATGCAATACAGTATATATATATATCTTTCTGTACCATATTATACACGTACTGTATGTTCTTCGTTTTCCCGTTGAATGTTGAACATGAAACTCAATCTGAATTGTATTCAAAGGGGTGTTTTCTTACTAAATGTTGTTTGGGAATCCACCACCACCCTTGAGTTTGTCTTCAAAAACGGGCCAAAGTGAACCATTTCAAAGACAGGACGTGACAGGACCTCACGACAGTAGGGGTCACAAGTGAATGATCCAAGGCCTGACCTGACTTGAGGCCATGGTGGAGAGGATCGCTGAGATGGGCATGGTGGAGAAACGCAGCAGTTTGGTGAAGCTGCATGACGCTTCATGGTGGCATTCTGGGGGATGATAAGGGTTATAACTTGAACCTCACTTTGCCAATCCACAAATGTGCTCTGAAAGTACCAATGGGATGTAACTATCCAATTTTTTGGGTACACACTGGCTTGACCCACGATCAATATGCGAGCTGAAACTCAGGGGTACTACTGATACTGCTATCCGAGAAGCTTGTAGCAAGTTCACGCGCTGACAACCAGGAGAACTTCTAAACCATTGGGAAGTGCCGTGACAAAGACCATCCTAAGGTTACAGTCAAGGCAATCCTCCCACAAGCCATGTCTTCCGTCGCCGAAGGTCCCATCATAGCAGGTTCCAGGAGTCGGCTCAGAAGAAATCCCCAGGAAATCCCAATCTTCTTGGTAAAGACCATGCCTTCCAGCAAAATTTCCCACCAAGACCAACTAAAATATGAACATCTAAAATCCATGGTGTTTCTCGAACATGTCGCACTTTGGGAAGGTCAAAAACATGGTGTTTTCGGTGTTTTCTCTGGACATTTCCAACTTGGGAAACTTCTGGCAGGTTCTCTGCCACGTGGCGCATCAACGTCCAGAGTTTCCCCTGCCGTCGGAGCTGCGGCGAGCAGCGCGAGATGCGGCCGCGGCGGAGGTGCAGAATGGTCGGAAGTTGAAGAAATGGTGCTTTAATGAGGCAACCATGGGCTATTCATGGGAATATCATGGGTGAATGATGACAAAAACCGACCTGGTCTTCCGAAAAAATTCGGAAAGTCACCACTTTTGGGGAATCTATAGTTTTTTTTTTGGGAAATCCTTATGAATCCAACAAAATGGCGGTGTAATGTGATAATCATGGGGTAATCAAATGAGGAGAATCACGGGGATGTGATGGGTGAACTTATTTTTTCTCAAGTTTTTGTTCAAGATTCAGGTCGTCAGTAGTATTATATATATAATTATATATATATATTATTACCATTTATTGCCCCCATGAATATTTTGTCCGTTTCCAAACAAAATATTGATAACAATGATAAGTGTCAATGGTGTCAGGTAATATCAATGGGAAACGAGTGGGGGTAAACATGACATGTGGTGAGCTCCTACAATTTATCAAGATTGATCCCATCATACCGATAAGAATCTTATTACCACTGCAAGCAGCATATGGCCGCCCAATTGAGAGATCCAGTAACGATCGTTTCTAGAGGGTAATATTAGAGGGAAGGGATCCATATTAGGGGAGTATCAAATACTAATCATTACTAATAACCATATTAATTACTAGTTATATACCATATTAATTCCATATTATACCTGTAACTAAATCATTACTAGGGGTGAATTTCTTGTCAAACCACGTGAGCCATAGCATTTCTTGTCCGATTTATCAGTTGAATAAGAATTTGAAACTAGATTGAACATAACATAAACATATCATAGCATTGTAAAAGACTGATCCAAATATATCAATCATCTAGTATTGACACAGTACTTGAACATATTTCATTACATATGTACTGTATAAACATATAATCCAAATAATCCAAATAGTTTATCATTCAACAATCCCATATCTACCATCCAAATGTCAACGAGGCCCAAAGATTGGCCTCATCGCAGATGCGGAGCAAGGCGCCTAGGGCGCCTAGGGCGCCTCGCCTCCTTCCTGATGCCATTGATCTACTTGGAAGAGTGTACTTTGTATATTTGATCTTATATTGTACAAAATAATCTAAGAGACTAAAGTATACCAAAGATAAGATCAATTGAAAAAAACTGTACAAAATCTACCAAGTACACTCTCTGTAAAATAAAAATAAAGAGAATAAAGAGACTAAAGCAAAAAGTAATCTAAATCTACTAAATCTACCCTCTGGTAAACCCTACCTGGTAAACTAAGATAGCGAACTGGAAAATCACCATCGTTAATAGGTAAATCAATGTAAATCAACCCGCCAGGTGGGTAATTGAACGTGGCGACGTTGCCTTTTTGATGTTTGTGGATTCTGTGTCGTTTTGCGTTTTGCAATGGATTTCATGTCTTTTTGTCAAGTTTGCATCTCATTTCCATTGGTTCTATTGTTTTTCTGTGCGCAGGCCATCAAATTTTGACATTTCATCCCCAGAAAAGTACTCTATTTTTGGGGGGGTCATTTCACAAAGTGACAGTGGGGCCATAGTTTTTGCACATGAAAGCGGCTATTTTTTTCTGCAGAGCTGGTGACATCAGTTTGGTCACATCTGTGCCAAGGTCTTGCCAGTCAGAGACATGAGGAAATCTCCATGTTTCAGGGATTTCCAGCGCCATTGGGATGTTAACGTAGTTGGAAGTTAATAGAGAAGATAACAACATACTTCGAAGATGTCTTACAAGGGGTGCTAACGTAGTTGGAAGTTTATACTGTAGTTAAGATAACTACGTAGTTAGAAGATGTCTTAGAAGAGATGCTAACGCAGTTGGAAGTTGACAGAGAAGATAACAACGTAGTTAGAAGATGTCTTAGAAGAAATGCTAACGCAGTTGGAAGTTGACAGAGAAGATAACAACGTAGTTAGAAGATGTCTTAGAAGAGATGCTAACGTGTTGGAAGTTGACAGAGAAGATAACAACATAGTTGGAATGTCAAAGAAGCCAGTAACGTAGTTTGAAACTCTTACTACAAAGGACGTTGATACCCCACCCCAACCAACCCCACCCCGTGCAAGATGTTAGAGAAGTCAATAACGTAGTTGGAAGTTCTTACTACCAAGGACGTTCATACCCCACCCCACCCCACCTCTAGATGTTAGACAATTAAAACAGATTCAAATAGTGACAGCTACACGTTCGGTTGTCCACCCGTAGGCTAAATCAACGAACTAGATGGGCAATTTTCAATAGCAAACTGTTAAATTAGCAGAGGGTAGAGTCCAAGAGGTTTTTTGGCAACCTGAGCGGCCTAGTCCGGACAGGGCCAGGACAGTAGATCTGTGAAGTTACCGAGAAGCCAATGGATCAATGGGAATTCCAGGATCCTAAAATGGAGGTACTGTACCATATAAGGCCATATTTTGCTGGGATATTCACTTACATAGGCCTTACATAGGCCTTATATATGGTAGGTACCTCCAATTTAGGTTCCTGAGATGGCCAGTGAATGGAGCAATGTATTTCTCTTTGATGGATATCATAGGGCCAGTTAGAGGTTCTGAAACAGGTCCTATGATTCATGATACTTGCCCACATTTTTTCCGTTGACTTAACATCGCATTTTCCGAGTCATGAATAGTTATAACTTCAATTTGTCAATTACAGCTACCATGGCAGGAAGGCACTTGATCTTCGTTGTTTCCCCACGATTTGTCATCACTACCCCAAACGGTGCTCTTGGAGAAAACCTGCCAGGTGCTGACCGTGTGTCACCGCCTCGTTCCGCCGCAAACGCCTCAGAGGACAATGGCAGGGCCTTTTCAGGTGGACTTTGTGGATGAGAGGCGCTGGATCCAACCTGTTCTCATCGGATTTTGGTCGGATTTTTGTAGCATCAACCCCTCATCGAATCTACCCAGCTGATGTTGTGTATCCCTATTCCAGTGTTTTTTTTTGTTTGGAGGGTTGCGGCCCTACAGTTTTTTCAACATAGCGCCAGGTCGAAGTTGGTGGTGGATCTGGATCTGGTGAGTTGGCCCATGACGCGCAAGCTGCGACATCAGATCCTTGGAGATCAAGGATATACCACGGTGACGGGGCAGCACCTGGATTTTCCCGGGGAAAACGAACCATGTGAAATAGGGGAAACATGGTGGATTTTAAGTTAAAATCCGCTGATATGTTGATATGGAGCTCAAACCCTGGTTTTACCCATGTGAAACTATCAGGTTTTCCTGCAACCACTTCCGTAATTTGTGTATTTAAGATTCGTCCCCAGATGTTAGTTTGGCACGAGGACATGAACAAGAACAGGGGGCCGTTTCATCTATATTGGAGGAGGTTGTTGGCCAGGGTTCTGTTTTTCTTTTAATGGGATTTCATGGTATGATTCAAGATAAAGTCAATTTAAAGGCTTACGCCTGACGCGCCGGCCAAGCAACGACTTTTAGCTTATGGTGTGGGAAGATTCTGCCGAGATTCTCCGCGCAAACCCAGCCTGTATGGAAGCAGTCAGGGCCTATGTTGAGCGCATGTTGTGCCCATGTTGGGCCAAGTCGGGCCCATGTTGAGCCATCTTGGGCCCATCTTGGGCCCATCTTGGGCTTATGTTGGCCCTATGTGGCCCCATGTATGGTTGTATATCAGCAAATTCCATCTTACAAGGATTGCAATTTGCTCTGCGGCGTCGGATACGCGATATTTGTCTCTCGCCAAAAAGACTACCTTTGCTCCACATTGTCATGTTTGAGACGGATCGTTCTAACCTGGTGGACCAGATTTTTATGGGGATTGCACTTGGAAATTTCACTGGACTGTCACCTGTCGCCGCGCGCTTTTGCGCTTGTGCGGCCCCATAGGAATTCTGGTGGTTTCGTATGTTTTTCCTTTTTTTTTTCCCCCACACTCCACAGTGTTTCGTGACACTCGCCTCGTTCTGTTGCGTGTCACGTCGGTCAGAAGTTGCGGCACGTTTGGTAGAAATTGTGCACGTTAGTTAGAAACTGTTGCGCGTTCCAGGCAGAGATGTTGTCATCGAATGACCATATGAATATGATTATTTTTGGGGTGGGGAAAATGGGTGGGGTGCGGTGCGGGTGGGAGGGGGAATAATTTGATGCTACGTTATAGAATTTTATCTTGTTTTGTGGTGATGTTGATCATTACTTTCAACCGCAAGTCATGCGTGGCTGTTTGACTTTGACCTTCACTACGCTGCTGTATTTGTGCTGGGCTTCAGAATAGCAGACAACAAACCAGTGAAATCTGAGGATACATTTGTTGCAAAACCGCCGCAAGATGCGGTGACAGAGCATCGAAGCGTTGCTTCAAAGGTATCAAGACCCAATTTTCCGGTCTCATGTAGAAACATGTAGAAACCCCATTTTGATCCATTTTTGTTGGTCAAGATAGCTCATCCAATTGTTGGGATCGAACCCAACAAAGGGCCCGACCGCCGCGTTTCTCGATTTCCCGAGGTGGCGTTGCCGTATTGGGAGGTGAAACGCATGAGATCTGACGAAGATCTGTGGAGTTTCATCGAGTTTTTCGCGAAGAAAAGGGGACTGACTGGGCGGGGACTGGGCCAACTGGTGAAACCCCAAGTCGATTGCGGGAAGATGAGGAAAGTACTGGATATGGTCATGGATATGGTCATGAAATATAATAAGAATTAATAAGATAACATGCCATATGATTTTCATGTTGAATTTAGGGGGTTGATACATGTTTTTGACATTTCTGACCATTTTTTTTTGTCACTTGGGAGGACATAATGCATATCCCACCTAAGCTTTTGATCTTTGGAAGGGTATCTTGGGCGCCGTCTCAGAGAAACGAGGCCCACCCTAGGCTTTTCCTTGGTGCTAGACATAGATTTCCTAAATTTTCCATGATTCCCCAAGCGTGTTGAGTGTGATTCAGACTTTTCGTTTGAAGTCTTTATACTCAAGACATCAGCCGATCCTTAGGACTCGTGTTGGCTTACTGGGCTTTCAATGTCTTGATCTTGAGGGATTGAGGCTGTAACCGCCAGATCTGGAAGCTTCCCAATGACCGGCGCCATATTCTGGGCGTCTAGTGACAGCGGCTATGAGTACAACTGAATCAGATGTGCTTCAATGGGTTGGTCAATAGATCAACTGGCTCAACTTATTTTTCATACCGACCCAATTGGTCCTTATTTTCCAATGAATGGCACATCAATGGTCCTAAACATGTCCCCAAATCCCATGGATTGACGGAGGTGAAAATGCCGACAGCTCCATCGAGATGGACCGAGAGGCCCCAATGAAAATCAGAGCCAACGGTGAATTCTGATAGTTCAACCAACCAGATTTTTTTTTCAGTGTTTTCCCTGTCTTTTCCATCATAAAAAAAACGTATTTGGGTTTGTGTCGCTATATCTTAGCTAAACCCAAAAGGTCGCTGCGGCCTGTTTTTGAAGTTATTTAGACGTATTGAACGTGGGGGGGCGTACGGCCATCTGAACGAGGGTACAGCGGGGGTGCGAACGTGTGAACGGGGGGCGAACGGGGGGACGAACGGGGGGGCGAACGTGGGGGCGAACGTGGGCGAATGTACGCACGTACATACGCCGTACGTGCACGCACACACACACATGCACACACGTACGCACATACATACGCACAGACGTGCACGTACGTTCGCACGTATAAACGTACGTAGGTACCATGTTCAGACCCATGTTCAAGCCCATGTTCAGACCCATGTTCAGAAATAAGGTTACCTTTGAAAAGTGACCTCCTAATACTAAATATGCTTTAGGAGGCTTAGGGTCGTACAGAAATAAGGTTACCTTTTATATAAAAGGCAACCTTAAAGGTAACCTTATTTCTGAACATGCATGTGAACGTGCGTGCGTACATGCACATGAACGTGCGTGCGTGCATGCGTACGTACGTGCGTACATGCGTATGTGCGACCCCTTCGTGCGACCCCTTCATGCGCCCTCAAGGGGGTGGGCCCGCCCTCAAAATTGCACGGGTTTCGAATACCAACAAATTTGTACCAGTATTCTTGGGTTGTACAGTAGGTGTACAATAATTTCGGCACAGGTTGACTGTACTAATTATCACCAGGCAAAACAAGACTAGTCGAATTGTTCGCCCGTCCGCTCGCCCCCCGGCTCGCCCCCCCGCTCGCTCGTGCGGGCGACGTTCGTCCACCCGTTCGCCCGCATGTTCGCCCCTACGTTCGCCCCCCCGCTAACCCCTCGTGCGGTTTTCAACATATCCACGGCAGCGAGTTTTTGAGTTTAGCTAAGCTATATCCCTAAACAGAAATATGGGTATGGATCAATACCTATTAATACCATTTTTAGTGGGATGAACATCCATTTACCAGCTATTTTGATGTTCACCAGGGGTACAAGGTTTTGACACACTGCCATATGAATATACGTATATATATATATACATGTATATGAATAGTTTGTTGAGCTGCTCAGTTGTGGTTTCAGTCCTGATTCCTCTTTCGATTTTTCAACCAGCAGGTTGATGCGGCTTACATCGGCTTACTACAAATCTATCTATGTCTTGGACAAGAAGACTTGTTGGTTCGTTTGCACATAGCAAGTCTGCCAAAAATCTTTTCATGTTCAGTTATCGGGCAGCCTGAAGACTGCAGATTGCGTCCTGGCCATGATTTACAAGTCATCAACTGTTGAAGGAGGCCTAGGCCCACAGGAGCGTATTCAATCTGCACTTTCGTGGTTTGATTTTGCATGATTTTGCTATTAGGCTAGCTGCTGCATCTTCCGATTTTCGGCACTTCCATCCAATCTTCGCTGGAAGCCACAGCACTCAGGCCACAAAAGCTTCAAGGCCGTTGGATGTGGGTGTCATCATGGCTCCCAACTATGATCATCCCGAAAACACCAAAATATACAATAAACGAAGGGTTTCCGAGCAAAAATACTCCCCCCAAGAAATCATTCACCAACCATCATTTATCAATTAGACAATTATATATATATGTATTCCAATGTTGATGATTCAAATGGTTCAAAGCCGCACCCCCAAAAATGAGGCTTTGGTTACTGTTAAATCATCAACCAATAAAGGGGGTTGAAGAAATAACACATAGAGTATCCCCACGAAAATTTCCATATAATTCCCATATCAATCCCATCTAAATCCAATATCAATCCCATCTAAATCCCATGAAAACAGATGAAATCCCATATAAATTCCATCCAGATCCCATGAAAACACATGAAATCCCATAAAAGCCTGTCTAAATCCCATGAAAACACATGAAATCCTATATAAATGTCATCTAAATCCCATCTGAATCCAAGGAAAGCACATGAAATCCTATATAAAAATGTCATCTAAATCCAATCTAAATCCCATGAAAACACATGACATACTGTATAAATGTCATCTAAATCACATCTAAATCCAATGAACACACATGAAATCCTATGTACATATTATCTAAATCCCATCTAAATCCCATGAAACCACATGAAATCCTATATAAATGCTATTAAAATCCCATTTAAATCCCATGAATACACATGAAAGCCTGTATAAATGTAATCTAAATCACATGAAAACACATGAAATCCTATATAAATTCCTGTCTAAATCCCATGAACACACATGAAACCCTATATAAATGACATCTAAATCCAATCTAAATCACGTGAAAACACATGAAATCCTATGTAAATGTTTCTAAATCCCATCTAAATCCCATGAAGACACGCGAATTCCTATATAAATGTCACCTAAATCCAATCTAAATCCCATGAAAACACATGAAATCACATATAAATGTCATCTAAATCCCATCTAAATTCCATGAAAACCAATGAATTCCTATATAAATGTCATCTAAATCTTACACATGAATTCCTATATAAATGTAATCTAAATCCAATCTAAATCTAAAGAACACATTTGAAATCCTATATAAATGTAATCTAAATCCCATCTAAATCCAATGAAAGCACATGAAATCCTATATAAATTCCATCTAAATCCCATGAACACATATGAATTCCGATATAATTATATCTAAATCCATCTAATTCCAATCAAAACACATGAAATCCTATATAAATTCCATCTAAATCCCATGAACACATATGAATTCCGATATAATTATATCTAAATCCATCTAATTCCAATCAAAACACGTGAAATCCTATATAAATTCCATCTAAATCCCATGAACACATATGAATTCCGATATAATTATATCTAAATCCATCTAATTCCAATCAAAACACGTGACATCCTATATAAATTCCATCTAAATCCCATGAACACATATGAATTCCGATATAATTATATCTAAATCCATCTAATTCCAATCAAAACACATGAAATCCTATATAAATTCATATCTAAACCCCATCTAAATTCCATGAAAACACATGAAATCCTACATAATCTATATAAATTCCATCTACTGCAAATCCCATGAAAGCACATGAATTCCTATCTACATCCCATCTAAATCCAACCAAAAATTCATCAACCAGGGCGGGTGATCGCAGGCCAGCAGAGGCGGTCGCCCGAAAACTCACCGAGCAGGTGGCCGGATTTATTCATGGTGATCAAGTAGATCAAATGATGTGTATAAGGTGCATATATATATATAACATATCAAATCAAACCAAATCTAATATAATATAATCTAAGCTAACAATACATATATAGGTATATATATACACACATATACACCAGGCATAGATATAAAGGGGAACATATTGACAAAAACAATGGCAAAGGTTATATAGCCTAGTTGTAAACCAACTTGCTTGTCTTGGGGGTCTCACTTTAAAACAGTTTCTCAAGTCCACGCTCCGAAAGTCCCCCATCCCGCAACATGGATGCTACTACCTTTCATGGCACCACTTGGGCTGGTCATGTACTGTAACCCTTTCCCCATAACAACTCCTTCACATGAAGCTGATTTTCCGCAATGGTTCTGAGTCACATCTTAATTACATCTTATGGATCATGTGTTCTTTGTCAAACACTGGCAGTCAACAACTCAACCTTGTTGCAAGGGGCACATGGTGTAGTCGTATCACATCCGCTCCGCATGCGGAAGGCCCTGGATTCAATCCCCAGTGTGTCCATGTCCACTGGGATGACAACGTACTTCTGTAGAACAGCATCCCTTGGTTTCTCTGAAACCTTTTCTGGCATCTGGGGTCTATGCCGGTGTGATTTTTCTACATATGTACAAAGACTATGCAAGCTGACACATCTAGCAACTGAATTGAGCTTGAGCCCTGATGCCACTCACAATAGGTTGAATGCAAAGAAAATATGCATAAATTGACGAACACAACTTGGCCCAACCAAGGTCAAGAGGGAATATAACAGTACTTGATGGGGTTAAAAACAATAACCTGGCTGGTTTCCACCTTGTACCCATGATTGTTGCCTTTTTTTATGGGGGTTTCCAATCCATGGGGGTACGGGGAACCCAACTGGGGATCCCCCATGACTATGGAACCAGCTTTCCCCAGGCCGCTGAATTGCAGCGATGGCATGAGATCAGCGAGGAGAGCAGCCGACAGCTCCAGGGGGTGCAGCAGGAGGCGAAGATGTCAGGAGTTCACCCCGCGAAAAATGGTGGTTTGACTGGTTTCATGAACAATGAGGATTGAAGATGATTGAAGCATCATGAATGGCGGCTTCAGCAACAATGTGGATTTCACCAGCGAATTTGATGATCTTTGTCTGAAAATGATGATTTAACCAAACGCAATAGGGATTGAGTGGTATGCACTGAGGATAAAATGGGGTTGTAGTGGGGATATTGTTTGGGACCTATGATATCGCAAAAACATGACATTTGGTGTGTCTGAACATGTAAACTTGAATAATGACAAACCTGTGGATTTTTGGGGTACCCTATTTTCAGATGAACCTATGTGCAGATCATTTTTTAAATTTTGGAAGATTTGCGTATTGACGTGGGGACTTAATTTGGAATGATCCAATTTTCTGAATGTCCCACATGATCCTAAATGGTGGGTGTGGCTTTGGATGATTTGCATGGTAACTCCCAGATTTTCACAAGACTTGCCTAGTGAACTGGGAACTTCCAGCCAGGTTTGATGAAACTGTGTATGTTCGAGAAATTGAAGTAACCTTTAGCAGTAAAATCCGAAATTTGCATGGCAGAAACCATCGGTTTCTATTTCTGCTTGAACCGGCCTAGTGCATTGGTCATGGCGGCCCCAGAAGCAAGCGGTTACACAATTTTAAAGAATCAACAAGTAGGTTGCGGCATCTACGCATCCATCTATCAGGTAGGTAGATAAATAGATAGACAGATAGATAGATCGATAGATCGATCGATCGATCGATAGATAGATAGATAGATAGGTTATAATAGAATTATTTAAGTCTTGTGACATGTGTATACTTGTATGTCTACATAGGTCCATCGATTGTCGCAAGAGTAGCTCCAGTCGTAGATCGATCACCCGGCAGCAGTCCATTCTCAATGACACCACGAGAGTTTCAGCACTGAGGCTACATCCTCCATGTCATTTGTTATGTTGACGTCAAGCATCTACTGCTGCAATGGGTATGTCCAAAAGATAAGCTCCCCCACATCCCATGAGTATTGCCAGAAAATGGGATGGCAAACACCAAACTGGACAAACAACACCGGTAAAACGTAGGAAAATTGACCAAGAGATACCAAGAAAAATTCGGAGTTGACCATAGTTCCCCACATCTTTCTGTGGGGTTCTCGTTTTTGGTTCTGTATCCCGCCGTCAGCTCCTCCTCCGCCTCCGCCACTTTGTCACGCACAATCTTTGTCACACACACACAACTTTGTCACGCACACACAATCTTTCACACACACACACAACTTGTCACACACAATCTTTCTCACACACCATCTTTCACACAAGAACTTTGTCACACACACACACAGCTTGTCACACACACACACAACTTGTCACACACAATCTTTCTCTCACACACACACAACTTTGTCACACACACACACAATCTTTCACGCAACAACTTTGTCACACACACACAACTTTGTCACACACACAACTTGTCACATTTTTTTCTCACACACACAACTTTGTCACACACAATCTTTCTCACACACAACTTTGTCACACACACACAACTTTGTCACACACACAACTTTGTCACACACAATCTTTCTCTCACACACACACAACTTTGTCACACACAATCTTTCTCACACACAACTTTGTCACACACAGCTCTTTCACGTACAACTCTTTCACACACCACTCTTTCACAGACAACTCTTTCACACACATGCACACACACACACAACTTTTTCGCATACAACTTTGACACACCGAACACTTTCACACATCGCGCTTTCACACTAATTTGTCAAACACAAGCCTTTCACATACAACTTTTTGAACTTATCAATCCTCCACCACCTCCTTTGTCTTTCCTCCCTTCCCCGTCCCGCTTGAACTTCTGTTTCTATTGGAAGAAGTTGCCCCAGTTGGGGTTATCCGGTCCTTGAATTGACCCAAACATGGTGTTTTTTTAGCCATTTTTGACTGTTCCCGTAACGGATCCCGTAACGAGAGGTGCAAGAACTGCACGCCAAGCTGAAGCTGAAGGAAGGGGAGCTGCGAAGCCCAGGGGCACCGATGACACCGGTATGACACCGGTATGACACCGGTCGCTGGAAGTCCCAAAAAGATGGAGAAGTACATAGTGTATCCATAGTGTCACTATTTGTTTGTTGGTTTTGAATTTTTTTCTTGGACCAAAGGGAGAAAAAACACAGGGATAAAGAACCAAGATGGATCCGGCGATTATGGTCAAGTTGCATGGGGTACCGTTCTGGTACCGTTCCCCGTGGACCGAAACACGGGAACGGTGTGTCGTGGTGATGTTTCTCTGAGTTTCACTTGACGACCAGGGGGTGAGCACATAGCAAATTGGGTGCGAAACATGTTCGTTAGACCATTTTTTGTGCAAACAACTTGAGAACTAGAGGGACCACATGGGGGCAGGTAATTTTTTTGGATGCTTGGGAATGTTCATCCCAAATTTGGGTTTAAACACCGATAGACGGTGTTTTTTTTTGACCCCTTGGCCCTTGGCAACCGGGCCCGAAAAAGGCCTGGAACTTAAGAAACATTTTGAACCATTTAAGTTGTTCCCTGAAATGAAGACCTCACAATGACCTCACCATAAATGGTTAGCCGGGAATCATATCAAACATGGTTTCTCTTAGCTTTGAAAATGGTACTCATGTGCCCATATAAATTCATGCATCCGAGTTTTGGCGGTCGCGAGTGAGGTTGTCGCAGATGCGTGAAGAGCTGGCGATGCGGAAGGCTCTCGACTTGGGAGTTGGTTCTCGGGTCACTGGCTAGAAGTTGTTGAGGGTCATGTGATGAAACACATTTTACAGCATGCATTTCCGGCGGCAAATCGGAGTATGTATGGATACAGAATGACTTATGATACTGTGTATTTCATATATTTGCTATGGATTCACCGAATGATTCACCTGTAGATACCATGGCACACTCGAATTGATGGTTTCTGTATGTCTGTTGGGATTGGATCAGCATGACAAGGCCAGGTTTTTTTGGTCAGTTCTTACCTCAAACAACATGTGGTGGCACAGAGGCACTGTTTGGCCACTTGCAAAGAAACAAAAATGACCTTCCTGAACCAGGTTAGTGTACAGATCCAATCAGTTTTGGCTTTGAAGTTTACTTTCTGCAGCACGGTCAGTTTTTATACTGCAATATATATATATGGGGGTTTCCTAGAATGGGGATACCCAAAAATGGATGGTTTATACTGGAAAATCCCATTCAAATGAATGATTTGGGGGTACCACCATTTTAGGAAACCTCCATATAATCCATATATATATATATCCTACACATACCACACGGCTGGATGTCGCCAACATGTGCTGTTGAGCGACCTGTTGCAATGTAGGTCATCAACGTATCAGCACAGAGTCAGCGACCCAGAGTGCTGACGAGTTGTCTCGCGTTGGCGTGGGTTTATCTTCAGCGAGATACAGCAACCAACAAACACCTCCAAACTTCACAGAAGGTCAGCTGCAAACACCTGCTTGACCTACCTGTGCTGTCATAAAGCAGGACTGTTTCCAAACCATCCTTGAAATGGCCAAAAGCATTCGATTCTATGCCCTGGACATCACTGGTGTTTTCAAATTATTTTTCGTTTTTTTTTTTTTTTAACCTGTTGTGCTCGGTTGGGCTGATTCACTTCAGTTGACCGATATCTATGAGAGGGTTTCAGGCTGACCCACCATCCATACTGAATTGTAAATCATTGAGCCAAATATTTAGTCCCAAAATCACAACCTGAAACATCCTCGCCTTGCTCCAACCCCATTTTTTGGGAGCCACTTTGGGAGCAATCCTGATTGTTCTGTACACAGAATATATGTATATATATATATAACCCATTTTATCCCCATTAATTTCCGTGAAATCACCATATTTCTGTTGGTTTCCTTAGCCACCCAGATGGTGGCCTTGTTGAGGCCCCGACCTCTGCTTGAAATGGATGGAGGACGGACCCCTGTGGTGGCCTCGAAAAAGAAGTTGGGAAGTTACTTCCCACGGGTTGTTGTTCAATCGAACATACTTTGATGAAACATACATATATTATATATATACACCTATAGATACTTATATATATATATACATATGTATACATATACATATATATATATATATACACATGTATGTCTTTGATGTCCAGTTTGAAACGGTGAAGTGAAGTCCATTGTATACTTAAATGAAGTCCATTATAACAAGATCGCTGACGATTTACATGTTTTGTTTTTCCATCACCTCCAAGGCCTGGAGAAGTGGCTTCAGTGGAAGGGATGAAACAACTCAGGCCGGCAACAGCGTTTGAGTGACGAGTACGTACCTTTGCAAGCTTGAAACCTATTGGATCTTATATGATCTTTTTGGCGAATATACTGTTTGATATCATCCTGATTGTTTGCAACTGCCTTCTCAGTAGCATTGGCAAAGCAAATTCTTCATTTCTGTTCTGTTCCAAAATTGTCACACACCCATCACATCACAACGTGGTTTGATGATGTCATTTGTGGTTGTTTCATACATCCAGGCTTGGACATGACTTTTTCCTTTTCAAACTATCTTGTTTAAGACCCCATGTGATTTGTTCATGAGTCTGTCCTACTGGTAGAGTGGCTGAAGCTTCAGGCAAAGCTTAGCCACCATCAGCGGCCCAGCTCAACTCTGCGTTGGCCCACCGCCCGCTGATTGGAAGGCGCCGATTTTGATGGGAGATGGGTGTAGGGCGTGAGTAACGCCAATTCATGTGCATTTTGAGTAGCTCTTGCAGCTGGAGCAAGAATACGAGCTATCAATACTTCCAGAGAGAGATCTGTAGACTGAAACTATCCTGCCATTCACTGATCAAAAGGAGACTGCAAAAAAAACAAGAACGGCTACTTCCCGATAGTCGAACATTTATGCTCATACCAACCAACCAACCAACCAACCAACCAACCAACCAACCAACCAACCAACCACCCACCCAACCAACCAACCAACCAACCAACCAACCAACCCACCATTTGGAAACACCAAAAACAGGGCTGGCGCCGGGCCAGGTCTTCTTGCGCCTACGGCTGCGGCAGGCGGAGCGCTGGGAACCGGCCCTGTTGCAGCTCTCGGCCGGGCAGGACTTCGGCTTTCGAGATTTTCGCTGCTGGTTTTGATGGTAAAAAATCACTGCAGCTGCACATTCTGAGAGCATGCTGTATATACGGCATATAATGTATATATATAATGTATAACTATAGCTAGAACTATCCTATGAAGATCCTAAAGTCACCAGATATATCTGCTTTCTGATGCTCCCCAAACAAAGGATAGTGTTTGGCCAGGTAGATGTCCCCAAGCGGCAGGAGTCCGGGGCAAGTGACTTTTTGGGTTTGCTGTGGCCTGCAGGATGAGGCACCGCAGCGGATGGGTCGAGGATTTTTTCATGGGTCGCAGCTATACCAGCTATACCTTGATAAGAACAGTAGAGTAATTACCCATAGCCACTATATAGTTTAGACATGTTTAGACTCATAGCTTTGGCTAAGAACATCGGTGATCGAATTCAGCTGAAGATCCCTGCCGTGCGTTGCCGTTCTGTGCATAGGCTGCCTGGTCCTGTTGACATCGTTCATTGTGGACGTGGCGACACATTCTATACTATTTGGTGCTTCAACTTTACATGTGTGGATTGGTTTAAGGGAAAATCTACAGGAAACCATGGTTTTTACCATCAAATATAGGGCTTTCCTGTAAATTTTCCCATCATCCAATTCTATGAAAGCACCGAGTTGGGGATGGTTGGAGCCTCATCCTTGGTCAGTCATTGGGGTTGGTCTTCGGCTTTGGTTTGACCACCTCGTTGTGTCGTTGAACACGGGTGTTTTTTTTTGACTCCGCCGAAATTCGAGGCCGATGTCTGAGTACCTGGAAAGTCTAAAGTCAGACTCCAGGGAGCACCGCGATTTTGGTGAAAAGACGTCATGGCGTCATGGGGATTTGCTGGGGATTCAATCCACCACCCTTGCGGGCTTGAGCTTGATTTTTTTGGCATGGCATAGCCATGCATAGCTGTGGTGAGAGATTCGCCGCAGGAAAGCCCTCATTTTGCTTTTGGCCATTTCAAAAACCATCGATTTTCCAAAGGTAGACCGTTCCTCGTTAGTTTTGTGATTAGGGCTGTCAACTCTGAGCCATGAGTTTTGCTCAAGAGGCAGTGAACAGTGAACACCGCAGAAACAGCAACAGAGTAAGAGGACGGCAGTCAGACGAGCATTTCTTGGCCCCAGGATGAGACCGGGTCAAGTATCGATCAAAAATTCCTCAAGTCCCTGGAAATGGCTGGTCGAAGTGTCATGGGGCATGCATAAAGCATAGTTCAAGCTGGAGGGCGGTTTCTTTTGGAAAATGCATTTCATTTATTAACCAACCAGAATCATTGTTACTAGCCAACCTTTGTGTCCTTATCGGGGTTGGCTCCTTCAAACAAGCTGTTTTGCTATGTCCCAACCGATATTCACTAAAAACAAACAACATATTTCGTTCGAAGGTACCACCTTGAAAGAAGGTTTTACCGATTTTAAGGTTGAAACATCATCCAGAGTTCCGCCTAATGATCAAATTCTTAACCCAACAGAATCCATCTTTGCAAGCAGGTGCGTGGAAGTGGGAACTGTCTGTTGTGAGGACCACTAAACAACCAGCAGGATTGGCTTCAATCAACGTTCTGCAGCGCAGCCATTTTTGTTGCATCGCTGCCATGCTTCATGGCAGCCTTCTCGGGCTCAGCCTACTCTGGTGCTTTGCCTCAGCTACTGCCAGCTACTTTCGCATCGATCGATGCGGTGATGCGGTTGATTTTAACCAAGCCACTGAAACAAAGCAAAAAGGTTTTATCCAGTTGGATCATCAAGTTGGATACATCTTCGTTACATCGCCCGCAGCTGATCAGATCTATTTTCAACATTTTGAAAAATTACACGCAGTTGGATCTCAAGATCCCAGATGGCTATGGGTCTTGTGGATTTTGAGAACTGGCCTTTTTTTCCAGTTCTGGATTTTGTTTTCCATTTTTTCTATGAAATCCTTCGCCCCAAACTCCCCAAAGTCAAAAAAACATACTGGTATTGGATGGTATTGGCAGTTTATGGCTGCTACCATGAATCAGCAGAAATCTGAATGGCTTCAAGCCAAATCTACAGCACATTTTCATAGATTTTCATAGAAATCAACATGTCCCACATTTTTATATCAAAAACCATGAGACAAATGAGACAACTCCCGGCAATTTCCCCAAGGGAACTCCACCTTAGAGGTGCCCGGTGTGCAGCTGGCGGCCCTTCAGTAGCGAAGTGGTGCCACGGCGCTTGAGCCAACGCCGAGGGCAGCTGGACTTCAACGACCTGGCGACGCTGGAGGCGCCGCCCTTTCAGCCATAAAGGGATGCCCTGGTGATCCCAGCCAAATGGTATATATATATTATATTATATATGTATATACATATGGATGTATATATATGTATATATATATATATATGTATGGATGTATATAAATATATAAATACGATATAGTAAATATATCAATAGTACATAAATCAATGTAACATCAATAGATCAATAGTCTATACTAGTATATCAATCCGGGTAACTTGTAACGACCTCACTGCGACCTGGAAGAATGGTTTATATATGGAGAATCCTCCCCGTATGACCTGTCTTTAAGGTCAGCGGAGTGTTTTGATTTACCCAGTTCAATTGTTCAATATGTCAACAGTAAATTAGTAAACATGTGATCATTAATAGCATCTGACTTCCCGAATGCGCGGCGTCCCATGGTGATTTGTGTTTCAAAGAGGCGGTGCACTGACTTTCCCGATTGGGTGTATGTATAGCATCAATATATCAATAGTAAATCAATAGCATTCCCAAAAAACAAGATTCGCATAAATTTAACAGCCAATTCTGAAAACATGGTCAATTTCTCATCTTTTTTTGGTCTGTTGGGGATTAGGTGGGGTTTACGTGGAATTCTCTTCATTAATCCAAACTGGGGATTGACCCTCAAGGATGGTTACAAGTAGGAACCATTTGGAGACCAAGGGAATGCGTTGAGCTCCAAAAACTTGGAATATTGATTCTAGATGCTGATTGACGGTGACACACACACACACACACAACTGGGCATTTGAGTAAGTATAAAACACGGGATTTCACCACTGAAACTAAGGAAATGAGGCAAAATGACGCAACCGGAGGGTGAATTCTCACCACTCATGAAAGTCCATCAATTTCATTCAATTTCCTCTTTCTTGTTGGCTAGATTGGCTAGATTGGCTAAGATAGTCCCCTCATCCACGCAACCCGCACTGGTACCTTGATGGGAGTTTCTCCGGGTCATCTCCAGGTGGGGGACGAACTGGATGATCCGGCGAGGCCCTTTGTGCTGAGAGACCTCCAAGGCATCGACGAAGCCCGGAGGGGACGGAAAGGAAGAACTGTGGGGTATGGATCAATACCTATGAAAATACCATTTTGAGTGGGTTATGAAAACATCCATTTTAAGCCAGCTAAATTTTGAGGTGAACAAAAAAGGGGTACTATTGGTTTTGACACACTGCCATGTGAAAGTTGATATTTTTGGATGCCCCACTGTAAAAACTGTGGCTATCCGCTTAGTCAGATTATGCCATTATGAGCGTGGCTGAAGTGCCTGGAATTCCATGCTTTTGCCATCTCCCTTTGGAAAATGGATTTTTGGCAGATTCCAAACGTGGGGGCACCCAATTTTTTTTGGTGCCAGGTATGTTTTTCAAGCACCCATTCTGTTCCAGCGGTTGCCAGTCTAAGTTCCTCAGTGATCATAAGGGAACCCCCCATCCGATTTTTCACAAAATGGGCGTCCCCGTATCGGCATAATCGGCCATTTAAGAATAGATCTTCCATTTTCAATCCCACTTGCCCTTTGGTAAAGTATGGTAAAGTAACATGGCGGTGTAGCTACTGGGTCCCTATGTTAAATCACCTCAGTTGAGGACTATAAGGCTGCCACCGAAAAGGAGGCCTTGCTGCAGGCGCGCATACTTGTATGATGCATTTACAATATATCTATATCGTCTATATCTATATAAATCTACATCTAAATCTAATTCCAAATCTAAATCCAATCTATCTACCTACGCATAGGCATGCCCTTTTTGTTGGTAGGAGTATGTATTTATGATCCGTCATTCGAGGGGATTTACCGATGCACCCAGTTTCTCAATCTCTGAAATTCAACATGGAACCTGACAATTTGGGTCCCGAAGATGATTTTGGTGCGGGTAAAAGGCCCTGGGCCGGTTCCAAGTTGAATTGAGACGTGTATGTATGCGAGACAAGATGATAGAAGTATATGCAGCTGTTTTTTTTGATATATAGACAAATAAATAAATACATACATACATACATAAATAAATAAAAAAACATGAATACATAAATAAATGTATAGAATATATACACCCATGAGGTCTCTTCAACCCATAGAGAACGAGTTTCTCGAGCAAAAATTGGACTTCACCCCAGACCAGCTGGAGGCTGCCAGGGAGATTCCTCTGGAGGTGCGAGTGGGCTATTCCTGGAGTATTGCCCAGAATCGGGGTGAAGGTCCGCAGAAGATGCCGAGACTTGGACGGAAGTGGATTTCGCCAGATTTCAAAGGTTCCAATCTTCGTTCCACTTGGAACAGTTGACGTCTATCTGTTGTTTTGTTGTCAAAAGCCTCTTACCTGTAGATTATTTGGCCAGATCCAAGGTTCTGATGTGTGGAGACATATCAATTGATTTTGGAGGCTTACAACGGACTTGGCTTCATCCATTCTGTGGCCAACATTTGGCCAAAACCTAACACGAACGACCTCACCGGACGGTTTTTTTTAAACTGATCCAACGGACAGTTTATCCTAAAGAATTCAGACCTCCAAATCCAGCATTTTAGCTATTGAAAATGGCCCAGTCGTTGAGTCGTTGATTTACCCAGCTAGAACATGGTGGATCTTTCCAGTCCAAATTGTAGGCTTTCCTGGCTGTTGGGATCCGTAAAATTCGTTCCCCATGACGAGAAACGTTGGACTCGCTTTGAGAGTCCGTCTAAATCAGATAAGCCCATGATGAATTATGATGACTTATGATGAATTATGATGAATTATATTGGGATGATCCAATAATGATGATCATGTATAACAGTATATATCTGGTTGGTGGTTTGGAACATGAATTTTATTTTCCATAATATATGGGATGTCATCCTTCCCATTGACTAATATTTTTCAGGATGGTTAAAACCACCAATCAGTTTTTGTTTTGTGGCTCAATTTACTAGCCTCCAGTTTTTTTTTCCACAGAGCCTGAATAAGAAAAACATGGATTTTCATTGATTACAGGAATGGAATTTACTATCATAGACCCTGATTAGCCTTTACTACCCACTCTTTTCAATGGACATCGAGGCTCGAAGAATACCTTCGCAGTGGAATGTACGAAGGTTGGGCTTCGTGGGCTTCGAGATGGAAGGGTCTACCCCAAAATGACTTGGATTAAATGGGGAACATATGGAAAAATGATGATACATCGATTTTCATTGGATTATGATGAGTTTTTCAATTTCTGGGGTATACCATGGTATACCCAGAAATTGGATGGTGTGAAAAGTGTCGAGATTCTTGCGGTCCCCTTAGTCTTGAAATTTGGCCCATAGGCACATGCGTATGTTGACCAAGAAGATCTTTTCTTCAACAACTCGTAGACTTTGGAAGGCTTACATTTGCAGTGATGGGCTTGGGGTTCAGGAGTATTCAGGAGTTCATGTCTTTAGACATAGCATGTGGATCCATTTCTGGAACCTCCCCGTTGTTTCGCATGTTCCTGCAGCCGCCCGCTTCCAACGTTAAGCATAAGTCATAAGTTGGGTATTGGACAAAAGTGTTGCAAATTGAAATCCCAGTGAACTCTGCACCCAAAATGTCCATCGCTTTCCGCTAATTTTCTCCGTTGACACTTGTTGTTCCAGACCCATTTTTAACCGCATCCGGATCGTAGGTGCCTACGATGGTGACACTTTTTTGGAACCGATCTATGCCTTTGATATGAATCTTCGACTCCCGGGTCTGGAAAATGTAGCCGAGCTCCCAGAAGACACTTGACAGATGATTCTTTGGGGGGCGGATGGGGCGAGGGTAAAGAACAGATGTGGCAAGGTATAGAGCTTTTACGGTGTTTGGGTTGAAACTACTTTCAAATCATCTTGTAATAGTAGGGATGGTCCACATATTCGGATGTTTTGAGGCCACTGAGGCCCTTGGGGCTCTGTCTGAATTCACTCTTGCCGCTTTCCACAACATCGGTGCCTTGTTTCAAGGTGCTTCAGCTAGAACAAGTTTTAGTATCCCCTACAAACCGAAGCGGTTGTTCGTAGATTTAGCATGATTTGGAACAGGAAAGGCCCCTCCCCCATTTTTTGAGGTGGTTTACACGTACAATAAGGTGAAAAAAAAATATATATATAGATATGTATATATACATCCATCTATATTTGGATCCATCATAAATCCACCATAGCCTAGTAGTTTCGGGCAGGACTGAGGGTTGTCCCGGAATGGTCGTATGAACGTCAGTGGGAAGCTCATTTCTCTGCGCAGACGCAGTGTTTTATGACTCTGGTACATCTGTGGGTTAGCGTGGTCTAAGACGAATTTTTGGAAAAATCAGTCAGAAAAGTGAACCCTCTGCGGACTTCACGCGTTTCGGCCATTTCCACTTTTTTAATCTTTTTCACTTTTTTGGCGAGTCCGGATTTTATAACTTATGTAAACCCTAAATGAAACCCCTAGTAGAAGTATGCGTATATGTTCCATGGGGCCGGGGGATTTTATAGCTTATGTAATTAAACCCTAAATGAAACCCCTGATAGAAGTATGCGTATATGTTCCATGGGGCCGGGGGATTTTATAACGTACGTAAACCGGAAATGAAACCCCTAATAGAAGTATGCGTATATGTTCCATGGGGCCGGGGGATTTTATAACGTACGTAAACCGGAAATGAAACCCCTAATAGATATGCGTATATGTTCCATGGGGCCGGGGGATTTTATAATGTACGTAAACCGGAAATGAAACCCCTAATAGAAGTATGCGTATATGTTCCATGGGGCCGGGGGACTCTATAACTTATGTAAACCCTAAATGAAACCCCTAATAGAAGTATGCGTAGGACGTCACTGTTGTTATGACAAGGAAATCCCCTGGCACTAGATGAAACCAATGGGTTGCTAGCTCCGCTCCTGTGGGTAGTTTTAGAGCAACTTACCGTAGAGGTCCCTTCCTGGCGATTTTCCAGTCCCAGGCGATTTTGACCTGGAACACTTCCGCCTTTTCCCGCGCGGTGACGGTCAGCATGCCCCTGGGACATGCACAACATATCCATAGCCGCCATAGCCAGGATCGTTCCATCCATTCCATCGTGAATCCCGAACTTTGATCCTGACATTTGCTAACTATGTCAGGATCCCCTTAAAAATGCTCTGACATTTTGGATGATTTGGGGATGATTTGGGGTACCACTGGGTGCCATGGCGCCATGGTGGCGCAGGTTGGGTGGTCCCCGCAGTGCCGTGGGCTGGCATAGCCATGGGGCGTCTCTGCAGCTCACGCTGCATGGCAGGTAGGGCTAGGGATGGCAGGGGGCTGGGAGACCACAAGAACACCATGAAAAGGGACGTGATACCCAAGAATTCCAAGAATCACTGGCTTACTGGTTGGTTAACTATGTTTTTATGGATTCTATCCTATTTAAGTGTCCCAAGTCACTGATTGTTTTGTTTGGGATGGGTTGAAACCTGGTGTTATCTACGACCTTGTAGGAACAGTTTTATTGGAAGCTTCACAAAGAAATCCCCTTTGAGATGATGTCAGATGGCCTTTTCCAGTGGTGAATAAGCCAGCAACCAGAGATTTGAACCCCAAAGGATCAGACTTTGGATGCCCAATTTCCGCTAGGTCACCGAAAAGAGGGACCTGGAACACCCGACGTTCCCAAATGGACTTCAATGGGGGGTACATGTCAACATGATATGGGCATTGGTTGTGATATGTCAAATTTGTCCCCCAAGTTGATAAACCCTTTCCAAAACGAAGGTGACGGACGAATTAGTCTTTGGAGACAGTTCATAGTGCCACTCAAAAAGATAGACATGCTTTTCCAGGATGTTCGTTTGATATTTCCATATTTCCATATTTCCATAACTTTATGGGGGTTTCCATAAATGGAGGTATCCCAATAGCTGGATGATCTATAATGGAGAACCCCATTAAAATGGATGATTTAGAGGTACCCCGATTTCAGGAAACCTCCACATACACATACACAAATTTCCCCTTCTGTCCACCAGTCTCCACCTTTTTCCATTTGGTGGGTGCGATCGAAAAAACGACAGCGGGGAAACGCGCAGGAAACGCTGGTTTCTGTACCCACCCGGGGAGTATCCTCCTGGACTTTTGGCACCGAAATGCGATGGGGGAAGGGGTCATAAACAGGTGGATGTGAAAAAAAATAGGGGGATTTGACCATCAAAAACAAGGATTTGACCATTAAGAAAGAGGATGTAATGGGTTTGTCTGAAAATTTAGGCCAAATCCCATGGGTTTGACTGGTCATTTTCTGAACAAAATGTCATAACTGGGGGGGTATAGAGCCCATTTTCAGACCCACGTAGGTTTCAGCGTTTCACAGGGACTTGGGTGAGGTTTCATCCATGATCTTCCTATTCTTTTTCAGGGAACATCTATGCAGCCATCGCCTGGACCGCTGAGCCGAGGCGATGGGCCGGGCGGCGGATTTTCGTTGACCGACTGGATGGAACTGGTCTATCCCAGCCTGCCGGAGGAACACAGGCCGCTGGAGTGTATCGTGGAAGCTGGAGATGTGATTTATGTCACTTGGTGACCGACGTAGCTGGTGGATGCTGGTGGATGTTCATCCCCCCGGTCATATGGAACATGGTGGAAAATCAGAGGTTTTTTGATCCCCGAATCTGGTTTCTCTCTGAACTCTGACCTTGCCTTAGAATGTTTTTCTGGTCACTACATGGCCGCGAAAAAAATCATGACGATGTTGCAGGCATCAGCTCTTCAAAAACAGAGTCCGACATTTCATGCTGGATCTAGTCGCTCTTGGAGATTTGCATCATTTGGCTCCGGGTCAAAATGCCAGATAAATCCAGATAAGATCGAAACATCACAAAACCAAGCTTTTGGTGGTCTGAAAAGGAAGTGGACTAAGTGGACTCTATCTATTCTCAGTTTCCCAAATTTCTTGTCTCCTGATTTCATCAATTTTATGGCTGCCCAGGTCCCAGATGGCTGGTACCATGCAGTTGTGAACCTCGCGGACACCGTGGCGGTGACAGCTGCCATGGGGCCTTGAAGGGGACCACAGAATCCCCATTGAAATGGCTATAGATATGATTTGGGATACCTTAAATATTAAAACGCAGCAAGATTTTATGCGTATATATAATACATATAACATCATATAACATCATTTAACATCATATAACATCATTTAACATCATATAACATCATATAATACTATATAACCATATAACTGTATAAATGTACATGGACCATTCAATCCATAGGCGCCTACCTTAGGCGCCTTTTTACCTCCGGAAGGTGAGTCTCCAAAGCAGGGACCTGGCGCCGGAAGCGCAGCACGCCTTCAAGGGCCTCTCCTTGCAGATGCTCGGTGAGCCATGTTGGGTAGAACTGGGGTGAAGAACTGGGGTAGAACCTATCTGGGTAGGAACTGGGTAGAACTTCTCTGGGTAGAATTGGGGTGACTCCATGCTTGGGATTCGTGACATGGTCGATGAATTCGAAGATGTGGGTGCAATTTGGTGCATGTGGAGTGCATACATGGTGATGGCCCGATGGCATTTTGACAACAGTTGAACCCGCTACCATCCTGGACAGAACCTGCCAGAAGTTGATCAATTTGATGCAAGGAGTTTGTCGGTTTCAGGCTCAAGGCCTCTCAGAAACTCCCTTAATGAAGTTGAACGCAAGGATTAATGAAGTTGAAACTCCTTATTATATATTATGTATATTATACATTATATATAGAATTATATTGTATTTTATAATATTTTATATGTATATATATATTAAACTATATATATATCATATTGTATATATATATCATATTATATTGTATTATAATTTAAAATGTATATATGAGATATATATATATAGTTATGTATTTTATCTACTATACATATAATATTATATATATTACTATCATCTGCGATTTGGATCCAGGTCATGTTGGCCAGGGCTTTTTTAAGAATCATCTCGCTGCGACCGATGCGAGGATGGTACAAAGTATGTGGCAGGATAGCCCAGAGACCATCGAGGAGAGCTTTTTCCGTACATTTTTTTGGCATTTTTGAAGAATGACATACTATATAATATTATATCATCTATAATGATATGGCATTATACATTCTAAATACATACTGTATATATATATATATATATTGAAACATCACCTACTGCACATGTAGTGTAGGGCGTTCAATCCCAACAGCTGCATCTCTGGCACCTTGAGATCACCAAAGTCGCCGTGGAACACGTCGCCTATATATAGGACTTTTATGGCCTCATTGCCAGATCTTTTTCCGATGTCGGTCAGGTTTTTTGGTTGCAGGTCATGTGACGTAGTTCTCCTGTAGAGGAGATCTCTGAAGCTGCGCGGGAATATTTGAGTCGAGGCGCAGAGATTGGTTCACAGTCGTTCTTCCATGTTTTGAGAAGCAAACGACTTTAGTGACCATGTTTTGGCTGCTGATATCTTCCTCATCTTTCAACACGCATGGAAGAGGAAAGGACCTTGTGAATGTAATATGGTAAACGCACACATACACCCCCTTTTTTGGGGCTGGTTTACACAACCCATTTCTGGAAAAGTGAGGATTACTGATTGCTGGGTTTCAAAGAGCTACTGCAAAGGCTGGAGTCGGACCATAGATCTCTACTGTAGGTGGCCCAACTGAGTCATCCTAAAAGGTCAACAAATTCGTCAACAACTTGGTCAACAAATGCAGACTGGGAGATATCACAAGTACATATGGATCATTTATAGGGTCTATGTCTCTATTCGCAGTAGTTTTCGAAGTGTTCTGAGGTCATCAAAAGTTTTCGTATGGCGCCATCCCCACGGACGATTTGAGGTTTGAAGAACGACCTCCATGCACGAAGAGTGCTTTACTATTGCATGGCTGCCAAGTAGACCTGGTGTAGACCTGGTGTAGACCTGGTCCTCCCTGAATCATGGGGGATGCACCATTTTTTTCCATTTTTTGCTAGGGAAACCGATGATAAATCATGGGATTTGAGGGAAGATGATATGGAACCATGGGTCCTAAACGGGCCTAAGAACTCTGATGGTTTCGGGTCTCAAGCACCTTCCCTGTGACGATCTGTCAGAAGTAGGCCAAGTGGGCTATACCGGGATGTCACCATGGCTTGGGGATGAATGAACGTTGGGACATAGGAAGTTGGGTATGCTGCAGAAATACTTCGGACACGCCGCTGACACGCACTAAACATCCCTAAGCCCTTTATGGATCTTTCTGGGCAACTGAGGTTTGATGCAAGTAGATCAGCAAGAGGCAATTGATGCAACTTGACCAATGGGGGTGTCATCCCCACAGGAAGCACCGACAGAGCGACATTTGCAGTGATCCAACTCGTTGGGTCGCTTGCGGAATCAGACGTTTTGCAAGATATGGTATCCCAAAGTACCCTCTGGTTATTTAACATAGCCATGGAAAATGGTTCATTTATAGATGGTTTAGCTATTAAAAATGGTGATTTTCCATGGCTATGTAACAAATAACCAGATGGTATTCCTGAAATCTCATAGAGTCTAGCTCCAATGGCCATCGCTGTGTTTTTGCTGGTGTTTTTGCCACATTTTCAGGCACAAGCCAACCTTGGCCCCTGGCATTTGAGGTGATCCTAGAAGGCATCCGCAAAGACCCGTACCACATTCCACTGCAGTTTGAGTGCCTTGGGATCAGCTGGGTTACCCCGGGGGTTACCGGGTTTCCGGGGGGTTGGGGGTACCTCAAGAAGCACCAGCATTTGACATATTGGCCACTGACATGGCTGAAAAAGCACTGCAACTAATGTATCGAATCAATATATATATATTTAAATATGATTGTGATTATTTTGATTATGACTGATTTATTATTGATTCTTGAGGGCAAGAATTTCAATTACAACTGGGAGGCACATCTGCTGCCCCTGAGGGGGGCCACCAGGGCCTGACTCCGCACCAGCAACCTGGGCTGTTGGGGCAAACAGGTTTTTCGCACGGTTTCTACCAATCAATCAGGTTTTTTGGGTTTGTTTCTTTATTTGCTGTCCTGGTAAATCCATAATATGTAAATCCAAGAATCATGCTTATGTCCTGGTAAATGGATATGTAAATCCAAGAATGAATCGTTTCATGAGTTCTGGACGACCTCCTCTTTTTTGGCAGAATCTGTGATAGAACCCCCTCAAAAAAAACATGCAAAAAGCATCCCAGCCGACTTGGAGGTTTACTGTTGGCTCACCTGTTGCTGGGTTTCCCTGAGGACCTGTGACAACGGTCCAGTTGAACAGGGGTACTATGAAGAAAGTGCTTTTTATCTCTTAAAACATGGGACTTCCCCATTTTTTGAGCCTTCCATGAACCAGAAATTGACCTTCGAGGTTACCGAGATTGACCCATCTAAGGCTTGCCAGTTCTCTGGATCGTCAGTTGAAGGCTGCGGATGACGCGACTGCGGAAGATCTGCGGGAGACCATCAAAATGCTGCTGGCGGAGTGGGTCCCTTGGCGGCTTTTTGACATCCCGCGTCCAGCGAACAACATGTTGCCACTAGGTCCCTGGGGTCTCCAAGGAACCTCAACTGAAGGCCAACTGCAGGAACCAGCACCTTGGCCTTTTTCATAGCGGTCTACCAACATGCTGATGGTTTTTGAGGGTCAACAAGGTTGAAACTCACCAGGTGCTTGATAAGACTTACGAGTCGCATTTTCAAGCCACAACATCACGCATCCTACAACTCTAGTGACCTTGTGACCTCCCTTTCTCATCCTTTCTCCAAAATCTGAAGGAAAGCCTTGTGGATTCTGAATAAATTCCATCGTGCACTGGGGCATGAGAAGCTGGCGGACGGCTATTTCCAGCGCTTGGCCGCTTGGCACCGCGATGTGGATCTGTGCATGTCTTGCGGACATTTTGTGGATCAATGGTGAATCAATGGTGAATAGTGGTTAATCATGGGATATTAATGGTTAATACTCTGATTGGTGGTGACTGGAACCATGGAATTTTCCACGACTTTCCCGTCATATTGGGAATGTCATAATCCCAACTGACTTTCACTCCATCATTTTTCAGAACAACCAGTACTTCGTATTTTTGGATGGAGTTCTCACGATATATTTTTTCGATGACAATTCCCCATCAATTCCCCATCCCCCAGTTGGTTTTAGATTTTTTAAAACCACTTCATGGTGTAACACGGCCTGAGTCTACTGGGACGGATGCCGAATCAGAATCGGTGAATCGGAATTCTTCTCCGAGAAGGCTCAAGCTGTTGGGTAAAAAAAGGTCAACCGCCAGAAAGACAAGATCTGCCTTGTTTTGTTTTGATAAACTATTTCTATTTATATAATTTTATATACTGATTGATTGATATGGATTGATTGGTTTGATTGTTTTGATTGAGGTTTATGACTGAGCAAGCGATGAGCAAGATGGATTATTCACCAGCGATATATATATAATACACATATGATATTCGTACAGTATGTACACACATATATTACATATGTAGACAAGGGCACAAAGAACCACGTAGATTTTCTGGATTTGGTTCAAAGTGTCAGCTGAGCACTCAGCTGTGGTGATGTAAAAAATTGTCTACAGGCACTGACACATGTTAGTACCCTGAGGTTTTTACTATCAGTTCGATGTGGTTTTAACCAATGGTTTGCCGAAGATGATCTACAAATTTATGTGGGTTTTCCACGAATCTACGTTAGTTTGCAGGAGGATTCAGGTGGTTTCCAAAGATCCAGCTGACATGTTCCAGAAAAAGTAATCCCAGTTCCGAAGTGGTCACCAAACTACACCCTGGCCTTGTTGCAAGATGTTATAAGCCAAGTTACTTGTTGCAAGGGGCCCCAAAAAATTGGTCAGCCCTGGTCAGCCCCAAAGTCTGTCCATGGGTGATATCTGAGGTGCAGCTGAATGAGCGGGGCATTGATCGATGAGAAAAAATAGTCCTGTGGTGAAGCTAGATCCGAGAGTCACTCAGCAGGGATCACCTATGATCACCTATGATCACCCCATGTTTTGCCCTCTGGTTATGACTAACAGTTCGCCATGGTTTGTAGATGGCCCTAATCGAAATAGATGGTTTACCTATTATAAATGGTGGATCTTTCCATGGCTATGTAACAAATAACCAGATGGTTTGGGTTATCCCCCGATATTGTGGTCTTCCAAGCGGCAAAATAGATGTTCCATGCTCTCAAGCGGTCCTGCTCCACTAAAATGCCATTGGAGTCAGTACCTTCCAAGCAGGTGACTATTCCACTTGGAGCTCTGTTTGGATGTCTGCTTGCTCTTTTTAATGGATAATCTTTGCTTCACTTGAAGATGGACCCCTCTAAGAAATCCCAAACGTGAAAACCTGTTTCCTGATGTTTCCTGTACAAAGGAACTATTTTCCGATTCTACAGCAATGTCGGAGCATCGTGTTCAGCCACAGCAGTTTGGCTCAATTTCCTCCGCAGGATCAGTAGGACGCAGTGTTTCTCAGCAGCATCGATGACATTAGTCTTTCGCCCAAGGTTGCCCTTCAGTGACTGAGCTTTATCCAGGAATGCCCGAGTTGGGTGGCTGGTTGGTGGTTCAAATAGCACAGTTGATCATGACTTTCTCATTCAAGACCATTAAAGTGTCTATATATGTATGTATATATATATATATCTGGATAAATTATAACGACCTCACTGCGACCTCACTGGAAATCATGGTTAATAAGGGAAATCATTCCCAAACGGCCTTAATTCACGTTAGTGAAATACATTGATTTACCCACACATACACACACATATATATATATTATACATACATATAGATTATATATATATATATTATACATATATATATATTATACATATATATATATATTGTACATATATTATACATATATTATACACATATATTATGTACATACATTATATACATATATTATATACAAATATTATATACATATATTATATACATATATTATATACATATATTAAATACATATATTATATACATATATTACATACATATATTACATACATATACTATATATATATATTATATACATATACTATATACATATATTATATACATATATTATATACATATATTATATACATACCTTACATATATACATTATATACATACATTACATACATACATACATACATACCATACCATACCATACCATACCATACCATACATACATGCATACATGCATACATGCATACATGCATACATGCATACATGCATACATGCATACATGCATACATGCATACATGCATACATGCATACATGCATACATGCATACATGCATACATGCATACATGCGTACATGCGTACATGCGTACATGCGTACATGCGTACATACATGTACATACATGCGTACATACATGCATACATGCATACATGCATACATGCATACATGCATACATGCATACATACATACATACATACATACATACATTACAATACATACATTACAATACATACATTACAATACATACATTACAATACATACATTACAATACATACATTACAATACATACATTACAATACATACATTACAATACATACATTACAATACATACATTACAATACATACATTACAATACATACAATACAATACATACATTACAATACATAGATTACAATACATACATTACAATACATACATTACAATACATACATTACAATACATACATTACAATACATACATTACAATACATACATTACAATACATACATTACAATACATACATTACAATACATACATTACAATACATACATTACAATACATAACATTACATAACAATACATACATACATGACATACCTATGAACATACATACCTATGTACATACATACCTACATACCTACATACATACCTACATACCTACATACCTACCTACCTACCTACCTACCTACATACATACATACATACATACATACAGACAGACACACACACACATACACACATATATATATATGCATACGTATAATTATATATATATATATATTTGTCAGCCAAATAAGAGATTGTATCACGGTGTATCCCTTTCCTACTTGAGAAAGGAGCATCTAGGCCCGGCAAATGAGCCTGAAATCTCCCCTTCCTGGACTGCTGGAGAACGCCATCATGGGGGATGAACCCCATGTATGGTATTTAATGGGGTTTATTGGTATTTAATTTATGATTCACCCTCCGGTAATCAAACATTGGCAATAGACAATTCATTTATAGATGATCTTCCCAGCTATAACCCTCCATTTTGGTGTCTCGACCCAAGGTAAGGATGCACGCGCACCAAAGGTGCCGGAGGATTTGCTGGAAGAGGTCCAATATCAAGATCTCCCGTTGTTGGCGTCTATCTACTTCTACAATGTTTGAGAAATGTGGGCAAATGTGGGAAACAAAATGGAGCTTATGATGGATCACCAACGAATTTCTGGTGGTTTCAGTTTGTTCCAGCCCACCAGGGATCATGATCAAAGTCGACGTAGCAAATGACTGGAGCGCTCTCCTTGGACTTCATTACTGGATCACACCATGGCTATGGAGATTCCTGTCGCCTCGCTATGTAAAGACATTCCCACCATTCCTCACCACATCCTTCTGGATTCAATCATCCATAGCGACAGTAGGAGGTTAGGACGCTGCTCAAATAGGCTGGGGTCAAACGTCGCAAACATGAGCAAACCAAATTTGGGCATGATTCAGTATGACTAGCCACTGGATGTAACATGATATAACATGATGTATCTTAATCAGCAGAAAGCAGTGAAGTTCATACTTCCAACAATCACGGAGATACAGCCAGCTTTAATGGGTATTTCCACTCTGGTCAGGTGTCGGACAAGAAAGTGATGCCCACTTGGGCTGTTTGTGGCATGTTGCTTGACTATGTTTAGTTGCCGTCGTTGATTTGTGGTGTGCTGGTTTGAGAATGGTTATTACGTCTTGTTACAAGTTGCTGCCTTCCCCACACCAGGAACAAGAAACCTGGTGACTTTCATGTTTCACTTTCACGTTTGTATATATATATAGGGTAGGTTTAGTGTTCATGTTAAGTCCAAGTTTGTTTAGTGTCCAATGTTGCCAGGCGTTTTCATGTTTCACTTCAATCACTTTAATCTTAGATTGGCTCCCCACAACCCTTTCGGGAAACGAAACAGTGATGGTTTTTCAAACGCCAAAACCCTTTACGGCCTCGAACTAGCGATATTCATGGAGATCACCAAAAGGAAGAATCGTAGACATCCATGATATCCATGATATCCCTACTTATATCTTTCATCATATTAATGGATATATCAATGATTAGCGAAGTATCATTAATAGATGTATTGATGGATAAATGGGGATTTTCCTGGGATATTCAGGGAAATATACTGGGACTATCATGGAAGAATATGACCAACCATAATATGTGATACGGATAATATATATATATATCTGGATGAAGTTGAGAAAGTGACCTCATGTCGTGACGTCACTGGAATGATGATCAGTAGTGGAAATGATGCCGATCGGTGGCCTTATTTCAGCTAATTTCAGGCAGGTTGGTGAATTACTATAATTCAGCAAGATTCTATGATCTCCAGCCATCCAAATAACACTTCCAGACCTGAAAGTAAGTTGAGAGAAACCCCCTTGGCATGTGGCCCATGTGGCATTAAAGACCCATGGTTTTCGATTTTCCAAGCAATCCATTGATGCAGCCGGTGCAGCAAGGTTTCTGTTGGAGCTGGGAGTGCGCCATGGCCGAAAAAAGTTGGGCAACAGATGGGGAGAACGGATCGGTTGCGCCATGGAACTAGCTTAAGGATGCTTAACTAATCACTAATCTTTCATGAACATATCAAACAAGGTCAAACTTATTGAAGAAACCAGGCTCTGGCATGGTTTGATACATGTTTGATACTACCATCCAGCCAGAGCCTGGTTTCCAGGGCGAAAAAACCAGCCATGGTAGGAGAAAAAGACAGGTCGAAGTCTTTCCAGCCAGGTTCGGTTCCAGGACGTCCGTAGCTTTGGCGCTTCAGGGTTGGATCCCCTGCAGTGATACAGAAAGAACCAGCATGAAGGAGCACAATCCACACGTTTCATATATAAACATATGTAAAGGATATATGTATATATAATTATATACATACTGTATATGTGTACATGATATGTATACATATATATATATATATACACATGATATAAATATATACATATAATAATATATATATAAAATATATTTACATAATGAATATATACATATATATATATATACACACTATCTATATGCATATATATATTATATATCTTAAATTTATGCATAATATATTTTTACATACTTTGTTTATGTATGATATATTGATACAAAATATATTTACACAAATTATATTTGTACATAATATATTTACATTAGATACAAGCATAACATATATATATATATATACAAGCATAATATACATACATATATATATATAATATGCACATAACACACATATATATATATCATATATATATGTACATAATGTACATAAGATATGTACATAATATTCATAATACATATACATAATATATATATACATACACAATACATAATATACATACATAATATATATATATATATATTTATACATACGTAATATATATATATACATACATAATATACATATATATATATATACATACATAATATAGATACATACATAATATAGATATATACACAATATATATATATATGCATACATTATATATATATATATATTCGTTTATATGTATATATATATACATGGCAAATATAAATAATAAATATATACATAAAAAATATATACATAACATATATACATAATATACATACATAATATATATATATATACATAATACATATACATAATATATATATATATACATAATATATGTACATAATATATATACATAATATATTTACATAATATATATATATATACATAATGTATATACATAATATATATACATAATATATATACATAATATATATAGATAATATATATATACACATTATATACATATACATTATATATATATATGCACCAGGCGCTGCCACCCCCCCTCCCCCCCATGGGATGGGTCCCATATACTGCTCCCATATGAGATCTTCCCCCTCCTCCCCTGTGGTGTGGTGGGGGTTGTGGTACTGTCCCCCTCCCCCCTGTGGCGTGGTGGGGGTGTGGTATGGTATGTTGGGTGTGTATGGTGTTATGGTCGGTCTGGTATGGCATGTTTGGAAAGTATGGTATGTTTGGTATGTATGGTAGGTATGGTATGTATGGCATGAATGGTCGGTATTGTATGGACGGTAGGTATGGTATGTAAGTCTGTTGGGTATGGTATGTTTGATGTGACAGTATGTATGGTCTGTATGGTATGTATGGTTACTATGATGGGTATGGAATGTTTCCTATGTAAGGTAGGTATGGTATGTATGGCATGTATATCTGGTATTGTATGCATGGTAAGTGTGGTAATTATGTTTCATATGTATGGTATGTGTGATACGTATGATAGGTATGATAGGTATGATAGGTATGGTATGTATGGCATCATTGGAATGTATGGTAGGTACGGTATATTCTAAACACATGTAGTCTTGTGAGAGTACACAGGTAGTAAATAGGAAGTAGATACATAGCACATGTATATATGACTATAGGTAGCACGTAGGTACTTTGAGGGAGTATGTGTGCTACGTAGATCGTCTAAAAGGTAACATGTACCTAGTAAATGCGAGGCTGGTAGTCAGAAATGCTGCAAAGACCTAGCAAAAACGAAGCTGGACCTCAGAAATGCTGCCAATAGCTTGCAAATAGAAGGGAAAGGGGTGCTACCTGGGGACCCAACCCATTGGGGGGGTGGAGAGACGGAGGACGGGACCATATATACATGATATACACATAGGATGTATATGTATACATAATATATTTACATAATCTATATAATTCATATTTGTATATATATATAGTATATATATACATATTTTGTTTAATGCTCATAATATATATATATACATACACATATTATATACACAATATATATGTACACACATTTAATATATATATATACACATACATAATATATATATATATTTACATACATAATATATATATATATATTTACATACATAATATATATATATATCAATATATAGTACAGGATGCATATACAGAAATACATATGCACATGATATTTATACATAAGAATACACATAGTACACACACATATATATACAAATACAACATATTTTTAAATATAGATACACAACATTTATACATAATATATATGTATGTATATATATATACAACATAGAAATAGTATATCTACATTATACATAATACATATATATATATACATATGTTTACATTATATGTATTATATTATATATATTTATACACATTATGATATAATATATACATGTATATATATATATTTATGCATTTATATGTGTATTTATATATGTATTGATATATGTATTTATATATGTATTTATATATGTATTATTTATGTATTTATATATGTATTTATATATGTATGTCCTTCATTTTCTCAAGGATTAACATTTTCCGAGCCATGTCTTGTGTTGGTGTGTTTTATGTTGGTTCGTCTGTGGCACAGTCTCAATGGCTGACCGCCAGCAAGGTGGGTGGGGCTATACTGGCGAGACTATACGGTAGGGACAAACATTGCGATTGCGCACTACTATTCCTTCCAGACAATCACAGAACCTTGACAACTTGGCCTGCGAGGGACAAGGGGACAAGGGGACAAGGGGACAAGGGGACAGTGTCAGTTTTCGGAGGAAGCGTGGGTGAGTGAGACTGGAATCTGATGCACCAGTTGTCCAAACACATCAGAAAATACATAGCAAGTGAATCTGATGAACTTTCAACAAGTGAAATCTGTATCACTGTAGCTACCATGGGTTTGTTGCCGTTTTTGCTGCGTGGGTTGAAGGAAAACCTGAGATTTCGGGATTCAGCTGTGGAGCTCTAGTCTTGAATCTAGAGGAAACCACTGTACTTGATGCTCAAAGACATCTGAAAAACGATGATTTGATGGTTGTTTATTTACCATCTGGAGACCATCTAAATACCATGGATCTTCGAAGATTTTTCTCTGAAAATCCTCTGGCGCATCTCATCAGCCGGTCACCTCATCGGTCTCCGAGGATCTCTCGGCCCTCCGTGCGCCGGCGCAGCGCCGGTCCTGGTGGAATCCCTTCAGAGCCATTGTGGCCCTGTCGTTTATCTTTCTGGATGTGAGCCTGTCACTTGGTGGCTGAAATCTATATTTTGCTCACTGGAGCATGGGGTATAGTATGGATTATATCATTTTTTGGCAGGCTGGATCTATGGATTATAGATGAATATAGTTAGATGATATGTAGATGACTTTCGATGATCATGTCTATATGATAAAGAAATGCCAGATATGTAAGCTATGTGCCGTAAAACCTATGCAAGACACATTTTTGTATATATATATGTATACACGTATTATATATCGGTATACTTCGTTTAAGAGTTCGTCTTTTCTTGTGGTTTAAGAGTTCCAAGTTGGGACGCAGTTGAACAAGAACGTTATTAGGTGGCTTGTGAAACATGTGCAACTCCTATGAAACGTGCAATACTCCTATGAAACGTGCATGAGTTCTATGAAACGTGCATAACTTCTATGAAACATGCACCTCTATAAAACACTGCAAAGAACCCTTGTGTATTCCTGAAACCTCATTGTTCTAAAACACTGTAATGAACTCTTGAATGGAGTATAACCATATATATATATATATCAATGTAATCTGAATGTAATACGTGAACATAATGGCATGTGGGTTTTGAAATAAGGATGTGATGAACGCTGGCAAACATGGGGACGGGCATGTTGCTGGGTGCCCCGTGGAGATTTCAGGGTCTAGCCTCTGGTACAGTGATGAAAAGAGCTATAGAAAAGCACCATTTTTAGAGGTAAATCATCCAACCACGGGCTATTTTCATCCATTTTCCATTTTCCACAGCTGAATTTGAGGTTGATCAATGGCGCGGAAGACTTTGGGCTGCTACCAGCAGTGCGTTTGGGACTCTGCGTTCTGCGTTTCGTGGCTGATTGGGTACTGGCTGCTGGTGGTTTCCCCAACTGGAACATGAAAGCTGGAAAATACTATGCCCCAAACTTGTAAAACTTGGTTTTTGTACGGAGATGTGTGGCATTTTTCATCCTGAGGCCTCAAGTCTCATTTTGCAACCACCTGAGATCATTCTGACTCCTGAAAATTGGGAGCGTCCCGGACCCATTAAAAATCATTTGCTGCATTGGGTAAGGTAAGAAACTTCAGGTGGATTTCGGGATATTCTGGTAGCTGCAACATTGAAAACTTATGTCTTTGCTGATCCTTAAGCACAAATAGGACCTACCCCCATATAGATTCTGAGCATGAAGGCTCGTCTCACTTGAAACTGGTTGGTTTCAGCAACGGCTTACATTCGATTTCCAACGGGATGTGACGTGACAATCCTTATCCGGCGAAGGCGTTTGAAACCCATCGGCCCCCAAATAAACATTTTCCATTTTCCCGCTTGCAAGAAGGAAGATAAGGAAGGCCATTTCTTTATCAATCCAGCACAGTCTCTGTTGAGGATGCTGAGGCATTCCTCTCCAGAACAGATACATCCCACCGGGGTGATTTCCACGTTCACGAAACTCGTTTTTTTCCTTGAGAAACGTATTTCATAATTTCCAAGAACATATAGAAATCGTAATTCTAATGTAATAGATGTAATTCTTGTTTATTCACCTCGGTACATATGGTGGCAGATTGTGGCAGATCTGCAGCGTAACGGCGTAACATCAAGATCTTCGGGATGGTAAATATGGTTTCAGATTTTAAGGATCAAATTCGCTATCAACAACTCTTGATTTTGACCCATAGTCATTTGAAACACTCCAAGCAACCATGGGATTTCTGACTAAAACGACAACGTTGCTTAAACTTTTTTGGTGGTAAATCTGGGGTCAAGGACTCGCACATGCCCTGCTCTGCATCAAGTTCTATGGACCCAGCCAGTCTCAGATGAAACTTGGAAGAATTCTTGCGGGTTGGTGGTCAAAATGAAGCAAGGCCCAGTTGGCCTAGTAGGGTATGATTCGGCAACCTTACTTGCAACAGAACAGATCCTTTTTCTCATACCCTCTGGTAAACGTTTACGTAACTATGGAAAATCACCATGCTATTAATGGGTTCATCCACTATTTCGACTGGGCCATTTTCAATAGCTATGTTAGTTTACTGGCCATTTTCAATAGCAAACGTCGTAAAACGTCATGTTTCTTCGAGACAAGCGATCTCGAGCCCCCATCCAGACACTCCAAACGCCAAGGATGGCGTTGCCGAAGTTCCTCCGCTGGCATCTGCAGCAGGTCACCCGTGCTGGGGCGCCAAAGAATCCCTAAGATTTAGATGATGCAGCAAATTGCAGTGTACTAAACTTACGAAACCACCATACAATATCTAAAAACATCCATAAACCACCAAAAGCCCTTTATTATTTTGGAAGATCTTAACTTCTCTCGATCCTTTGGACACAGCACCTCCACCTTTTCGACAGGTGTCCGCAGTACCACTTCTGTTAGTGGCCTGGGCAGCTGTGGGCTGGTTTTGCCCGTCGGCTGGCGGCAGTGCTTGGTTATGGTTGTTACTGTTATTGATGATGATGGTGATGATGGAATTGCTCTCCTTGTTGCATGGTGCCTTTTCTGAGTTGTGTCACAAGCTAGCCAGTGATTTGGAGGCCAACCTCAACACTTCATTCATCAGCTGAATTTTTGCTCCATTCGCTTCGAATGTGGCTTCCTTCAGCTGAGGTATGTCTTCATTTTGATGCATTACAACTACGGAGAAGTCCGGCTCGATGGCCCCCTTACAGCCTTGCAAGACACCTACGTGGTCGCCTGGTGGATCCTGGTGGAAACTGGACTCACACGACCGGACGCGACATCTGGATGATTCTGGATGTATGCTTTGTTTGATACTTATAATCATTATACATATCTTTGATATTATATAGCATGATACGTATATTTATGTATATATATAATATATATATATATATTACTAATTAATTAAGTGCACACATGTTGCTCTCATGATTTAATTTAATTGTGACACAATGTATAAACTGTTGCTAATATGTCCATCTCCAGCATGTCCATCCATCTCTGAGGTCACAGTAGTTCTGAAGTCCTTGGTTCTGGACGTCATGTTTGCGAGCCGCGTGCAGGCCGGACAGCCCGATAGTGACATCACATCACCGCACGGCACGTTGGGATTAAATCAAGGCCGAATGGTAATGGATGGTACGAATGGTTGGGCGATGATCATGCAAAAAATCACCAAACCTAGGAGGCCGGGATGGAGCATCCGAGAAACATATGGAACATCAATGAACTGAACATGTACAGTTGATTGTCGCAAGCTATGGGTTGTGGGCAAAAGAACAAAGGCCCCATGTCCCAAGAGCTGGGAATTTCGAATTCCACTCGGACTTTTCCTTAAATTGTTGGGAAACCAATAGGTCTTGGGGATCCAATAGATTTTGGGATCCCAAAAAGTCCTCCACCTTACCAGTCAGGCAGGGCCTGGGTGGGCTCCCCGGCTGCTTCAGGCCGGAATCAGCGAACTGACGGCGTGCATCCTCTTTTCAGGGCAGTATCCCTTGATCTTCGAGACCTACTGGCTGCCCCCCTTGAAGCTGGCTTCAAACAACTGGGTGGTAAAGATTTTTTCCAACTACATTGCTACAATATGTGCCGTAGGTAAACCTGTAATTCGGGATATTTGTTTCCTAACCATAGTCACAATAAAACCATTGTCTTGATGTTTGGTTGGAAGTATCATCATGTAGGGCCTTCTGATCTGGACAGCTGTTTCAAAGCCGTATTTTTTCTCCAGGGAGTTGCAAGACAGTTCAGTGTCACGGGACATTTTTCAGACTTTTGGAGGGATTGGTGCCCCACTACAATGTGGTACCCCCCAGTTATGAGTTAGTTTACAACCCCCATCAACTATAGATATATCTACCATAAGTCCTACTTATTGTAGTTATAAACCAACTTAGCTATCTATGGGGCACCACTATGAACACGTTCCTGGAACACGTTGGGATGGGCGATTCAAGGTTGGACTCCCGTGGACTTCGTTGGACTTCATACCACCAGTCACTGATTGAAGAGTTAAGGCCCGATGTTCAATCGAGGTGGTATCATCCGTGTCTGGCCAATTCCCTGTAAAATTCCACACAAAATGGCTTTTGTGAAATGTCCAGGTGCATTTCGACTGCGCAGGCTCGCACAAAACAGTGAGTGGCCCCGAGATTAGCGTCCGGCAGTTTCGCTGTAAATTTCCGCGTAAAATAGCTCTTGTGAAATGTTCATGTGCATTTCGACTGCGCAGGCTCGCACAAAACGGGCCCCGGGATTTGCGACCAGCATTTTTCCTGTAAATTTCCACACAAAATGGCTCTTGTGAAATGTCCATGTGCATTTGCCAACAGAGCTCTTATAGAGATCTTGTACAGGGATCTTACCAGGAGACCTTTTATGGAGATCTTGTACAGAGACCTGGTCAAGAGAGCAGAGACTTTGAGGTCTTGTACAGAGACATTGCGTACAGATCTGTTGAGATCTTGCCAAGAGGCCTCACCTTGCGCGCAACACAGCTGCGATCCTTGTGGGTAAAAAGTCTGCAGCTGCGCGGCTCCAGTTCTGTGCCCCACCATAAACTTCAATGGATGTCTACGCTTCTGTTTCTAATCTGCCTAATTTTCCTTTGATTCCTCAAAGCACACTGTTTGGGGTCTCTTGCCGGGAAATGCTTTTCATACAGTTACCCTTGGTGAGTCCTTTGTAGTGGTGGTCTAACACGGCGTAACCACTTTCCCTCTTCTGTTTCTATGAATGAGTTACTGCATCTCCATTTTTGTTCATTCCCTGGCTGAAAACCGCCACGACAACTGGGTGCCAGGAAAATGGGGCATTTGCTGGCAGAGGTAATGTTTGGCGGCATCGCCCTTTTGTACCTGTTCTTCGACGTGCGCTTGGATGTGCCGGCCGAGACATCCCCAATCAGCACCAAAGTCGTCGATGGAACGCCGTGACCCGCGACTGGATCCAGCTGTATCGAAGTGTGGTGGTAGAATTAGGCCCACAAAGAACCCCACTGGAACAGTGCTGGGTGGCATTTGTGGTGATCGTTTCTGGGAGATGGACGGAACATGACGGAACCCGACGGAACATAAATGAATGTTGGGCTGAAGCCCTGCATGATTGGAACCACATCATGATGATAATACGTATTCTCTCACAATCTCTCACCCATACACGCAGAGACACGCGCACACAGACTTGTATCCGTCCCCAACTGGTGAGGAGGTCGCCTACTGCGTCAGTATGTGTATGTGTATGTGTATGTGTATGTATGTGTATGTGTATGTGTATGTGTATGTGTATGTATATGTATATTAATATGTATATGTATATGTACATGTACATGTACATGTACACTATACATACATGTATATGTAGATCTGCTGTTAGGACATGCCAGCCATTGATTTAACCATCGCACCAGTGCTCAGCAAGAAAATCAGAAGCTTCTTTCCCATCTGGCCCGGTTACGAAATCGTTCATGGCCCATGGGTTTCGACACTACCAGGGCCAAGATCTGGTCGTTGATTCGATTAGGATGCTTGTTGGTTCTGCGAACCCTCAGGCGCCCTCAGTCCATCGCGCAACTCTACTGAAGGTTTCTCAACGAAAAGCACGTAGCATTCTAGTGCTAATGTTCGTAAAGCAAAAGTAAACCACCCATTTGATGGTTTCTACCGCTGGATCCTATTGCTTTGCCAACATGGTTGCCATCTGTGGGGAAACTGATTTTCCGAACGGGATTTTGGGTTACCTCATTCTTGGACACATTCAGTTGTCAGAGTTTGGTGGCTACCAAAGCAGCTTCAAACTTGAAAGTTTCGTCAATGGACCTGAGAGGTTAATCCCAAGCAAAGAGTCATGATCAAACACTGGGGTCTCAACTTTTTGAAACAGCTGCGGGTCGCCTCGATTGATAAGACGATTTAAGAGACCACTTTTGGTTTCCCAGAAATGATGGAACTATCAAGATGTCTTTTTGGCATTCCTACAGCTATATGAATATCATACATGACTTGCGTATGACCAATGGCATGTGACATGCCCGGCCGCAAGACGGCCCCCCAGTTGGACAGTACTTGGTGGATGTGACTGTGGCTTCCAAAGCCGTGATGGTGCGTTGGAGACACTCTAGTGGGCTCCAGAGCATCATAATCATAATCATATTCTGGCAGCGTGTATGCATGGTCTTGAAAAATACTATGTGTGTCTACCGTGCATCGTCATGCTATGATATACTGTATATATATAGACGTATATATACGCATACAGATAAATACATGCAACATATATGAATTATATGTATAATTTATATGTATGAATTATATGTATTATCTTTATGTACTATATGTCTCTTATCTATTGTATGTGTGAATGTGTGCTATATGTATTTTATATATTTATATTTATTGTATGTATCATATGTATCATGAGTATCATATGTATATATATATGTATCATATTTGTTTGTCATATGTATGATAATTTGTAATATGTAAAATACGCATCATATGTATCACATGAGCCATATGTATCATATATATATATCTATATCTATATCATATATATATATTGCTTAAATATCATATGCATTACACGTATATATTGTATGTTTGATATGTATTATATGTATTACATGTGCCATATGCATTTTATATACCTACTATATGAATTTTATGTGTCATATGTATCATATGTCTCATACGTATCATATGTATTAGACGCATTACTTCTATCTATCATGTGCATCATAAGTTTTATGAGTTTTATATGTATTATATGCATGATATTGGTATTAGCACATTTACCTAAATCTGATACGCCATGCAATCTACAAGTCAACATGTATGCCTCCTGGATTGCTGACACGCGCCAGAGTTTCCAAGCTTCGGGGGTGCAAACAGTTCCTCATTTTCTTTCCCTGCTCGTCGCAACTTTTCCGAGGCGAAGACCTACCATTTTGGGTATGGGTCATTGGGGATGCCCAAATGCTGGCAGTGGCATTTTTTTACATCATAAAAACCACCCCAAGATCAGGACCAAATCTGTCAAGATAGAGTACCCTGGGGTAAACTAACACTTCGATGTGGAAAATCACCATTTTGAATAGGTCATACATCCATACATGGTGCATTTTCCACATCGAACTGTTAGGTTACCCTAGGGTAAGCACCTTTCGATGGTTTTTGGCGAGGCTCCCCTGGCGCCTCCGTTGCGGCCAACGCGGGGGACGGACGAATTTTGCGGAGAAACTGCGCCCAGCTGCTTGATGGCTGATGCTGAATATTAACTGCAGATATTGGAGATATGTGATATTTTTACTCAACCAAGCAAGCAAGCAAGCAAGCAAACAAGCAAGCAAGCAAGCAAGCAATCAATCAATATATATATATATACACAGTGTATATACATACATACGTACATACATACGTACGTACGTACGTACCTACATACATACATACATACATACATACACATATACATTTACATATACACATATATATATATTGTAATGTGTATAAATATACCTACGCATGATGGCCACTAATTCAATGGATATTTTATTTTCAAGATTCGTGCTGAGTTTCAAGAGGGGCGGCTCAGTTTTACGGACACGTCTGGGGATCTGGAAACATTCACTTTCCAGCGCGACAAGAAACACAACAAAATCTTTGAGGTTTCCTTTTCCATAGATTGGTAGATGGTATAGAGTACTATATGTCATATACTATATGTAAATGTAAATGTATTTATTTACATGTCCTCTATTTGTGAAGGTACAGCAACCACATCCACTGCTTAAGAACCAATCGCAGCGTTTGGCCCGACAACGTCTGGTCGTAGCATCCAATGGAAGCAGCATGGATAGGTGGCCAGGTGTCGAGAGTAGAGATCCAGCCATTTGGAGATTCTGTCCGAAGAAATCCTGAAAAACCAATCAAAAGAAAGTAATTCATATTCTACGTTAAAATATGTTATTGAATACTTACCCAAAATATTATAAGATGTGCTTCATGTGGATATTTAAAGACTATAAAGTCCAAATGCACTTCAAGAGCGTAGCTGTTAACTCCAAGCCTTCCTTGCTACCCCTTGGCGCAACACACCTCCGCATCGCAATGGGAAAAGGCAAGGGCAAGGGCAAAGGCAAAGGCAAGGACAAGAAAGGTGGCAAGGGTCGCGGACGAGGCGCCGCCAACAAGAGAGGAAGAGAACCAGCACGATTTCACCCAGAAAAAATAGATGTCTTAACTTTAACCAACAACTCTGCTTTAAAACATGTGATTTCACCAACTATTTGTCTGGTCCAGCTCAAGATTTCTTGGGGATTTCATCAACATTAGTTTTTTTAGCAAACAAATCATTGGGGATTTCAATGGATTTCACTACCGGGCAAATCTTAGAGATCTGCAGACATTTTCAGCTGCTAGAGATCATGGATGAATGAGTCAACCTATCGGATACTTTCGTACTTGAATCCAACTTGCTATGGTAAAATGCCATGGGTAAATGCACTAAGCAGTTAAACATATCTATATATAAATATATATGTATGGAACATGGAACAAACATATTTTCAGGTATCACTAGGTATCTGAGATTCACCATGAAATCTCATTTTTTTTGGCCGCATTCTATCTACAACTCTGGCAACTCTGGCAGGTGACGCTGAAGAATCCAAGGGCCCTGTGTCCACGGATCTGCACCTGGCCGCGCGCAATGGGGACCTGGAGAAGATCGATGAAATGTGGCTGGCTGCAAAGTTGGCAACATGTCAATTTGATGGCGGGATTTACCAATACATTCCTGATTGGCGGTTTGGAACATTTTTCATTTTTCCATTCAGCTGGTAATGTCATCATCACTGACGAACTCCATCATTTTTCAGAGGGGTAGGTCAACCACCAACCAGATTCAATACATGTCGATTTTCAGGTGATAATTCTGATCATACTTATCGGAATTTTTCACGGCGACAGGGCGCCACTGAAAGGGTGGGAAACTCTTGACCCAGACAGGGGCCTTTCAGAGGAATGGGGAAATTGGCCAGCAAAGCATAACTAAGTTATTCTAAGGTGGGTGGAGGAGCCTTGAGATAATATAATATAGAAATCAAAATCGGCCGAACAAAAGCTGATGCATGTTGATTTGATCACCGGATGAGAGTGTGCTGACGGAGCAGCACAAAGATGCATAACAAACAACTTTTCATGCCATGTTCTTTCATGCATCTGAGGTCCGAAAATACATGATTCATCCATTGAAATCCCTAAAAAAATCCATGGTTTCTCATCATCTCCCGCAGAATGGCCACTAAAATCCATGATTCATCCATTGAAATCCATTAAAATTCCATTTCCTGGTGGCCTTTTTTTTTTAAACCTCGGAGAGGCTTGCTGCTTCGCTGGAGCAGCTGAATCAGCTGGATCAGCATCGCCGCTGTCCGCTGCACATGGCCGCCTTCTTTGGGAAGGCCGAAGCCGTGCCTCGGCGGGATCCGTTTTTTTTGGGGGGAAAGGCTTGGAAATCCATGGGATGGGATGGGTATTTCACCATATACCATATGAATCCATATGAAATATGATGAAAGTTTTTTTTTTTGAATCATCAAACCATCTCAAAATCCATGAATATTAATGGCAATTAATTTCACCATATTTTCACGGTTTTTTTTAGATGGTTTCATGATCAACCGCGGGATGGACCCGGTAAATCCCAAATTCTTTGAGGAAATCTGTTGAGATTTCTTATGGCCAGGTTTTACCAAAGGGTTTTTTGCGACTCACCGAAAAACTCAGCAAACAGTTGCGGATGGCAAACACTCTTCAGTGGAGAGGATGGGATGAATTGGATGATCATTTTGTGCTTGAACTTGGTTTTGATTTTAACATGATTCAGTTTCGTGGTTGCCACACCCAGCGGCCACCTCGGGCACCTGGGACATGGGACATGATTTCTGGTGGCCATCGTCCAAGAAATTTCATCAGCCCCATCGAGATCACAGCCCAGAAACATCCAGAAGCCATGGTTTAGTCATGTTTAGTACGGGGAGGATGTAGTGAGCCATGCTGCCCGGTTTTTTTTGCCACATGACTTTTTCTATAGATGGAACCCAGAGGCACCATGAAGCATGGACTTTCTGACTTGTTCTCTGTTGTGTCTTTTGGGCTTCAAGCGTGCATATCCTGTCGATGATTTGTATCTCCAAGTCATTTTCCAGCGCTGATCGCTTGCACACCATGGCTTTGCTGCTGTATATCCATCAATTAAACCATCAAGTCATTGAAGACTTCACTGGTGCTAAGCTGCTAAACATAGGGAATGGGGGGTTTCTATGGGTTTCTTATATTTTCATGACCCAATCCATATAAACCATTGATCCATATTAGCCATGAATCCATATTAATCCATATAAACCATGATATATAAAGCGATTTTCACAATTCTCCCATTCCCTACATATTCCCGTCACCTTTAGCACCTTTTAAAGGTCCACCTTATGCAGTCGTTGAAGCATCCGAAACACCCAGGTGGCCAAGTTACTGGAGAAGGGCGCGGATCCCATGTTGCAGGTGCGGCAAGCTCTTGACCAATCATTGCGTTAGTACCCGGCCTGGTAAACATGCCAAAACACTATGGAAAATCACCATTTTCAATGGGAAAACATACCAAAAACTATGGAAAATCACCATTTTCAATGGGAAAACATACCAAAAACTATGGAAAATCACCATTTTCAATGGGAAAACATACAAATAACTATGGAAAATCACCATTATTAATGAACACAACGATGGAAAGATCCACCATTTTCAGTGGGTAAATCCACTAGTGTGAAAATATTCTCTCATTAGCGTTGGTGCTCAAGGTCGCAGTGACGAGCTCTCGATATGAAGACAACTATTTATTTGGCCAAAAAGGATTTAAACATCTTCAAAACATATCTAGCAATTTTCATATAAACTATTTCTGGTAAAACCGTTATTTAAATACTTTTTTAATAATAATAAATATATATATATAGGTTTTCATATGAATAAGTTTTTAGTAAGTTAATATCAGAACTTCAAGAGCTAAAAGGCAAAAGGATTAATGACAAAACCGCAAAAGGAACAACAAAAAGACTTGAAGTTATAGAACTATACGCTGAAAGGAAAACATCAAATGTAGCAACAGCAGAAAACTACATAAAAGATGTAACTTCTGATAATCAAAGAATTTATGACAAAACTACAATACAGAAGTTTAAGGAACAAAAACCATTGAATAAAGAACGGAAGAAACAAAGAAAAATAACCAGAAACATACTGTACATACTTTATCGATTTTGAAGTCTTCACCCTCAGAAAGCCAGTGAACGAAAAAAATGAAGCCATCCTTTAAGTACCTCAACCAACCTTATTACTTATTACATTGATGGTTCTGATATTAGAACTGCTACAATCACTGTGCCTAGTTTTCCAAGGATAAAGATTTTTTAGGTTTGAAACTTTAGAAGACCAATATGAGGGAAAGATAAATCCAAGATTTACTGAAGTAATGGTTCATTTAAAGAATGATGCAGAATTTGATGAATTAATCAAAACCTTACAAATGTATCACCACGATAATAGTTTTCATTGTAATAAGATGACATCAGTAGAATTAGTCAATAAGATCAGATCGGTGAAAATTTCAATATACCTAATGAACACTTATATAACTGATGCTATTAACGTATCAATATCACTATTATATAAATGCACCTTTAAAAATGGAAGCATCATCTATTAAGAAAGCAATTGAGAAAGGGCATTAAATAGAGAGTATGTGTTGGGTAAATGCCCTTCCTGACTTTTACAGGGATACAATTATGAATGAGAAAACCAGAAAGAGATTGACAGTTGGAAGGATTGCTGAAATTCTATGTAGAAATGATTTTTATGAAAAAGGAGCATCCATTCAGGAAAATGAAAAAATATTTATCGAATTCAGTATCCAAATTAGCATATACAATTATGTGAATGCCTCAGTGTATAAGTATGACCCACGCAAAAGAAATCATCATATCAAGACCTTCCACGCTTTAGTTAAAAATGATGGTATTTATGTTTTAAATTACGGCCTCAAAAGTATTCAACAAAAGCAATAAAGTAAAATAGCTACTGTTAAAGCATCCACTGACTACTATATAAGTAATAAAGAAGAACCCCCCCAGAATTTTAAGATGATAAATAATGTAGATGATTTACTAAAAATTGAAATCGGAGAAGATACAGAACCAATATAATTAATTGCTGAAGAGAATGATTTAACTGAATTGTTTTTTCAACTGCTTACTGCTGGGTATGAACCAAAATCAAGTTTCAAGCAGGTATTGTAACAGACATCATAATAAACATTAATAAAATTAAGTACATTATTAAAACACAAATCTAGTTAAAACTTAGAAAGAAGTGTGAACACTCAGAAAAAACGCACGCTCACAGTGACGAGCTCTCTAAAGAAATGGGGATGCCCAACACTGCCTGGGTCGTTTCAAATAGTTTATGTGTCCATGCGATGTTCTGAATTAGAAAATCATTTGTGAGGTGAGTGGCTGAGAATCAGAAGACGGAATGTAGCCCCTCAGAATAGATATGTTGATTAAAAAAACCGAAGATGGAGATGCCGGACTTTCCGAGTCCCGGGTTTTTGATTTTGTAGTTTCAAATTTTGGATGGCTCAATCAGAAATATTGGTGTTCTTGTGATCCATACAGAGAGCCAAAGTATATCCTTCTGGAGTCTTTTGGATGCGCATAGCTCAGCTGAGATCGAACTAGGTTTATGGATGTTTATGGATGTTTTATCCTCACACATGCATGAACAGAAGTCAGGATGCCGGATGCATGCTCTGTGTTGGAGTGTTTTAAGGTAGGGAATGACAATGTGAGCGGAACTATTTCACAGTTTTTTCGAAGAAATGTTGTAAAATGATATAAACTCAGTTACTGGAATAACAAGTGATTTGCAATAGGTTACACCCTCAATGAGTAGGTTTTGTTTAAACATAGGGTCATAGGGTACCCTAACATTTCATTTTAATTTATTTTTGATCATCGTTGATCATTTCAAATTCATTTGTAATTGGGAATCCCTCATTTTCGGATAACCCCATCTCAGATCTGTCAGATGGTTGATATCACAATCCAAAAATTATATCCACATAGAATGGGGTATACCCCAATGGTTGCTTCAGATTTTTGGGGTATACCCTCTGGTAAACATACAAAAAACTATGGAAAATCACCCTTTTTCATGGGTAAATCAACGATTTCTATGGCCATGTTCAATAGCAAACTGTCAGCTATTACCAGAGGGTACCCCATACACTTCTTTTGCGATCCGTGAAAAACCCGCTGGAAATCACGGCAGGCCATGGATGGTTTTCTGCCTCTGCACTTTGCGGCGCAAGGAGGGTGGCTTGGTCGATGGGGAAGATTGATTGGTTTCTCTGGGAATCAAGCATGACTAGCTGGGGAATTCCTTACAAATGAAGAGTTAAATGGGAAAAACGATCATCGAACTAAATTGACACAATGATACAACATGGGGAATTTTCCAGCAAACCATGTTTGATTGCCAGTTCAAGAGAACAAATTCTGGACACCATTGGGTTTCCTACTAGCGGGGTGGGTCGTCCTGTTTTTATCCAGGAGGGATAAATGGGCCATGGGTTCAGTAGTAAACCCAGATGTTCCTACTGATTTGGTACCTACTCTTGGCGAGGAAATTTAAGCCCAGTTCGAAACGCCACCAGCAACCATGGTTTTAGTATTTGAAACCATTTAAGGGGTGTTTAGTATTAGGGGAATGTTTTTTGTTTTGGGCCTCTGACGTAATCCTGAAGCAGCAGATTTGAAACAGTGAGCCGGGTCACCTGTGCATCAAGCAGCTGCGAAAATCCAGGATAGCTCAGCAAATTTACCTGGACCCGAACTGTCTGGTTGTTCTATGAGAAGGCTCAGATTCTCCAGAACATTCTACCCAGACTCTCAATGGACCCACTAAAAACGGCATACTTGTGATAACTTGTGATACGTTTTAGGCATGTTTATGCCTGCGGACCGAAAACCGTTCCCGTAAAACGCACGTTTTTGAATATCGCGATTGTGGGGTGGGGTGGGGTGGGGTGGGGGGGCATGTTAACATTCCTTGTACTTCGTACATGATATATTGCCATGCTGCTAAGATCTCTGGGATTATTTACTATGTTACATGTTGCTACGCTGCTGAGATCTCTGGTATCGTTTACTACGTTACATACATGTTGCTACGCTGCTGAGATCTCTGGGATCGTTTACTACGTTACATACATGTTGCTACGCTGCTGAGATCTCTGGGATCGTTTACTACGTTACATGTTGCTACGCTGCTGAGATCTCTGGGATCGTTTACTACGTTACATGTCGCTACGCTGCTGAGATCTCTGGGATCGTTTGCTACGTTACATACATGTTGCTACGCTGCTGAGATCTCTGAGATCTCTGAGAGCTTGGCAATGGAGATGCATTCACAAGAATGCTGACTGCCAGCTGTTTACTACGCATGCGTTGCAGCGATGACGCTGAAAAACGAAAAAACGCGCCCCAAGTTTTTCCAGGATTTCCAATCATCAAATTAGCACGGCACTGTGGTAAAATCACCATTTTTTAAAAAATGTGCGTTTTATGGGAACGGTTTCCGGTCCGGCGGGATGTTTATGCGTAATTTGAGCGTCTTGGTACATCCCCAAAGTTTGGAACTGGCATCGGTTGTTTCTCTTCGTATTCTTATTCTTATCCCATGATGCTTCCAATTTTGGTTATATATGTTACACATATGTATGTGTGTGACACACATATATATATATATATATGTATGTGACATAATATATATATATATATATGACATATATGTCACATATATATATATGTGCTATATATCCCTATGCTATCCAATGCTCAGATTTGCCACATCAATGAAATCCGCTCCAAGGCATCTGGAAGTGGTGAAGCTTTTAGTCCGCCAGGTCGGGGCCAAAGGACTGAGCAGCGGACGTAGCCGGGGGTTCCTGTGGGATGTTGGAATTTACCTCTGGTAATTTGGTCATGAGAATAGTTATAGTATGTTATAGTTAATAGTTATAGTTAATAGATGTTGATAGTTTTTTTTTGATTCCAGAGTTTTCTAGATTTTTTTGGCTAACCAATTGATATTGACTACCCTCTGTGAATCTGTTACGTAACTAGTGGAAAATCGCAATGTTTAGGTAAAGCATCAGACTAAATGGGCAATGTTCCATAGCAAACTGCTAATTTACGGGAGGGTATTGCTAATAAGCTGCTAATCACCATTATGAAAAAGAACTTTTGTGAACATCTTCCGAGTCACTAGTCTTTTCAAAAAACAACAGTGATACGATACTAATGCGAGAAACCCAATGCCATAAACTGGGGATGGTTGAAATATGTTGAATTCCCATCCATAAACATGGTGATGACTTGGGGCTTGTTTATGGCAGGGTTTTACCACATGGTTAAGCTATCTATGGTACGGATTCCGATTTGATGGGATGGATCAGGCGCGGGGCGCCAGGACATGGTGCTGTGAAGAAGCACGTGAATGCACTAGTGCCTGGGCAGTGAACAAAAGGGGAGATGCAGATTTTTTTTTTTGGACCCACTAAATTGATCAAACTTGGGAATGTGATCCATCCATTTTTCGGGGCGGATGACAAACTGATCAATCCCTAAACTGGCACCCAATCCCTCAAAGAAGGAACGATTCCGATGGTGTGAGGTGACAAAGGGCAAGAAGTCGGCCCTGCATTTGGCCCTGTCCAAGGTGGGATTTGGGTCGTAGATTTCAACGTTGACTGGAAAGATGATCCTGATTAAGATCCTATTCAAAATAGGGTCAGTTTCATTCCAGGCCGAATTTAATGGGGGTGAGCGGGAACTGATGATACTGCAGTATGATACTGTAGTTGAAAGGCTGGAGACATCCTAACAGATTCATGCACTGTGCACATGCCCCCCAATCAGTTGTTCAGTTGCATTCGAATTGATAATCTTGCAGCAGACGGAGTTATATACTGTAGACAAACTCATCAGACATGGTGTTGCGACTTGGATGCTCCCGGCTCCCTGCAATTTCCCTGCAGGGCCATGCAGAATGTGCCCGTTTCTTGGTCATGAAGGGCAGCAGTTGTGAGGCGAAAACCTCAAATGGCCAAACCGCTTTCGAGATGTGCAGCTCTCAGGAGAGCTGGCTGGATGGCCACTGGATGGCTGCTGGATGGAGGGGGAATCCATAGTGGCACTGCCGGGTTCAGATTTTGCAAGGCATGAAATCAGTGGATGTCCCACTGTCACGGTTCAGACATTTCCAGAGCACCTTTTGACCCAGATGGATATTTGGTTGAATCCTACTTAATCCTTCAGGCCACTAGCAGACCTCAAGGCCTTGAGGCCCAAAAGCCACTAACCACGGATGGGAAGGGCTTGAAAGAAGAAACTCAAATGCAGCACAGAAGAGGTGCTTCTAGAGCCTGCATGGTTTCCCATTGACTATTGTTTGCTACATCTTTACCTATTTCTTGTACCGGGTACGGCATAGTATAGTCATAATATCCCCAGTCCTTTTGGTTAAATCCTCATGTATGAAGTAGTTGAATCAGATTGAATCACCCAAATGAAACAGAGCCCAAATCTTTCAGTTTGGTACAGATGCAGTCAGACATCATCGCTAATCAGCATATTCGCATCTGTTTGAACGATGAGATCCCCCTTTACGATCAATCCATAGAATCAGCAGGAGCTTCGAGACGAACTGATGGGCAAGGCTAAAGTGGCCGCCAAGGAAGCCAAGGAAGCTGAGAGTCCCTGGGCGTTGAGACAGTGTTTTTCTTTAACCAATATCTTCGGGGTTACTTTATGGTAACTACTCAAAAAGATATACTATATATATAGACAATGTTAAACTTACCACTATTTCAGGAGGATGTCAGTTTTCGATCTTTTTTGGAGGTTCTGCATTGTTGTGTATACATACTTCTGTAGGGGGCATGTTTCAATTGATGTTCACCTTATTTGCACCCAACTTATCTAAGAATACACGAAGAAAAAGAAGTCAAAGATTTGGACTTCAACATGAAGCCAAGAAGTTATCATGTTCTTCATTGGAAAGGTACATACCACCCTGGTAACCTGGAAACCCATGGAAATCCGCCATTTGATGTTGGGGTATGTTGGGTTTTCCCTGGAAGACGGTCCCAGAGTCCCCAAAGCCATCATGGATATTCTTCACGGATTTGACATGACTACATCTAGCAAGTTGACATTGTATCCAACAAGTAAAGAACACATATGAAGACCATTGAGTGTCTTGCACGGCCGTTTTGTTCGTTTTGGGGATCAGGTGAAGAGAAGCCGCCTGCATCTGCCGACCCCTCAAAGGTGCAGTTTTAAGTGCGAGGGACGGGAACAGACCCTTTTTTATCATGGAAATCGTAGAAAATTCAAGATCTTCAGAATAGTTCTTTAATGTTTTTTTTCTCCAGTTTTTGAAGCATGTTTTCATATTTTCCGCCCATTCATAAGAAACGATATCACATTCTCAAATTTATCAGATATTTTGGATTGGAAGGTCTTCACCAGTTTCATCTGTTAAGCCGAAACATGGAGTTCCCAAAAATGATTCTACTGGATGTTCTTTTTTTGTTTTTAATTCGAAAGGGTTATGGCGTATATGTATACAATTATAGACACATATAGACATATGTATATATATATAGTAAAATCATCCAATATTTATATATCATTCTTGCATATCCATATCAAAATTGGAATTATATCCAGATGTCGTGGGTGTACTCTTGGATATCTTGGGATCAAATGATCAAAGGAATCAACCAACATATCTTGACCAGGTAGCAGAGGTAGAGCCGGCGGAGCCTCCAGCTAAGAAGCAAAGAGTGGAAGCAGGTGCTGAGCCACGGATAAGACCCTAGCAGTGGCATGCAGTGGCTGCGTGAAAAGCCCTTGTTGGCATGTACATGGATAACCCCATGATATTATGATGAATTATGATGAATTATATTGGGATGATCCAATAATGATGATCATGTATAACAGTATATATAGATGTATAATTACATGAGAATTCTGAAGCAGACAGAATTCTGGGATGGCTCTTATGTGCAACCAGCAGGATCATTGCTTTTTGCTCCGTACGAAAGGATGAACGAACTTCCATTGGTTCATTAGAAAATTGGACATAGTGACAATGTTTCACAGATTGCTCTCCGTTTTTTGTGCAATCTGTACGACAGAGGCGAGTTCGCAAAGTAATGGGGGTCAAATGAGCCCACACATGCCTGGTTGCTGGTTTCAAACATGAATTTTATTTTCCATTTCATATATGGGATGTCATCCCAACCCCAGTGACTTTCACTCCATCATTTTTCAGAGGGGTAGGTCAACCACCAACCAGATATTATTATTAACCATCATTAACCATCATTAACCATCATTAACCATCATTAACCATCATTAACCATGGAAATCCCATTGAAATCCCATTAAACTCCCACGTTCCACGGAAAGCCGGCGGCGAGGTGTGCAGCTTGGACCTGCTGTGGATACTCGGTTGCTTCATCAACGCCACTTACCTCCAACATGCAAACAGTGCAATGAATTTCCCATGTATATTATGAGTGTGTATATATATATATATATTATACATGTATATATATATATATTATACATGTATATATATATATATTATACATGTATATATATAATTATATATATATGATCTATAGTACAATATATATATATACACTGTATATTATCTACAATACATGTGTGTATATATAGACATTAATATGTACACAGGGGACATCTCAGCCTGCCATGTTTGCTTACCAGCGAGTAGCCCAGGACAGCGCCGTGGCAGAATCTGTGGAGGATGCCCCAGGAGGAAGATGGACCTGGCTGACCTGCTGGTGTCACTAACCGTGTTACCTTGGTGTCATCAACAGTAGGTTGAATACAATATATATATATACACAGTATATATATATACTGTATATACTGTATATATACAGTATATATATATAAGGTATATATTTGTGGGCACAACATGGGACCATTGGCCCTACTTGGGTATAAACGAACAACAGAAGGGATACAATCAACAACCAGCTGAACATATCATCGTCAACAATAGTAGGCATATGCTGAATCAGTACGTTGGCATGGGCCAACACTGATTCCTCAAGTTACCTCAACAACAGGATGGGCCTTTTGAAATCTATGGGCAGTAATTCTTGACGCACATGTCACCACCAGCAAATTGTTGTATACAAGAAGGAGGAATGATGGACAATAGTGAGTTCAAGATCATGATTTGTGGCTTCAACATTGGGAACATGTAGCCGCTCCTAGCATCCATAGGTGTCCTGTCCAAAAATAGATTTCGTGCACGGTGATCTTGCAAATCTCAGGGCACCTTATAAGGATAGATCAAAACCTGTCAAACCATATTTCCCGATAAATCTCACTATTTTGGTGTGATTTTCCAGGGAATCCACAACAATATATATATCTATATATATTTATGTATGTATATATACGGTTACGTATTATATATATATACTTATAAATCATTCTACATAAGAACAAGCCAGCTGGGGAACCTAGAAGCAGCCTTTGTATCTTTGACACCATCTTCCAAAGTCTCAACCGATTTTCCAGGAGTTCCTCAATGAGTTCTGCTGATGTCGACCCTTGAATGTTTGGAGCACCCAATCTGCAAGCCATTCATCTTTATGTCAACTTGGTTTGAGAATTTCTATGGTTCCGTTTCAAGGTTTGGTGATCATTCTAAATCATTCTAAATCTTGTTTTCTTATATGATTTAAGCATGATTTAAATGATAATTTACCAATGATAATTCTAAATGAGCATTCTAATTCCGAATGATTTATTTCCAACGATGTGTTGGAATGATTTAACTCCTTTACTTTAATGATGTTATTGATCTCCAAAGGCAAAATTATTTGAATTGGTGGCCTCCCAGCAGTGGCCCTGGAGTCTGTTTAGGACATCCACTTCTGGTCGAATTTCCATGTTGTATCGGGAACTTAGTACATGGTTTGTACTATCTAGTATGCAGGGTTCCTGATTTTTTCCACTGAAGCTGTTTCAGGGATTGAAATCCCCATATCTTGCTCTTCTGGTTGGAACCCCAATTTTGTAGATTTGATTTGATTGGATAGTTCTGTCATCTTACATCCCCTTTTTTGCTGATTATAATTGATTATATCAATTATATCTTGATTTCTGGCTTACATTGCAACGCCGCACTTGTTCGTTCCACCTCCCATCTTCCTCTTGTTGCTGCCCCATTCTTCACGTCCCGCTAGCTTGGAACAGCGGCTAAGGCGCCGCCGGGTATCGCTCGTGCAGGCCTTACTGGCTGAGGGCAAGGAAGCCGGGAGGTAGGGCTGAAAGGAATAGATCCACTACTAAACCAGGATAACCAGGACTCAATATCAACGGATGCCAGCACCAGCAAGGGGAGATGGCTGAAGTTATTGAAGCAGGTAGGACCACCCCAATCATAATCGTCCACCACTTGATGTTCAGTGTGTTTTCTTTTTTATAGGGGAACCCAACAGCACGTACAGTAGTTCGCCATGTTTAAGAGCCACAGTCTTGATTCGTCCAAGGTTTGCTCAGTTTCTCAATTTTACAATATTGTGCACAGCAAGATGAGATTTGGGAAATCGGATTTCTCAAATGAAGTCTTCGGATGGGTCAAAAACATGTCAGACTCCCAGACCATGGGATGCATCCAATGGAATCCATAGCTACCAGATGCTACCAGCCAGGTATTCAACTTGAACAGCTGAAGAGTTGGGTTCAGCTGAACTGCAGGTTCCCAGGGTCCAGCTGTCTCTGTGCAGGATGCGTCCAGGGCCAGTCGCGGGCACAGCAAGAAAAGTGCCGCAGATTGAGTGGGGTGTTCATGATGGTGCTGATGACGATGGGAACATATGGGGAAAAAGTGGGAAACTGCTGGAAAATGATAAACCATGATGGAACATGGTGATTGATGATGATGATGATGATGATGATGATGATGATGACGATGATGATGACGATGACAATGATGACGATGACGACGATGACGATGACGATGACGATGACGATGACGATGATGATGATGATGATGATGATGATGATGATGCTAATGGTGGTGGTGATGAGGTGTCACGTGGTCACGTGAGTTTCTCCCTATTTGGCCGTTTGACTACATGTTGGGCTTGACACAGACGGTGCCCCTGGAGTTCGATTCACGAGCTACTTTAGCCTTCCAACCACACATGGATCCTTTTTCTTGAGAAGGCCTGAAGATCTCTGCTGCTAGACCCCCGCATGAGCAAACCTGTGAACATGGATTCAGACAAGTTGTGATATCCTCCAAGATGGATCAGTTTTATTTGGCGTAACAAGATGAGTTTGGGGAAGAATCACCATCACAGAAACAACCTCGGCTGCCCCGCAGATTCGGCCCAAATTGGTCGCCTCTCATCGATATCAGGATATCACTCCAGATGTTGCTGAGGGGAATCATCCCAACATCAGATTCTTTGCTGTATTTCAGGTTGGTTTATTGCAATTCAGCCAGAGAGAGAGAGAGAGTTGTAATCTCTCATCGGCCACCCACGTTGATGTGAGTTGCTGGTTGTGAAGATTGACCACATTGAAAAAATCCGAAGGGAGTTTGGTGGTCCAGCTTTCTGACACACCCACTGTTTGGTTGCTGAGATTTAGCTGGCGAACCAACTCACTTTTGACAACAAAGAAGTACTCTAAACATGATAGCACTTTCATGTAATTTCCATTTTCCAACTTACACACACCTGACCTGCGCGCCATGCGCGCCACGAAAGATGACTTCCACCGTGCTGGCGATTGGGGTCAGCCTGGTGACTTGACAGAAACAACCTCTTTTTAATGGATGTTTTAATGGAAAGATCAACTACAAATGAGGAATTTTGTATTGCCATGAGTGAATACCGGAGGACATATTGATAAATTAAAAAAAACAGAGGCATTTTAGTTTTATTAGATTGAGGTTATGCTAGGCACATTAAGGGAACTGCTTTGAGGAGTATCCGATGTATAGCAGATGCCGAGATTGCACAGAGTCGCTTAAAGCCTGACACATGCCATGTGTGTTTTGCGGCGGTTAAAAGGATCCGTGACTGTTGGCATCGGCTGAAACGATGGGGGGATTTGATTGTCATTTAACATTTGAACCACAACTTCATCTTCTGTCGCTTAGAAGTTGACATACAAACCATACAAATTCCACAACATCGGGTATTTATGTGTCAAAGTTGGGTACCCAAACAACATCCATGTCGAAGAAGTCGAAGAACCAACAAGAGGAACTCAGGTGGTTCCGGTCTTAGATTTTGACACAGAGCACTCTGAGGTGATTCCGATCTACCCTGCATCATCCAGGCAGTGACTGCCTGGGTTCCTTGATGATCAACGTTCCTTCTATTTGGCTATGTGAAATCGGGTACACCATTTCATGGCTGACCGTCATTTTCTCGATGACATTATGTATACATATATATATATACAAACACACTCAACACATTTTTTTTCTGGCCACCACCAGATTTGGAACCCATCCCCGTAGAGACCCAATGCCCCAGGGAAGTTTTCGATGGCAAGAAGGAGATGGAGATGGTGATCTGATGTAGTCCAGGGAAAAACCTGAAATAGGTGTGGAAAATCTAGCATTTGGAGAGCATTTCTCCGCGGAAACCGTTGATTTCTATATGTCAGGAGGGTTGACCAATTGGACCTTCAATTGGTCAATTGTTGACCTTTGGATCAGAATTATTCACCCCTGGGATTGGATGGTAAACGGCATCCCACTTTATCCAGTACAATGTAGGGATCCGGTCTACACATCATCACAGTCGATTTCCCGGTGTTAAAGGTGCAGGGGTCAAATTGGAGGCTGTGGGACCTATAGATGATGTTGGCCTCCATTTTCCGCTGGCGCTGACCCAAAGAAAGATTCGTGTGGCCTCCAGGCGGTGACCCGAATTCGACGAGAGTCCCGAATTGAAGGGTTGATCCAGCATGATCCGACGCTACCCAAATTCACCAATTTGGAAGAACACCATTGTCATAATAATGACATAACAATTGGTTATATATTACAATGGTGTTATATAACCATAAACATATATAACCATATCAACCATTGTCATATAACCATTAAACCATTGGTGTTATTAATGGTTATATAACAATGGTTTTAATGGTTATATAACACCATTGATATGCTATATTCACCATATCAACCATTGTTATATAACCATTAAACCGTTGTTATACAACCATTATCTTAAAGTAACCACAATCCAACCGACGGAGTGGTATTGAGGCTGTTTTTTTTTCGGCGCCCGGTGGTCGCAGGAGTTGTTTGACCCTGAGGAGTTTCGAGATGCTTGGCCCTATCGGGTGCTTGATGGGTTTGTCATGCTTTTCTTATGGTTTTTGTCGTGTAAAATGGGTATGGATCAATACCTATTAATACAATTTTTAGTGGGATGAACATCCATTTACCAGCTATTTTGATGTTCACCAGGGGTACAAGGTTTTGACACACTGCCAGATGGAAATGATGGAAAAAACGGGTGGTTTCCAGCTGTCAGTTCCGGATCCCCGGCATCTTCATCCCCAGCGCCAGGAAAGGTTGCTGAAGATGGCCTCGGCATCTCGATGATCGGCGCAGCGAAAATGGAGGGATGCAATGAATAGGGACAAATAGGGAAAACACATTGATTATGACAATATTATGACTCAGCATCTAAGTTTTTTGGGGCCGCTTTGTTTTTTGATATTTCTCTGAGTAGATGGTGAAGGGTAGGAGGGTTTGAACCCATGTTATCGTCCTATCCCTATTTCTCGGACATGCAATCATTCTCGCAGGTCAAAAGTCGAGTTGTTGTTTTCCATCTTGAAATCTCCACAAAAAAGGTACATCCCAGGAAAACTAACATAACTATGGAAAATCACCATTTTCAATGGGAAAATCCACGAAATAAATGGCCATTTTCAATAGCTACGTTAAATTACCAGAGGGTACATCCCAGGATGGATTCTTTAACAAATCACCCAGATTTTTCGTTGCTGAAGATCACCACTGTTGGTTATATCCCCAATTTTTTCTCTGGTAAACATACAAAAAACTATGGAGAAAATCCACCATGCTATTAATGGGAATATCCACTATTTCTATGGTCAGTCATTTTCAATAGCTAAGTTAAATAACCAGAGGGTATATCTTCATCATTGATGTCCATCCCCCTGGATCAAAAACCAACTTACCAACCGCTGGTGGTTCTGGATGTTCATCTCTTCATCCCATATGGAAAATCGATGAAAGCGTTGCTTTGGTTGATAGGTTTCCCTACAATATATAGCTTATCAATATTTATCATACTCCCCAATTAGTTCAGTGGTTTTTCAAGTCCCAACAAAATCAATCAACCATCATGTCTCAGTTTTATTTTCGATCAAAATGATAGTTAAACAGCCATAACACATCATTAAACAGCCACTATACTTGATGGTTAAGTCCCAAGAAATTAACCAGAATTCCACCAGGGTATAACTTGTTGCCGTAGAATTCCACCAGTGGCATCTCTCAGGTGCAAGAACGTCCGCAGTGGCAGCGTTTCTTGGAGCGTAGATCCAGCTGGCCTTTGGATGAAGAGCGACTGCGGCAAGGGCAAGTGCAACCGCAGGAGGGGATGTGGATCCGCGTAACTAAGCTGTTTTGCTGAGTTTTGCTGGAGTTTTTTGGGTTACGGTTGGTTGTAAGATGACTGATTTGGAGGTTTCCTAAAGTGGGGGTACCCCCAAATCATCCATTTTAGATTGGGATTGTCCAGTATAAACCATCCATTTGTGGGTATCCCCATTTTAGGAACCCCCCCATATATACGTATACATAGTATATGTATATATACAGTATATACACACTTGTTTATTCCATTTATCATCTTACAACCAACATCACCCAGCATCACTCGAAGGACTGATGTTTGACAGTAGAGTGGCAACGGCAATACTTGTTTGGATATTGCAGACCTCACTCCACTGCAAGGGCCTTATGAAGCTAGTGCCAACAAATCCTCATTCGTTGTTGGGAATGAATCCTTCTTGTCGCTACAACAGACTACCAAAACTCTAAACTTCACACTTTGAAGGCTGTTGAAAAGGAGTTCCATGTGAATAGCCGTTGTAGTGTTTACCACCTGTGGTGGGCTATAGTAGTTATTATTGACACTCTTGGTCCGTCTGGCTATATTTTTGTCATCGTTGCTCCTCCAATGAAGTGCTTTGGCGTGAGCACTATTTTGCTACTGCCAAGCTCAAGTCTCTACATTTACTATATGTAGAGAGTTGAGCTTGGCAGGCTTGGCAGTGATTATATGAATACTCCGATACATCTTCTTCACTATGATCCAAGAAGTCTACAGTTCAGCATGGATGAAGATAGCAAAATCTTGGAAAACTTAGGTATTTCCAAAAACCCAGGTATTTTGAACTTTCCCTGGTATTTCTATGTTCCGGGTCGGTTTCCCAGGTATTATTTTTTATACCTACAAAAATGTAGGTTAACAGCTTAGCAGGTGTATATGATTATATATATATAATATATATATATATATACACTGTATGTATATATCTACATAAATTGGATAATTAATTTACTAGCAGCTGGCATCAGACCCAACAGTGCCGGGGAAGTATCCCATCCGCAGCCATCGCCAGTCGCAGCTGATGCCTCCCTTGCCACCGAAGCGGATGTATCCGCGGCTTGGCACCAGAACTTGCCCAGTCAACTCGTGATACTGCTGTCATAATAAATTCATCTGGAACAATGATCCATGATGAGGTATTATATTTAATTATATATATACCCATAGAATCCATGTATGGTATATATGCTAACATTGGGGTTATTGATGGTAAATGTTACCATATATAGCATACATGGATCCTATGGGATATCTATATACATATGTATATGTTGTACCACAACCAGGGATTCCAAAGTGGACGTGTTTCGGCAGCCCTTTAGGCCCACGCTAGCGTCCCATTGTTGGAGTCCCGACTGGAGCCCCTCCGATTGCTGTTTCTTCTCGCCCCCGGACGCTTGGCGGTTACGGGGACTTATACCATGACCATAAACTACGGCTAGAAAAAAAAGTCCCGGAATTTTAGTGCTATAGTATACTATAGTACTATTGTACTACCCAATAGTACTACCTGGTACTACCTACCTGGTACTACCTACCTGGTACTACCTACCTGGTACTACCTACTTGAAATTGGGGATTGTGATTGATAACCCATAGGTTGGGAAACCATTTTCAACTACAATGAGAAGGGCTCCCGCTGTAGCTTGAGGAACTCCGCTACGGTAGACCATGAAAATCCGCGCATGTGGGCAGATCATGGCAGATCAGCTTCGACAAGTACTTTCGAGTGATTCTAGTGGCGTAAAAGTAAAAAAGGTCACAATGAGACCTTGTTTTTAATATGTTTTCCCTGCAAAATCCTCAGGTAAAAAACCTAGTTGGCGGGTCAAACACCTGTCTAACCCCCTCTAGTTTGAACCGCCTTCAGAAGGGTCTTAGCCAGATGTGACTCACTATGTTTTTTTGAATTCCTGAGTGGAACTCAGGACACAGCACTGACAGTGTGCTTCGCCAACAACACCGAAGCTTGGTGGATACCTTGGTGCCCTTTCATTCCCTTCATGGTCAATGATCATCAAAAATAGTGCAAGATCATCAAAGATTCATCAAAGATTCTATGACAACTTTTGTGTGTTTGATGACTCTTGATGCACAGCTACGGTGTCAGGGGTCACAACCACAGTTCAATGGGAGGGTCTTCAATTCTATGATGGGAAGTGGAAGGCCCAAGGGCGATTCCAAAGGTGGCTAGGGGGTCAAACCTATCAACTACAAAACAAATGGAGGACTTCCTACTATCATTTGTTGATCACATTTGGAAGTCATTTGAAAGATGGATTGTTGGATTCCTGAATTGATAGTTATCCTCCTAGATGACTTCCAAATATGGACCATATGGATCAATTCTTGTGGGTTGTTGTGTAGATTTTTAAGCCACTAGGTCAACGTGAATGCCGGCTGAGGCCATGTTCATGGAGTGCTGCCCTTGGGAAACTGTTGAGGACGGGCGATGCATGGGGATTTCCTAATGGGAGCCCGAAACTCACGACATTTTGTGCCGCTTGGCCATCTTTCATCGCCATCTTTGATGACTGAGCACAGCAAACCGTGGGAAAGCCACCAATTTTGACTCCCTATAGCAACTAAAAGCCATCCCAAGGAGATGCAGGCGTCAATCCTCTCCTGTGAGACTTGACGGAAGGGGATTGCCGGGATTGCTTCAGAGTTCCCTTGGTTGCTGCGAAGCACGGTTGGAAAATCCTCATGAAAGGACATGCATCTACCAAAGGAGGCCAGGTTTTTCGCAATTTTCCCTTAGTTTTAAGTGAGGGTCCGGTTGTTGTATGATTTCAACAAGGCGGCCCCAACAAGTCCTTGGGGTAGGTCTTGACAGGTCCGGGGTTCGCTTGGAGCGCCGGAAAGTGGATCGCTTCGAGCGCCGGAAAGTGGATCGCGTGGAACGCCGAAAAGTGACGCGTACAGACACATAAGAGATACATAGCCTAGCGCTATGGCTACACATAGAATCATATAGACACGGAGACATAGATACATAATTAAATGGACACATTCATACGTGCCTACACGCTGAAGCACTGAAGCACGCACGTAGTGACATTGATAGACGCACGCAGGTACACATTCCAGGCGATCCGCCTTCCGGCTCGAAATCAACCAGTAGTCCCTCCAAGTAACAACACGTGCCCCAGCCCCGTGTCCCCAAGTTAAACCCTAAAGGTCTCATTCTCTGGTGCTCTAAGCGATCCCTCAACCTTCAGAACATTCCAGCCATCCAGCTGGCGAAAAAATAGCATCAACGAATGACTTGTGTAAAAGAACAGCAAAGGTTGGGAGGTTAAATATGTTAAATCCTCCAGTGGATGGATACTTAGAAGGTTTCTATCTGTACATGTCTATACATCTTCTTTCCATATATCTGCATCCACATCTACTTCTGTCATATCAATTCACATCTAACTATATGATATTATATACATTTGTACATCTCCGTAGCCACCCCATGACCGTCCGGTGCCTTTTCCCAGGATTTGTCGAAGCACAGTACTACCTGGAAGCAGCTCCAACAGACTTTTGCACAGCGCCTTGGAGAAAATCTTTCATAATGAGTCCATCCTGTTCTTAGCCAACAAAAATAGGTCTTCATTAATATGAGTTTATCCCCATCTATAGAAATCCATCGAAATCCTATATTCATAATCCCTATAAATAATACATTAGGATATATTAGGGTACTAACATATATATATGCTATATTATGATTCAATGATCATCCAAGTCATTCAACCAGGAAATCCCCGCCAGGTGCTTGGGCAGTGGGGATGAGAGTTGCATCCCAAAGGTGGCCCGGGAAGTTCCACTCTTTGAGGATCCCTTGTGTGCCATGGGCGTGCCTTGGCGCTTCGACTGCTTGGGGAGAAAAGCTGGGGAAAAATGGATTCCGATGGATTCTGATTCTTTTTTTCCGGTTGGTTTGCGGCAAAAAACATGGTCGAAGTGATGATGACCGCATCGCTCCCGAGCAAAGTGAAGTTTCAACAAGCCACATCTACAAAAGACCCATACACCTCCAAGTTGCCTCCAGCAATTTTCGAGATGAATTGATTTTCGCTGTGGCTCCGGTCATCTCAAGATGCCTTGAAAGAAGGAGGCGCTCCGGGGCATTTTTCTCTCGGCCAACAAGCCCTACAACGAGATGATGGACTCAAACGCCATCCTACCAGATGGAAAGATGCACGGAGCGAGGGGGCCGGAAGGGTCGGGGTTTCGTGGTGAAAATTATACATCATGCACATCCATACCGGTTTGTATCCTGATTAGATTTCATGTTCATGTATATAACTTTATATAACTGTTGTATATATAATTATATATATTGTTATAAATTGTTATATATATATATACATTGTTATATTGTTATATTTTATTAGTATATGTGTATATATATATACATATGTTTCTCGCTAACGTATGTAATTATATATATATGTTTCTCGCTAACGTATGTAATTGATATATATATATACACCTGTTATTATTGTTAAGAACAACAACAGTGCCGTGAAACTTTTCAGTTATATGCTACATATATATATATATATATAATATATATAATATATATATATATTATAATAATGCACCACTATACACCTGACAGGTTCATTGGAACTCTGCCCTTTTGGTGCCAGTGCAGCGCCAGGATTCGATGAGTGCCTCTTGCATGGCCTCGATCAGGCCCGGTGCTGCGTAAGAACCCGATTCTGCAAGTGTGCTTCGCATCCGGCAGATCGCGTGGGCTGCAACCTAGGCGGCGGGAGGGCACAATTGGTCGGTTGGTTGGAAATTTCCGTCTCAGAGCTTTTCAAGGGACAGCCATAATTTGAGACCTGCACTTGGCAGTTTGTTTGTCTTCACTCTAGCTTCGGAACTTTAGAGGATCCTCAGAGCTTGGATCTTGATGCAGTTTCAGCTGTTCTATGATGTTCTATAAACTTGAGGAGTGTAGATGGTGTAGACAGATGACCAGTTGACGTCCTTACAAGCCCTGGCTTGTCACAGTGTCGAGGCGTGGCAGTGGAGTGCGCCATCTGTTTGATGCTGATTCCATCAGTGCTGCTGCGCCACTCCGGTTGGGGATTGTGACTCGATTCACTCGATCCAAACATGTCCCAGTTGGATCATACCAAGAAGGACCCAAAGCTGTGCCCTGATGAATATATATATATATGAATATGAGGATCTCTTAATGTTCCTGGCTTCTGGACTATCATCCCTGCAGATGTATCCGAAGCTTCCTGATCTTCCTGTATGTCACATCCCTGCGATTGAAAGTGCTAAATTCTAAAGACAGGCTAAGACAGGATTGTGCTGTCAGCCTGTCAGCGCAGTCATGCCCGGTATTTGTGAGCTTTTCCCAGCAAGTGCCTCCTATGTCCCACACGTCCCACACCAGGGGTGCATCTTTGGGAAACCTGACACGTTGCCACCACTTGTTGTGGACCAAAATCAGCAGCCACCTGGGCCCCAGAAGGGTTGATCTTTAGCACCACCTTCAGGTCACCGGATCCTCCGGCCCAGGGACCCACCGATACCCACCGTGCGGCTCAGGATGTTCAGCTGGATCCTCCAAGAACTGCAAAGTCTAAGCCTCGATCGCCAAGGCTTGACGTTGGAGCCCGAGCCTTCGGACCCACTCAGGAGGGGTTTTCCCAAAAACGGTGATGAAAAGCCATGGATGTTCCCAGAGATTTATGGGGGAAGACGATGAAGATCCATAAAAAAAACCAGGTTTTCATGATATCAGGACATTGATCCATAGTGGAACCAAGGATTAAACCTGAAGAGCTGTAGACTGTAGACGAACCAAGAACATGTCCACATCGTGTTTGCAATTCTCTAACTGCAGAGTACCAGGGTGACATGAACCACGACGACATCGATCAACATCTAACCTTTCCGGCGTGATACTGGAAAGAAACAAGTTTGCTTTGGGCACTTTATATACGGCCATGCAGATCTATGGAGGATGCGTGTTGATATGCCATGTTCATCTGCTTTGTGGCCTCAAAGCACTTTCATCTGCTTGTTTTTGTGATTTTAATATTTTTGCAATCTTCATTTGCTTGTTTTGAAGTATTGAAGGTCCAATGCCTTGGATATGACGTCAGATGGATGCTTCAACCATGCACAAATTGCCATCATTGTATATCATTGCTAGGTCATGATTAGTTCTCCATGGATCAGTGCCCTGTGCTGACCTTTGTTGATTCGGTTCTTGGTTTCTCAAAAGATTGAACATTGGGTAAGGTATGTCAAAAATTGTCAAAATCCAAGGCGCAACCAGAGATTTTGACAACCTTTTGGTCAACCATCCCCTCATCTTTTGGTGCAGTTATCTCCAACTGGGACCGAAAAAGCTCCGCGTAGGAGCCTCACCTATAGCTCCACATCTGCCCCAGGGCATCAGCACCGCGATTTGCTCCGCATGAGCAATGCTTCAGGGCCCCTGGGGGAACGTTTCTAGGATGCAACTGGGCTTCCAGGTTTTGGAGTGTTTGGGTAGTTTTTTTTAAGGTTCCAGTAGGGATAGGAGTGTTTGGGTATATATTTTGATACATTTTGTTTGTAGGTCGGGGTTTGCCAAGCCTACCATGGCACTGTGGACCGCAGAGGTTTGGTGGGCACGGTGATCGAAGACTTCTTCACTCAAGCCATGGCCACGGCGACCCCCCTCGATGCCTGGGCCAGGGCTGTAGAGACAGGCCAGCGGAGTTGGAGCCATTGGAGGACACCATAGGTCCTGTATGTTCCTGTACTTACATGCACGTTACAAGTATATATATATATAATATATATATATATATATGTATGTATATATATAATATATATATATACTTAGTTGCTTCATACTTCGCATCTTTCCCAACTACTGTATATAATCCATTTCTAATATGAAATCCTCTCAGAAGCCGTGACTTGGTAATCTATTCATTTTGGGGGCTCCATATGGGGGAGGCCCCAAGATGACTCCATCACGCTCCAAGATGGATGGCTCACTACTCAAGTGGCTTTTGCCTGAAAATAGGGCCCAAAAATCCTATGGTTACTCATCATAATCTCATCATATTTCCATATATTTCCCAATGAAAATGCAATGTTTGGCGAATAGCCAATTCTCAGAGAAACTCATTTCCACAACTTTGCCACGCAGATTTGTGATCATTACCCCAAACTGATGATTCACCAGACCAATCTTCGTACCATCAACTTTAACATTGGACGATCCTTACCCAAAAAATGATGACATCTATATATATATACATATGTATGTATATATATATGTATATTTATTGTTTACCAATATTAAGCCAGTTGATTTTGATTAGGTGTGTTCCCACCATTTTCCAACCCCAAACCGCCTCAGGCCTCATCAGCGGCCTCGCTCGCTTCCTCGGCCGAAGGCAGCTGCCACCGCGGCGCAGCGCGCTGCCGACGGCGCAGCTGCAGGGCGTGGCGCGGCTGATTCCGAAGAACCTGGCGTTGCTTGGTGACGGCGGTTGGAGCCATAGGGAAAGATAGGAGGGATTAACCGATAATGTGGGTAAAACAATGTCATAAACCACCCATTTGGGAATGGTCTATACCACCTATTTATGGTGATTACCCTCTGGTCATTGAACATAGCTATTGAAGTATCCATAGTTGTTTAACTCACAGGAGGGATTAGCCAATTGCTAGGTATTGTTAGTTATTGTTAACACTAAACTATCAATAGGAGGGATTAGCCCTTGGTAAACTAACATAGCTATGGAAAATTGCCCATTTATAGTTGATTTACCTATGAACGATGGTGATTTCCCATAGCTATGTAAACGTTTACCAGAGGGTAGCCTATACTAGCCCTCCTGTAAACATTTATAATAACTAACACTTCGATGTGGAAACATCCAGCATTTATAGATCATCGAACTGTTAGTTTACCCTGCGGTAAACCAGGAAAATCCAGGAAAACAGAACGGGGATCTTATCCAGCCATCCCCAATTTTTTTGCTCGGAGATGGGGTGTTTTTTTTTGTGGAGATGGTGATCCAATTTGACGAGGAAGATATCCTTCGTTATATATATAACTATATAACCAATAAGATATGGTGGAAGATTGTGTTTTTGGTCAGCCAAAAAAAAGGGGATGTCTGCAACTCAATGGGACTTTTTGGTACACTTTGGTTGAGAATTTTGACATATTTTGACATACATTGACATACCCTCTGGTAAACTAACGTAACTATGGAAAATCACCATTTTTAATGGGAAAATCCACTATAAATGGCAATTTTCAATAGCTACGTTAAATTACCAGAGGGTACATTGAACCTTGTTTTTTCGTGGATTCGCATACTGTTTTCTGACGTCAATTCAGAGCAATCACCAAGGTACCACCAAGTACAGCGAGAAGTGTGGGATATGTATTGACATGATATGGGTCTGAACATGTTATATCATGTTATATACCACCCAAATATGCCAGTTATGGATAGTTATGGTACGTTTTCATAGGGACAATGAGGATTCATGGATTTAGAGGTCGCCAATTTTCAGATAAACTATTGATGAGGTCCTTGGTGCCCGGTCGTCTTATGACTCAAGGCTGGAAGATTTTTTCGGGGGTGCTTTTGGGGTATCACTGGTATCATCCATACATATCCATAGTGTACTGACATGTGTTGGTATATGATACCAACCAGATCGTTTCATGCAGATTTTTTTAAGTATGTTTTTCTATATGTTTTACTAGGCGGGGACTGTGATGATACCACGTGCACCGGAGAGAATTTGTTACAATTTTCATGACGTGGCTGATGGAGGTGCGCGTGCCAAAGCGCTACGGGAGATGATGGGTCCTGCACGCCTCGAACGTCAAAAGGGTGGGATGTTGGAGGCTACATGGCATGGATGGGGATGGGGATGGAGATGGCTGTGTTCTGCTGCTTTAGAAGCTGGGGAACTGCAAGCTTCAACGATTTATGGTGAATGCCTAAGATTGTGTTGTTGGGGTAATTCGAACATATGAGACAACAATTCACAGGATTTCGAAGTGGGGCATCAATTCACAGGATTTCATCGGTACATTGTGTTTTTGAACCGTTGTGCTACATGGATCTTCATGGTGAAAAAAGATGATCCTCGCAGAGAGCCTTTATAGCAATGGTTTATATTAACGTTTATATATACCCTCTGGTTATGACTAACAGTTCGCCATGGAAGCCATGGCCCATAGAAATAGTTAATAGCATGGTGATTTTCCATGGCAAACTGTTAGTCATAACCAGATGGTATATATATATATATATCATATGTATCTGGAGAATAAACCATCAAACATATCCATGGCTGCACAGAGTTTGGGAATTGTGATGAGACTTGCCCAGTTACATCCCTCCTGTCGCACCCAATGTCGCACCCAATGAGGATCGTTTCACGCTTAGGAGACAGACTTTTCCAACGTGAGTCCTCCTAGGTATTCCTAGATATTCCTAGGTGTTCCTAGGTATCCACGTGTTTGGGTGATGGTTTTTATGGTTCTATCGCAATATTCGGATGGGTCGGATGGTGGTTTTCTGATTCCACCAGAAAAAGGTTGATATAAATCTTTCAAAATCTTTCAAAATGGTAAACTTGTTGAGTTTACCACATTATGATCATTGATGATCATTTATGATCATTGATGATCATTTATGATCATTTATGATCATTTATGATCATTTATGATCATTTATGATCCATGGCCAGTTAAATCCCACACTTTTCCAAACATGACATATCTCCATGTTTGAGGGTCACTTTTTTGTGTTACATCTACATGTTTTCCCTCAGTCCGATCCATAGTGTTCACCAGATTTGGTGATGGTGTCCTCTTTTTTCTTGGTTAAATCATGTTAAATCCCTTTACTTGTTAGTTAAACCACTCTATCCCTATTCTTGTTGGTCAAATGATTGTCAAAAATCCCGTTGTTCATCAAATCCCTATTTTTGTTGGCTAAATCCTCATCTGGGTCTGTCTGAATGTGGTTTTTCCCGCCCAAACTTGCCCATTTCGATAGGGAAGATGTTGTTTTTCATCGAATTAAAGTAGATCAAAGTTATTCATTTGCTTGTGAAATCACCAACCTTTTTTGTTGGTTCCAAATAATATATTGGTTACAAATCATATATATATATATTTCTTGTTGGTTACATCACTATCATCACCAAGCTTTTTTGTTGGTTACATCCCTGGTAATGGCGAAGAATCCCTGGTATTTCTTCGTGATTTTCCAGGCTGCTTGGCTCCAGTCGCTTCGAAGCTGGCCGCATCGCTGCTGCCCACCAGATGCGACAGGCGACCTGGTGAATAGATTTTGGACAGTCACCTGGAGATATCAACCTGGAAAAACATATGGCTATGGATCAATACCTATGAAAATACCATTTTTAGGGGGATGAACATCCATAAATCCCAGCTATTTTGATGTGAACTACAGGGGTACAAGGTTTTGACACACTGCCATATACCCTCTGGTGAACTAACATAGATATTGAAAATTGCTATAGAAATAGTTGATTTACCCATTAAAAATGGTGATTTTCCATAGTTATGTTGTTAGTTTACCAGAGAGTATCTACTAAATATACGTATATCTACAGTTAAAACCATATGAATGATAGTTATAAACATATTAATCATTGAAGTATCATCCTGGAAACACTTATAGTTAGGGCCTCTTTGTGGGCCATGTTGAGGGGATCATGTGGATATAACCAGGAGATTTTGATGGAACAGATGTTTTCGCTGTGTTCAAAAACACAACGCTTGAGTAGTTATTGAATGTGGTCTTTTTTTTTGTAACCACAATTGTATGATGATAATGATCAGAGTTTCAACCATCAGACACATGTGGCTGTATCAATGATTTTTTATTTTTCGAAATGATGTTTGATCGATGACTATAAGCAGTTATATACACCATCCAATGATATTGTTAACCAACCAATGCAAAGGGATGATACAACGGGTAACACTGATCAATTGGGGCCCAAACATCCCTTTTTGTTCAGCAAACGGAGGTTTCATGGTTCAGAAAACTTGTTTTTTTGGAGCTGTTGGAAGTGTTGATGTATGAAAACTCATAGAAACTGGGGAAAAGTTAACGTTTTGTGCTGATTTAGTTCTTTCAACATCCCATGGGGTTAGGACATCATGGAATAGCACTCATCAACATGAACATGACCAGATATGTTGGATGCATTTATGGTACACCTTCATTTGTTGGACACACCCACAATTGGCTGGTGGTTTCACAGATGGGTATGGAGATTGTTGGGTCAACATGTTGAGCCACAGCCAATACAGAGTTGTCCAAAGATGGGTATATCGGTATACCCCAAATCCCATGACATGTTTTTTTTTTGGAATGCTCGATTTTGAGAGTAAGCATGACAAACATTTTTTTTTGCATTTTGCCCCCCGATTTTGACCACAACGCGTGGGTTTTCAAAGATGCGGCGGGCGGGGGGTGCTCTTGAAATCCGCCAGTTCACCAGTTCCTGTCCTTCTGGGGAGGTGGAAAGGGAGACCATACAGAGCTTGATCCACCCACGACTTTTGAAATCTTTTGAACGGTACTAATGCTGTGCATGTGAAATGATGGAAGGGTAGGTCGGCTATGATTTCTCAGGATTTTTAAGATATACTTTTCAAGAGTTTTTTGGTTCTTTGAATCCTCCCTAAGTTTGGGGAGTCTGCAGCCATGAATTCGCAGGCCCGAAACAGTTGTGCTTTCCCATCATTTCTGATCAATCTCATCCCAATCCCAAAAATCATGAGACATCAACTCATCACCATCACCAGCCACCAGCTTTGGGATCTCTTTCCGCAGGCGCCTTGGCTTTGCTTCACCCGCCCCCGGCGGGTCTCTCCAAGTGGCCAGGGCTGCTGCTGGCGCTTTGCCTGGCCTGTGAGTCGCGGGATCAGCAGCTGCTGAAGCAGGTGGATGATAGGAGTCTGGAGGATTTCCCCAATTTGTCCTCCATTTGGTGAAAAATCTAGTAGAGTATGTTAGAAGTAGACAAAGAGTCTGGTTAGAAGCCTAGTTTTAAATCATGACTTACAGTAGAGTATGTTAGAAGTCTAGTTTAAAATTTGACGGAACCAGCCTTGCACCAACTGCTAGCCTATGTTTCTGTTGCCAGGGCGCCCATTTTGAAGCTGCAGGTTGAACGGGGCATCTTCTGTTCTGGTTCTGGATGTGGAATGCTGATGAGATTGCAGATCCGCGGCTGCACTATGCACCCGACAAAAAAACCTCAGAAACTGGTCATTGAAAGGCCAGAGTTACCGCACCACCAAGAGCTGCTTGCAAGATCTTGGTTGCAAGAAATCCAGTGAGAATATGGGGATGGATCAAACATCTATGTTAATTATACCATAGTTGCTGGGTAGCATCCATTGACCTGCTATCTTGGTGTTCACCAGGGTACCGGGGTGAACTGACCCATTGGTAATTCTCCAGCCTGGGGTTATACTACGAAGCTTTATGGGGATTGGGCTTTAATGCAACCCAGTATTGCAATCCCTTTATTGGTGCGGTAGCCCCACTAATAAACCATGCTCCATTTTACCGCTCCATTCTGTTTTAAATACCGTTATACCATACTCCCTGGACGTTCTGAGGGGTAAACACCCCATTCCCCTCCAGTTTCATCAAACATGGCTGGAGATTTCACCCATTTATGATCATTGATGTATGATTTTCCCATGATTTTCCCATGAAAAAACCTCCATTTCGTTCAATGCTTTTCCCGTTCACATCGTCGGTTTTCGTCGGTTTTCGTCGAAAAATCGCTGGGCCGACTCTGAGGATGGTGGAGCAGCACGCCTGGAATGTTTGGAAAGACCCAGCAGCCAAGAGGCCCACGATGGCCCCGTTGTTTTGATGATGGGAAAATATATGGAAAACTCATCGAAGTTTTGTGGAGTTTTTAATGGAAAATCATCGAACCTTAAATGGAGGCTTTAATGGGACCAGCTATAAATGGATATGGCTGGGGAAATCTTCGAAGTAAATGGGCAAAAAATCCAGCAAAAGTCTGTTGTTTATTACCAGAGGGTAACCTAGTTTCGGATTTCCCCAGATAGCCATGGTTTTTAGCAATTTTATGCAATTTTTCTATTCATAACTGCGGAAGATTTGCATTTTCCAACTGAGGATTTTAACATCTTCCAGGGACGTCATCTTGGACAGCGATTTTCAGTGTAACGTCACTGTAGGCGATGGTGCTCGGGAAGAGAGTATATATAAAGTGAAACACCATCTGAACACATTATTAATTATATTATATTAATCATATATATATACACACTGTATATATATATATAATATTCTAGTCTTATGCATGTTTTTTGTGACACACTCTCTCTCTCTCTCTCTCTCGTTCTTGGTACTTTCTATCAGCATGCCATAGGCATAGCCACAGCCTGAAGTTGCATGGCAACGAATGGAAATGAACATATATTGGAGACAGTCGACATTTGGTTGGTGGTTTCACATACTGTAATTAGTGTACCAATTTCCATCCCTACTTGCAATAATCATCAAATGCAACTGACTAATATTATTGAGATGGCTGGAAGCCATACCTCACTGGTCTGGCGGTGATATCATATTCTCTTCTGAGATCATTTGATGGGGAAGCAACAATATCGTGGTTGGCGAACATCCCCAATTGTTCTTCTTGTTTTTTTGAAGCATACGGTTCATATTCATTCATCATAGCCTCTGGCAAACTGTCATAACGAACTGGAAAATCACCATTTTCAATGGGTAAATCCACTATAAATGGCCATTTTCAATAGCTATGTTAAATTACCAGAGGGTATCCTAGTTGTACTCCTGTCCCCAGTTATCCCACTTTATCCCCAACCGAACCCTGGCCCCCTGTGAAAAAGATGCCAGGTTTGTGCCGTTCCTTCAGCTGATTCTCGAGCGTTTCAACAAAGCCAAGGCCGCCCATGGCTCTGTTTCGATTGCCATAAGGTGGGTGTTTAATGGTACCCTCTGGTAATTTCACATAGCTATTGAACATGGCCATTAAAAATGTGGATTTACCAATGGTGGATCTTTCCAGTTCGTTATGTAAACGTTTATCAGAGTGTATCTACTAAACATATATCTACAGTTAAAACCATGATAATGATAGTTATAAACATATTAATCATTGAAGTATTCAATAATGGCTGATTCATGGTGATTTTGATTGGGATTGCCCCTCCGGTTTTGCCAAAACCCATGTGGAAAAGTGCTGGAAAAGTCCGATGATTTTCCACCGCTATGAAGGTGAGTTCCCCATGACAAACGTGTCATCAAACATGGGGAAATCCCCGAACTATCAACCATAGATGTCAACCATCCAATTATCAACCATACATCAACCATTCACCAACCATACATTAACCATATATCAACCATACACCAACCATACATTAACCATATATCAACCATACATCAACCATATATCAACCATACATTAACCATACATCAACCATATACCAACCATATATCAACCATATGGACGTTTATTACTGGAAGAACTTCCAGCCATGTTGCTGATGAGCGCAGGTGGCCAGAGTGACGGGAGCGACGGAGATGAAGGTCATGAGCACCGCTGAAACGCTGAGCTTCATAAAGGCAGCGGGGGGATCATCATTTTCCCGGACAATGTGTGAGCATCAGCATCAGAATCATCATATATAATATATAATCACATATATATATAATTATATTATATACATGTTACATATATTGTATATCTGATACTGTCTTTGACTTTCAATCTATGTATCTATATGTTGTGTTGTGTACATGCACATGTCACATGTACATATACATACAGAGCACATATAGGTATGTATGTCTGAAAACATCCCGACCACATAGAGGCAACTACAGTGTGATTTCTACCATACTTCTCAATCTGAGATACCAGATGCATCAGTAAGGAGAGATTGCAACTGCGAATGAAGTCCGAAAAGCGTGGTACTTTCAAAAGTCCACAGCGTATTACTTTGGGTCTGAACTTTCGGCCCTTCAAGATGTTGTCTATGAATGCAATGTGTATCGAGATTCACCCGTTATTCCCATCCGTCATTGATACGGGGATAGATATATATCCCAGCCAAGGAGTCCCAAGATTGAAGAGACGCACTAAGTTTGGATGCCATGTGATCTCCTGCTTGGTACTTGATCTCAGTTTCTGAGTTTCCAAATCCCCTTTTTCTTTGCACATCTCCGGTTGGTCAATCTGAAGCCCATGGCTTTCCCCAGGCTGGTGGCTCCATGGCCCGCTTTGGGGATGGCGAGTTCTGGTCCATGGACCGAGCCTCCATCACGCCAGTGGTGTGCAACCGGATGCTGCAGGAAGGGGGTGAAGGTCTTTGTGGGATGTACTATTTTTTTGCAATCAATGCATAGATAGATAGATAGATAGATAGATAGATAGATGATTGATAGATAGATAGATAGATAGATAGATAGACAGACAGACAGATAGATAGATAGATAGATAAATAGAAAGAAAGAAAGAAAGAACGAAAGAAAGAACGATCGATAGATAGATAGATAAATAGAAAGAAAGAAAGAAAGATAGATAGATAAATAGAAAGAAAGAAAGAAAGAAAGAAAGATAGATAGATTAATTGGATAGATAGATAGGATAGATAGATTAATTAGATAGATAGGATAGATAGGATAGATTAGTTAGATTAGATAGATTAGATAGATTGGATGGATTAGATAGATTAGATAGATTAGATAGGTTAGATATATTTGATAGATTAGATAGATTAGATAGATTAGATAGATTAGATAGATTAGATAGATTAGATAGATTAGATATATTAGATAGATTAGATAGGTTAGATAGATTAGATAGATTAGATAGATTAGATATATTAGATAGATTAGATAGATTAGATAGATATATTAGATAGATTAGATAGATTAGATAGATTAGATAGATTAGATAGATTCATAGATTCATAGATTCACAGATTAATAGATTGATAGATTGATATATTGATAGATTGATAGATTGATAGATTGATAGATTGATAGATAGGTAGATAGGTAGATAGGTAGATAGGTAGATAGATAGATAGACAGACAGACAGATAGATTAGATTAGTTTAGATTAGATTGGATTGGATTAGATTAGATTAGATAGATTAGATAGATTAGATAGTTAGATTAGATAGATTAGATAGATTAGATAAATTAGATAGATTAGATAGATAGATTATATAGATAGATAGATAGATGGATAGGATAGGATAGGATAGGATAGGATAGGATAGGATAGATAGGTAGATAGGTAGATAGATAGAAAGATAGATACGTTGGCATTTCGGATATTTTTTTACTTATTTTTGTTTGTGTGAGTGTCTCGCTAGCGTCCTCTAAGTAGCCAGTTTGGTTCCAGCACCACCGCATAGTTAAAGCCACCTCTTTGCTTGGTCTTGCCCTCAGTCAGATTTGAGGCTTCAGATCATCTAAATGATGCTTCTAGGTCAGATTTGAATGTTTTTGCGCGTAGAAGCCTAATTTGATTGCGTTTAAGCCTCATTAAAGTCCAGCAATCCAGTTGTCCACCCATCGCTCCATGCCTAGGCCCAGCCATTGCCTTCTGCTGCAGAGCCATACCTTCCCCTTGCAGGCCAGCCTCGACCGGGAATTGAGTCGTATCGGCCATGGACCATGTCAGTGATTTTGAGCAATTAAGATTGAGTGACACCCATTGCATATTCACACCACCATTATTCCTACCTCTGTTTGCCCAAAAAGATTCTCAGCCTCTCTTCCTTGGGGTCCTGCGGTCCTTGGGGTCCTTGCGGTCCTTGCCATTGCAGCCCTGGGGCTTGGACTCAGCATGGCGGAGCACGAGGGGGTTGCGCAGGCACCAGTGGCCGATCCGGAGCCTTTGCAGCCCAACGCGCCCGAAGCTGCGGAGCCCGCCCAGGCCCAGCATGTTGATGAAGTCCTGCAGGAGGATGCTGCTTCGGAAGCGCGGTCCGTGGCTGCAGCGTCGAGCTGCGGCGGACCACAACTTGCGAGCACAGCGAGAGATTGTGGAGAGCTTCTGCACTCTTCTGAGCCAACAGCCTGCGATGAGCGCTGAGCTGCTCATGCTGGGACAGGAGGATATCCAGAAGTTCTCCGTCACCATGACGCAGGCTCCGGCTGCTTTTAGGCGCAGGTATGACACAAGGGCCGACTTCTCCTGGGCCCTGGCCGGGTACAACTTCGTCGTGGGCTCCTTCTACGGTGGCGGAGTCAGAACCCCGGAGTCCCAGGCAGAGATCTGCGGCGGTGCCTAGTCAAGTAATATGGCTGGACAAAGTTTTTACCCAGCAAAGCTTTTTTTTTGGACATAATTTACTGAGTTGATTTGTTTTTGGGTTTTGACATTGACAAACAATCAGAAGTTCTATTTTGGAGCACGTGGTTGATCTGCAGCTGTTGATGTCGTCCGCTGCCCCAAACTGAGATTTCAAGTTGGCCGATGGTGCTTTGGTCGATCAAGCGCGAGACCTGCTTCGAAGGATCCCGGTGTTGAGCTCGATCCCCCGGATTTGGGTCAGGGTGCCTTCTTGGATGTTTCCATGAGCAATTTTTTCAAAATTTGTCAGATCGCTGCCTTCCAAATTTTATTAATTAACCCCCCACCACTTTCCCATTGTGTATTTTGTCGTCAGAAATCAATGAGTTAATTTTGTGTGTCGAAGGGCATTGGCATGCAACCAGGTGGCATCTGCTGTCCAAGAACTTTTGGAACAGCTCACGGAAGCAGAGGCTAGCTCAGGGGGCATCTTCACTTGTTCCATTCTCTTGTGCCCGTGGATGATGAACGGAGCCGCAAGGGGATACAACCTCCGAGAGGTTCAGGACTCTGTGGGCGAAAATGTATGGGTTCATTATAATTATAATGAAACCGGTTGTTCAATCTGAAGGGATGATTAACATTTGTGGTAAATGTCTAGGTTTTTTTGACACGCGGCAACATGTGGCAACTGTCAGAACCGAGATTGGGCTGGATGGGCGTTGCCAATGACTATAGAGGGCCAACCTTTTCACGTTGCCCTCTACTGCCAAGAAATCTTTAAGTTTGCTGAGACTTTCTTGGATCGGACCCAGATTGGGGTAGTGCGAGTAGCGCCAAGGTCCCTTGATGCTTTGGGGCAAGGTGGCCAAACCCCGCTCAGTATCGAGGATGGCAACCGGAGGATCCTGGACCAAAGTTTCTTCATGCGGGGGTTCGCCACGGTGAAGGAGATGCAGGAGAGCTCAGGGGTCCAATATTCGGTGTCATCCGGCCAGACCCTTCGCAATGATGATCTGGCCTTGGTGCAGCGCCTTGACCCTGGGACACTCCAATTTTTCAAGTATGGCGCAGTTCCTGGCCCCGGTTCCCGCAGTGTGTGGGTTACTGCAGAAGGTGGTGGCTGGTTCTACGAGTGGACCTACAAACACGCACAGGTGGCACAGGCCCGCTACGTCACCCCTACTTGGATCCTGCAGGGCGGAGCCGGAAAAAATGATCATATAAATAATCAACGACGACGCCCAACACACCTAGCACACCTGAGCGTACTGCGTAATGCGTATGCGTATGCAATGCCACGGTGTGGCACCAAGGAAGACTGAAGGTTGACGCCTCAAGGTTGAAAAGCCGGAAGAAGGCAAAGCTAGCCTGTTTACCTTTGCACAAAGCTTGCTTGCGTGGAACACGCTGGGCAGGCTGAGTGTTGAATTCATTTTCATCTAATTCAGAGGCACCGCAAAGGCTCTGTTATGTAGTGCCTGCCAAAAATTGAGGTGCTTAAAAGGTGTTCCTTGAATTGCTTATCACATTTGCCAGGTTTCCTAGCCTCCCACCATCTCCCATGGACCGGTTCTTGTTAACCGAGGTTGCTAGCTTGCTCCACTGCTATGCAAAGGGCTTGTGCATTGCGTGTCGGGCAGATGTTGAAGTCGCTACTCGTCAAGCTTGGAAACTGGATCGCTTTTTGTGGTTTCGATGTGCTCTGCGGAGTAGATCTTTCCAACTGGTGATTGGTCCTTCGGTCGCGCGGTTCCTTGACTCCTCTTAAGCAATGATTGTTGCATTTTGCTGCAGGGCGTGTAGTAACTTGGCGGTATTTCTTTGATGCTAGTTCCACTGGACAGGTCATATGCCATTAGCAGTGCGCTCAAAGCATGTGCCAAATCCAAGGGCTCCAGGTGGACTGTAGTTGCATGGGAGAGCAACTCCAAGAGGGGCAAGACTGCGTCAGTGAAAACATTGAGCTCAGTCAATGATGTTCTGTCTTTTTTGCGGTGCATTAGAACATTGAAGCAGGCTCGTGGAATGTCAGGTCGCTTCAACGCATTGCAGTTGAAATGAAACCAGGCAGTAGCAGAAAGATGCAAAAGGCTTTTGCATCCCAGCTTAGCAATTATCTTGATTTTGCTCCATAATCACCCCAAGCCAATACACCTCCAAGCTTGAAGTTTCAGAGGTGTATTGCTAACGGGATTTTCCCCTCCAAATACGGAAACGCCATAGTCGTCTATTTTGGATGGCTTTTCTTCTTCTGAATACCTCTCCAGTTTTAAAAAGCCCCAGGGTGTATTGAGAAGGGATTTTCTCTTCCCAATACACTCGGTTTTTAAAAACCAAACCTCTCGCCGTATTCCTGTTTTTGAATCATCACATTGCATTTTCGCCTCAAAGTTGCACCGTCGCCTAAAATCTTTGCATTTCGCCTCAATCCATCTTCTGTATTATTGATTCTCTCTCTCTCTATATATATATAAATTGATAAGTCATTTGAGTGTATAAACTTGCATGTCCGTATGTATGCATTTGTATTAACCTTCCACACCTGCGAAGCCATGCCTCCAACTCCAGTGGAAGCCAAAAAGGCAGTGAGGCTGTGGATGGCCACTGTTCAGTGTGGCTTACCAAAGGAGGAATGGAACCGTACAAGCCGCCTTGCCTTCAATGTGTCATGGCATCAAGTTGTATGTGTGTGTGTGTCTGGCTTGCAGTGCTGATGCGATCAGGACAGAGTTTCTCTGAGCGCATAATTTTGCACATGCAAATTTCCTTTCATTTGGCAACGACGAGAATAATGATTTCCTCTTTCTATATCACTGGTATCGTCCTGTCCTGACAGGGCAGAATTTCATCTTCCCAATGTCAGTGCCGGAATTATGCTGTAGCGGAATTAATGTTGATAGGATGTGATAGCAGATGCAGTGACGCTGGTAGCGTGGTGGTACCAGTAGGAATCACCGAGGACGAAGGGCTGCAAGGGGTTGGTCGCAAAATAGGTTTTCCTAGCATAGAAAAGCGCCTCTGTCCCAACCCACTGGCACAAGACAATAGAGGAGCACATGTAAAATCACCCAAGGAGGGAACATAGAAAACAATAACAAGGGCGGCACACAAACCATGCCGACATTGTCCCATCACATTGACATGCCATATAGTCACTGCCAGTATAATCCCCACCTGTGGAACATCTTTCCCAAACACAGGCGACAAAAAAACAGAGCACAGAAATATCAGAAATCATTGATGAACAGCCTCAACAAGCTGCGCACAGAACACACAAAACAGAGCCGCGTCTGAAAGCCATGCGAGCCAAAGCAACTAAATGCACCAGCCTAAGGTCTGAACCACTCCAGTACCAAGAAGAGCAGCAGCGCCTTACACCCATCACACCAATAAATATTGTTTGGGGATTAGCCCTACATATGGCTAAATTTAATAGTCAAGTTGCAAGGGGGCGCAAAAGAAGCTAACAAAAGGGTCAAGCCTAAGCGTTTAAAAAATGCTCAAAACGGAAGGTTCCCAATTTTGATGCTATTTTACCGCCAAAGAAAGCTTCAGTGCAGAGTTTGTCTAAAATTGCCTGGAAGCTTGCTTTGCGCGCTTTGAAGCTTCAGGAAATTCACCATGTAGACGGCACAAGCTTTGCATCACTTCTTGATTTCTACTGCAGTTTTTGCAGCCCTTGCCATTGTTAGGTCCTGGCGGTCCAGCGGTCTTCAACAGCCATGGCAAAAGCTGTGCCCGCAGTTCAGCTTCATGGCAAGCAGCCATGGCCTCAACAAGTGAAGAAGAATGGCCAAAAGGCAAAGGGCCAGCGGGCCAAGGCAAAAAGCAAAACTACTTTTCGAAGTCAAGCATTGAAAGATGGCTCATTGCCACCTGCCAGAAGGCCGATCTTTGTCAGGGACAATGTGCGTGGACAGAAAGGTGCGGAGAGAAACGAATGGCGGCTTGAGATGAAGCGCTTGGGCGCCATGTGGCACAAGTTGCCCATTGCCGAGAAGCAGCGCTACTTTGAACAATCGGATGCCGAGTTTGCCACTACGAAAGTCGCAAATGCCAGCAATGCAGCGCCAGCCGGCAAGTGACCCGCTTCCAGAACCTGCGGAGCCTGTCATGATCGGAGGCTACAAGGTCGTGACTACGGACTCTGGCCCTCCAGATTGCCATCAGCTAGGATGGCAGCGTTTTCCTTTGCATGGACAAGTTTCAACGGAGATGTGCTGTGAAGATCTTCAAGAAGAAGAATGCGTTCTCAGACCTCAGCCATGAGAGCTCCATTTTGCAAGCTGTGCAAGACCGAGTCGACCAGACTCTGCGTGGATTTTTCCCTTGCATTTTGGAAGCTTAGCCCAGCTTCAGGCCTTTCCAGTATTTCTTGAATATTGTGGCTCTAGCTTGTTTTCTTTGCTTGGGGAAAAAGGAGCTTTTAGCGTAGACGACAGTCACACCATCGCTTTGCAGTTGAAAGCTGCAGTGCGGGGCTTGCATGCTTTGCAGATTTTGCATTTGGATTTAAAAACAAGCAATGTGCTTTGGTGTGTTCGCCAGCGCCAGCTCAAGTTGGCAGACTTCGGGATGTCTGAGTATATCCCTGGTCATGGTTCTCCTGTCTCAGGAGTAGGTTGCACCCTTCGTTTGCCTATGTATGTAACAGCAAACTACCGAGCCCCAGAGTTGTGGCATGCTACTGTGGTGGACCTAGGAAAGTGGTTGAGGCCTGCTGTTGATTTGTGGTCGTTTGGTTGTGTTCTGTATGAGATTGCAGTTAGAAAAGTTTTAATGCGCCCAATCCGCCGCAACAGCAGCCAAAGCTGCCACGCCACCATCCAGGAGTGGTGCCAGCAGTGGGAATCCTTCAGAGAAGCCGAAACTCTGAGAATGTGCTGGCGTGCCGTTTGCTCTTGCTTGACCCAAGCTTGAGGCTGGCAATTAAGGCCGCACTCAACCCGAATCCTGCTCTGCGAAGTTGGGGCAGGCATTGAGCCAAATCAGAAGTGTTTGTACTAGGGGTAGAGACCTGCTTTGAGGATGATGGGGTAGCTCATCCTGGCAGTCCAGTGGTCCAGCGGTCCAGATTGCAAAGCATTGATTTCCATCAGCATTCTGGAGAAAACATTCTTCTCAGGGAGTGAAAGTCGTGAGCGCATCCATCTTGAATTGTGTGGCAGCTTGAACACAGCAGCATTTAGAAACTCACTCTTGCCAGTGAATTTGTCCGCAGCTAAGGTCTTGGCGCGAGGGAATTGCGCGTGTGCAAGAAAGAAAGAAGGGCAGCAGCTTGAAAACTGGTAGCAGCTTGAAATATGCCCCAATTCCTTAATATTTTTCGGCACCGTTGAATTGCCAACCCAGATAGATAGATAGATAGATCGATGGATGGATGGATGGATGGATAGATAGATAGATAGATATAGATAGATAGATAGATAGACAGATAGATAGATCGATCGATAGATAGATAGGTAGGTAGGTAGGTAGGTAAATAGATCGATAGATAGATAGATAGATAGATAGATAGATGGATAGATAGATAGATAGGTAGGTAGATAGATAGATTGATGGGTAGATAGATGGGTAGATAGATATAGATATAGATATAAATATAGATATAGATATTGGGAAGAGCACTGAATTTAGTATGGTTTGCAGTATTGACCAATATTTGATTTACATATATATATATGTATTGTCTCAAAACTTGGGATATGTACTGTATCAATCTGTTCCTCTAACCCCCTATGTTCGTTTTTTACATGAATGTTATAGTTTACATAAAAACCATGAAAATATGTGTTGCATCGCTATTATCAATTACAATCACGATAATACTAATACTATGGTTTACGTATGTTAACGTATCACTATCATATATCACTATCATATATCACTATTATATATCACTATTATATCTCACTATTATATCATAAATCTACATTGGACATCATTAAACTATTATGGTTGACCACCATGGCGGTCCACCGGTGACGACGGGGACGAGGAGTCCTTGGTCTACGTGGCACGGCTGGGCGCCAGCGGCTGCCCTGGCTTCAAGCCTGCCATGGTGGACGTCTTAGGCTGGGAAAATCTTGGGAAAATGATGGGAAAATGCCACTATAAATGCAGATTTTTATGGGAAAATCAAGCAGGGATTTGCCACATTTGGAGGGTTTCAATGGATGGAGATAATTCTGGTAGCCCTGATAAGTTGAGACATAAACCCAAAAAACATCCTACAACTAAGGTTAGACATCCCAGTAACTGGAAAAGCATCCGCAAGTAGCGGATTCTGGAGCTTTCACGGGCTCACAAACGATCGCAGGTCCGCCGGAAAGCTTTCCGGACCAGGAGAACTACGACTGGTGGCGGGAACGGCACTTCTTTCGACAGATCCCCTATCGATCCTGGGCTGAAATTTCATGCAACACCCCGGTGATGAGCCCGGTGATGTGTAGAGGAAGGTGGACGGCATGCTGGGGACGGTTGGGTTTGAAGATTTTTGGGGATGTGGGCACCAAACCAGCGACATGAATCACCAACGAACTGAAAAATTGAATCTGTATATTTTTGCAAATAGTTCAGGGCGTTTCACCAGCAAGCACTAGGTGGTGGGCTATATCCCTATTATTGGTTGGTGCTTTCAGAGTATTTCAGAGTTGGTTCAACCGAGGATACTTTCCTCCTGGCAACTATGGGAACATGTGACTTTGCTGAACTTGGTACTTCTTGTGAGCACAAACCGGGGTGGCGGCCACATCGCCCAGTTTTTGCCCACCAAATCCCACCAATTTACATGGGTACTGCGAAGAAACCTGAGGTTGTAGAGTTGTAGCCCGCAAAACTGGTTCTGTTCAAGTAATTTGCCATCAAGTTGGGATGAACCAACAAGCTGGTTGGTGGTTTCAACCATTTTTTATTTTCCATAATATATGGTGTGTCATCCTTCCCATTGACTTTCATATTTTTCAAGATGGTTCTTGCACCACCAACTAGCAAGGATCCACGGAGATTAGGAAAACAGCAACGGAGATTCTCAGGGTAGAAGGGTCGACAAAAATGGAGCATGGAAATCAGGTTCCAGTTCTCCAGCATCTCCGAACCGATCCCATTGTTCTGAAGGATTTTGTTTCTTAACTTGGACCTCCCAATTCCAATATGGCACGAGTCGCATTTTAGATCATTTTAGCAGTTTTTAGCATGTTGTAGGATGATATATCATGATATCTCGATCATTTTTCAGTTTTTGCTGCCAAGATGTTGCCAAAACTGCATCGAGGTGGGTGAACTATCGCCCGGGTGAAGCAATCCGAAGAGAAAACCCGACAGCCATGCTGCGTTTCGTGGAAGGATGGGAAGAGGCCGGCAGCGACGTAAACTCAGCACACCCCAGCTCCGGGCTTCATCAAAGCTAATTGGTCTACCTTGTATTGTGAAGTATGGTCTTCTGGCAATTGGTCAATGACTTCAATATACTTCAATTACTCACTTTCAAGTTGGCTACGAGAGAATTTCAATGCCTGGAGTGTTGCCCCGTTATAATCGAGGGCTGATTTTTGCTTAATTACATAAGCCCAACTACACTGGTGGCACTTGGCGGTATGGCATAAGCATCACCTTTTGGCGAGATTAGCCTTTATTGAAAACTACCGAAAAGTGAAGGTATCCCAAAAAGAATGGAACATGGACGCATTCAGACCTCGGTGACCCTCTGCACCCTACAGGTCTTTCTAAACAAGCCACTTGGTGATACAGGGGAGACAGGTTGCCACTGAGGCTGTGTACGCCCAGCTGTTCCCTTCTCCCAGTGAATTCTCGGATCCAAATTCTGTTAGGATCGAGGCTGGCATCTTTCAGGATTGAAGAAACAGCTCAAAGGTGACCAGCAAAGCAATTCCTTCCCATATGAAGTATCCGCCGAAGCACCTTGATGGAGTATTTGATCCATTTCAATCCATTTCAATCCATTTCAATCCATTTCAATCTATTTCAATCTATTTCAATCTATTTCAATCTATTTCCTCTATCAACTTTGGGCGTCTTTGGGCCCTATATGTCCGAATTGAACATCAAGGCAAGGGATTACATGAAAAGCAGCTCCTCCCGGTTCCTGCCAATCTTTTGTGCAGCAGGTTCTTAGCCTGGATCATTGCTGTTTCTACAAGACTCTCATTTTTTGATCTGGGATTGCAAGCCGAGGTGGGTTTGTCTTAAAATCGAATACCCACCCAAAAAGACCCTTTATGGATCTTTATGGACTCTGAATATATCATTGTTCCATCTTTTTCTTCTTCAAATTGCAAACTGAGGGTTAAAGAACAGGCCAAAATGGACTGACATACATGTTCATCCATTTTTGCCATCTTTTCCCCATGACAAAATGGATTAACATCGAATTCTCCCCATTTTTTTCGTATTTCACCTTGCTATAACTTGGGGCTGACGCCCAGGTCGGTGCTGCTGGTGGGGCATCCCTTCGCGCAAGCAGCGACGGAGGGACACGCCACCGGGGTCATGTTCGCCGCGGCCAAGGCTGACTACAACTTCCCAGCGCCCTGGCCACGGGTCATGGAGGGGCCAGGGCTGGGAAGCAAATGGGGGAGAGCTTGAGGTCCAGTTGGGAGATTACGGGTTACACTACTCTATATAGTGGGGATCATCATATTCCACTAAGGGACCGGGAATCCCCATTAACCAACCAGTCTACGGCTTAGGCTTGTGAGAAGGAACACATGTCTTGTGGTGTCTAAAATGCGTCTTAACCATGACCCTTTGGGTAAGAAATGTGGCTGGCAAATAGACTCTAAGTTTCTCTAAACTAGGTCCTTAATTCCATCAACTTCCACAATTTAACCCATCCCTCGCGAGCTCCAGCATCAGCTTTGTATACCTATTCCCCTGTCATTGACTTTCGTCGAAGATTAAAGTCTACTTTCTTGTTTAACATCTTTCTTAACTTTAATAAACTTCCTCTCGTGGCTGTCACTTAATGAAGATCAGAAAAAAAGATCGAAGAATTCACTGGATCGGCTTTCTCGGGATGCCATGACATCCATGTGCCGGTTTTTTGGTTCTCAAAAAAGGAACTTCAAAAACTCATCCCATGCGCCAATCGCAACGGCGACAAGGTGCGAGTGGCGCAATTGAGCTGGGAGATGATGCGAGAGGTCCGGGACGAATCCGGGACGAATCCGGGACGAATCCGGGACGAATCCGTGACCGGAGGATGGATGTGAAAGTGATGAAAGCTCCGAGAAGGAATACTGTGTGATATATATATATATTGAATATTATGAGATAACTATATTAAACTTGTAATTATATAGATACACATGTACATATTGTTGTTCGTGAATCCGCGATTCTTGTTGGTTGTAACCCCATCAATGGCCGTAGAACAATGTATACATGACGCATAGAAATATACTTACCACACGTATATTGAATATATGCACATACCAACATCTCTGGTGACACCTTGCAAAATCTTGCAGAGGGATTCCAACTTCTCCATATCACCGTAATATATCCCCATAAATCACCATAAAATCCCCATTTCAGGTGGCGAGCCAAAGGTTGCCGCCCTTCTCTCGCGCGCGCGATGTGCGGTTGATGCGACCGCTGGCCATCGGCTTAGCGTCCAGCGTGCGCTGGTACAGCGCGCTGGACACTGTCCGTCTGGGTACCCAGGGGGGTCGAACATGGGGTACCAGTGTGCACAGTGGATCCAAGAGTTGACAAAAAAACAAATCACTGAGTGCAGGTGCAGCCCCAAGAGATGGCTTAACCACAACTCCAGATGTCAAGTTATTTGGTACTGTAATGACTCTGGTCCCAAAGTCGAAGCCATGGTGCTCCCTTCGAGTAACCAATGGTTCAGCCGTGCCAGGTGAAGTGGTGGATAACTCCGACATCGATGTACCCTGCCAGCAGATGTGGCGACGAAAATGCTCGGGTAGAGAGAAACTACCCAAGGGGTTGATGACGGTTTGGCAGTCAATCAAGGTGTATGCCTAGAGTTGCACGGTATATATACAGCAACAGCTGTTGCTGTTGCTGTTGCTGCTGCTGTTGCTGCTGGTGGTGGTGTTGTTGTTGTGGTGATGGTGGTGGTGGTGGTCGCTTTTTTAGCTTCTTCTCCCTTTTGTCGTTCCCTTCTCTTGATCTTCACCTGATTGTTGGTGGCTGGTGGTAGGTCGTTGTTGGTTTTAGGCCATTGTTTGTTGGCTGTCCTTTGCGTCCCACAATCTGCAGGAACACCCTATGTTTGGATACATTTGTCTGCAAAAGCTTGCTTTTCCATTCTTTCCCATGCCATCGATTTTCCCCCAAAAACCAATCCAATAGGTCATATTAATGTTGGTGATTCTTCATTTGGCTTCGATCTTCATTGATGCTATTGATGCTTAAATCCATGGCTTTTCCCATGTTTTCCCATGTTTTCCCATGTTTTCCCATGTTTTCCCAATCCACCGTCGAGGTGGTGGCGGTCTCTTGGGGCCCACAAGCCAAGCCATTGGTGGCAGACATCGCCTGTCGAGGAACGCAGGCGATGTGCAATGAGGGCCCGGAGCTGATCCCCAAACTTTGGAGCATTCTTCAGGAACGGAATAGATGTCTACTAGAGTATGTTACATATATATATATATACAGGTATGTATTCTGTGTGTATACACGTGTATGATTATATATACATAGTTATGTATAGCTTTTAAGATTACATACATATCTATAATAATATCTATAATAATAATAATTAATAATAATAATAATGATAATAATAATAATATATATATATATTATATAGTACTGTGCATCCAGATAACCTATGCAAAACGAGGCGTCGTTTTCTCGGCGCTAGGCCGTGGATGTGGGGCGATTGCTGTGGGAGCTCCACGGAATCAGCGCCATGGCGGGAGATCTGCTGAAAGATGGCGCCATGGGGGCGGGCTGATTCTTCTCATGGTTGAAGATGGATGATATATATATATATATAAATAATTATATATATATACATATATATATGTTCATAAATATTGGTGTTGATATGTTCATGGTTAACGTATTTTATATCTTACGCCAAGGTTTTGATGGCCACGGAGTGGGGGATGAACTTTGGCACTTGGTGAATTCGATGATGTCGAAACCGTACGTCATGTGGATACGAAAGGCCAGGGTTCCAGTATGGGATCATCGTGATGTCATCGTGATGTCATGTCTCAGGAGTTTCTGACTATTTCTGACTGGTCCCCCCTTTCGGAGAGTTGTTTCCTTGATAGGATCACATCTGGCGATGCTCTCCGAGACTGACCCAGTTGCTCTCCTTACCCTAGATGGCCCATCGCAGCATGTGATGCTTGAGCTCCATGTGTGGCATCACCCGGCACCTGTTATGCTCCACTGGTGACAACATGACCATTGATCCAAACCCTGATACCCACCTGCCGGAGGAAAAGAAAGCAACATGCAACATGATGGCAGATCATAGCACGTCATGGTACTCAGTCATGACCGCTGGATGTGCATCCCAGTTGATATGTACTAACCATGATACGAAGGTATGACCAGTCATAAACGGGCTAAAGAACAGTTATAAGTTATAGGTATACATATCGTACATATGTATTCAACTGCTTTTATATTTGTGTATATATATATATATATGTAAGCAGATATATTTATATATATGTTACACCAGTATTTTGGTATCTTTTGATACATTTTGAAAAATATCATGCTATGTTGTTTATCACCCACTTACATCCACTGGGCCGCGCCGCCATGCGTGCGCGGCCTATCTCCTTGGTGCTTCCGGACGAGGCCGTTGGGATTGAACCGTCATCAACGATGGGGTTCAACCAATGTTGACATAATGGTTGAATGGTTTAAACCTAACCAATGTTTATATAAACCATTTAACTCATTAAAAAATGGATATATTTGTTCGAACATGTTGACTTGAGTCTCTAAATTTATGGGGTTTAATGTGATATACTGGGGATATAATGGGATGTTAATGGGGATTTCATAATCAGATAACCAACAATCTGATATTGGCTTTGTCCATAAATGTGGAACTTAGCCATTTTTATAGAGAAAATGATGATGCACGACTGGATTTGGGGTTACCCCATGTTCAGACAGTCACTTATGCCATTGAATTCCAGAAAGCTTGCCTACAGTAACTCCTCAGATTTAACAACTTACCTATGCGGCTGCAGGAAGCTGTGCGTAATATTTTTTTTGACTCCGGGTTTATCAAGAAACGGATATAAATGGATCAATCAAGCATGACTTATGACCTCTGGTGGATACAAAATGGAATGACATCCACAGAGCCACAATTTCTGAGGAGGTTCAAAATTCCCCAATTCCCGTGCCAGTCGGAAAAACTTTTGTATATACACAGATTCTCGTGCCAGAGACGTCTGACTTCCCCATCAAGATTTTTCAGCAAACTCAAATTCTTTTGCGTAAATGATCGGTTAATGCATATATGTCTATATCATGATCACATAATATATATATATTGTTTTTCATCATGCTATAATCTCATAGTATGCTTCACTATATTATAATATTTAATACATGTTATCATATCGCATTACTTTATACTGTAGTATTTCTTTTGTATATTTATCACATCATGTTTGAATTTATCATATTATGGGTTTATATGGCATTATGTTTTATTTTGATTTTGTATTTTAATTTTATGATATTTTTTGAAATATTTCACACGCATATATTGTTTTATATTTACGAAACTAGCATATGCCATGAAATGAACTGATACTATTCAATATCATATTATCACACATTGCGTTCATATTGTATTATATATATTATTATATATATATTTTACTATATGATTATTGTTTAAATACTCCATCATGTTTTATTTACCATATTGTATTGTACTATAGAATCTTAAAGCACATCATGTTGTATTAAACATATCTCGTATCGGATTTGATTGTTCCATACTATGTTTATTTTTAATCGGTATCAAAAGAATACTATTCTAGACTATTGTAATTTATGTTGTCTTGTGTTATAGAACTGATAGTATATTGTTTCATATTAAATTATTTAAGATTATACGACATGACATTTCACTGTCATTTATTATATTCTAGATTATTCTAGTATTTGTTTAAATCTATATTTTATATCCTTTCCTATCCCATTCTATATCCTATCCTATTCTATTCTATTCTATGCTATTCTATTCTATTTTATCTATCCTATACTATTCTATTCTATTTTATCCTATCATATTCTATTTGATTCTATGTATGTGTTCGAGTACATCATATGATCGTCGCAGGAGGATCGAACCCTGGACCTCTGGGGCTTTCTGTCACCTGGGCGCCTGTCATCCAAAGGTGATGAGACGCTCGGTCAGTTGGGGGAGGGGCGTTAGTTCCAGCATTTTTTGCTGGGGAGAACCATGGAAAATCTTACATTTGCTGGCAATTCATCATGAAACAAATTGCTCTCCCTAGTGAATCATAGGGATTTAGACCAATGAATTCGAGGATATTTGTTTGAACATGGTGATTTTACCATTGGGGTATACCAGGGATTTGATAATATCATCTTGGGTGTGCCTGAAAATGGGAGATACATCCATTGTAATACACTTTCAACAAGGACAATTCGTATTTTTAATTAGTCTTGGTGTATACTATGTTTGGAGAAACAGAATGTTGGGACATCGCCTCCACTCACAAACGTGGGCATTCTTAGTGGTTTAAGGCTCGATGGCTATAGCCCCAAAAGGCGGGGCGTTGAGGATAGTTTTTATCGAACCCGTAAACCTACTTGGCATCGAACGTGTACGTATAACAATTAATATCTAATCTATGTATACATACATATACAATATATATATATATTTATGATATGTGCTTGTTACTTCATACCGTCTTGATGAACATATTCAAAGCACATGCAATACACATGCAATATATGTATTCATATTGGGCATCACCATCACCTTCACCAGCAGCAGTAGCCCCACACTGAATTGTGTAGATGGAAATGTATAGAGGAGAAAAAACAGGGGAAATCCGCTTGTTCCAAGAGAAAACTTGTCGAGGCCTATGTTTGATTGCTGGTTTCTAATATGTTCATTCCTTTCTATTAACTTCTCAGGAACCCCTTGAGGGATGACTCATCATGTTGATTGACTGGAAATGACTGGAAAGACCGCCATCACTAAACATTGCATTTTCGTCTGGTTACCCACTCAACATGACAGTGGAAGATCCCCCATTGAAGATTATTCCCAGCTCGAAACCTCCATTTCTGTGGCATTTCTCGGGTTTTGAGGAGGTGTCGGAGTCCCAAAAGCCCATGGCCCAGTCTATTGGGAGAGACCCCAAGTGCCAGGTTGGGACATCTTTGGTGAGGGAGTATTGACAGCCACATGATCATATGAGGAATGGCAGGAATGGTTATGGTCCGATCAATTGCTACAATGGCCTATATATATAATTAATTATGAATTTGCCGGGCGTTTTTCTAAGGGAATGAACCTCTGCTAGCTAGCTACGATATGGACAGTGTCCGCGTGCAAGGCTTTTGTTCCATAGCGGTGCGAGTATTGTCAAACTTAGTATGGTATGTCTCACAACATTGGGATGTGTTTCTTTTGGATGCAAGCAAATCATCCAAAAAATAAGTCGTTCCCACAGTCTTAAATCTGACCCATCGGCCTTACATGTTTAAGAATGAATGGGTCAGCGAACTGCTTGCTTGATAGTGTCTTCATTTGATTGCTGATTGTGAAGGAGTCAGTTGTGAGACACATGCATTTTCTTTAACACCAGGGACAAGTGCCATCAACCGACCTCAGTCTGCATACTCTGATTGTTTGACTCTCCAAGTGTTTTGCATCGACTCTCGTCGGAGAAAAATCACAATGTTACAACCATCAGATGTGCCATGGTCAATGCTATGGCTATGGATGCTGCAGGAGGAAAGATCGCTCAGTCTCGCAGCCCTCGGTGCGACAACCCAGTGACCGGTCACGACCGGTCACGACCGGTCAACCAGTAAGAAGTGGAAATGGACAGTTTTCATGTTTTTTAGATAAAGTTGATGTGTCAAAACACTCGAATATGCTGGAGTCAAAAGATTGAGGTATCAACTTATGTACAGTACTGTCTGACTGCAGAACATGTGTCAAATCATGTCAAACCTACCCTTGGCATCCCTCGTCCTAAAAGAAGTATGGTCTTTGAACCAATATCAAACCATATTTTAATCAAACAACTACCAAATCAGCTCATAGATTGTCAGATGTAATATTCATAGAAGTTTCCCATCATGTTCATAAAATGACCCATGATGTTCAAAGAATCGTGGAGCCTATGTTTCCAGGCTCATCAGGCGGCTCATGGTTATCATTTAACATCATTTAATCATGATTACCCTCCAGTAAATTAGCATCGACCCTGCCAGATAGGGCTTGGAAGCTTAGTTTCCACTTTTTTCATTGGTGAGTTTCAGGGTCAACATGTTGAAATACACGAAAAATGGGTGAGAAATTCAGGGTCAAAATTCCAGAGAAAAAATGGGTAAATCCCAAGGCTCCCCGCCTGCCGCTGCTAGGCTGCCATTGCACGCGCCATGCAAAGTCTCAGCGCGCCCCAAACGGCTGGGTCGGCCTCCGCCACTGCGCTGCGACGTGGGGGAGCCCAAGAGCTGGAGGGTTTCGAATGGAAGATCCGATAAAATGGATGATTTTAGGGGTACCAACATGGGTTATTATGGGTTATTATGGGTTGAAATTGAAATATCTGACAAAAATCTGACAATGGGTTGGAATTCATGTGGTTTTTGCTGTAAGAACTTATATTTTGGAGCAAATGGGAGTTTCCGCTGCGATGGGAATTTGGTTGGATTTGAAGCGGCCGAGAATGGTGGTTCTATTTGACAAAATTGGATGTTCAAATGCCCAAATTGGATGTTTCAACCAGCAAATAGACTTTGACCAGCAAAGATTAGGATGGTGCCATCTCATGTGTTTTCAGGATTTAAAACCATAAAACAGTTTCGATTTGGATGGGTATCTTGAGGGATTTATCATGATTGATTTGATCACATTAAACCCAGTCGAACTTTGGAAGATCATCTCCCAATCATGACGGCGATACTGGGACAACGTACCGGACTCATCTACGAACTCTCGACTGTTATCTCCTATATTATTATTATTACAATTCAATTACTATTATTATTATTACAATTATTATTATTATTACAATTATTATTATAATTATTATTTTTATGTTTATCATCATTATTGTTATTATTATTATTATTATACTATTATTATTGTATCTTATTATATCTATTTTTTGCTCTGAATTACATGTACGATGATAATCGCAAGGTGTTTGGATCAAGTGGTAAACAAGTCCGATTTGAACATCATCCCATATCACGGGACATGTACCCAATGGTTTTCATGTGAAATTTTGGGCTTGGTGGCAGCCAGGTAGTTCCTCGGGCACGCTGCAGAACTCCAACCGGAGCGCGGCCATCTTGGAGTTGCCCAGCGTGCGACCGCCGACCAGCCCTGGGGGCCCTGGGTCTCCGGAGTCAGGCGATCAAAATCGGAACAGAGCTGGTGGAATTTTGGGTCAATCATAAACCCCCCAAAAAAACATAAAAAACACATTTGGGGTCTACAATTGGATGTATCATGATTTGGAGCCCAGTTGAAAATCTTTCGTCAACTTATATAATATTCTATAATGTGTGTACTTGTGGAGCATATCTTAAAATCATGCTAATATGACCAACATGGCAAAAAAATGAAAATCCATGTTTACCTGCCGGTTGGGAGTTCTGGGTTTTCCCATTTCCACAGGAGCGCGTCGTGCGTCGTTCTCGGACTACGAGGATGCTTGTGCCAGGTTGGGCGTGCTGCCCAAGTTTGCCCGTGCCGTTCAGGACCGGGCAGCCCGGTTGGGCTGGGAATATCTGACTGGTGGAAAATGAGGGGATGTCTGGGTCAATACCAATTGTCACACCAAAAAAGACAACCGAAATTGGGTTGCCGATCGTACCAACATAGAGCAATCTGGTCATTTTGGAGATGTGAATATCTTGGTACCAGGGGTTTGATTCGTTCCCCAAATCAATCTCTTTTGGAGGATTTTTCTTGAGGATTTTCATGGAAAGTGAGGACGGTTTCAGGCGGCAAGTCTTGTAGTGTCATCCCTCCTATTCCGTGGAACTTCCCGCGCTTACTTGGACACAGCAGAGAGCTTGCCCTGCAGAGGCAGACACATGTCCAAACCGTTGTGCTCACGTTTCACGGCTCTTCAAGCTTCGCTTTCAACATGAGCAAATCAATAACTGATACCTTTGAAGAATGCCTTGAAACAGAATGATACAGATGTAAAAAAGTTAAACATCACATTTTGCTAGATGTTGCGGCTCTGAAATCAGCAGAATCCCCAGTTGTGGGTCCAATCAATGCTGATCCCAGGAGAGAAGATGCCGAGAATCTCTGGAGCTCAGTGGTTTGGGCTTTGGCGACTTGCAGCTACAAGCCATGTGTCCTGTCAGATCTGCTTGGTGCCAAAGATGGCTCCAGAAGTGTATGGGAGATTTAAGCACCCCATATTAATGGCGATAAACAATGGGCAGGATGGGGATGAAACCATGGCAATTTTGGGGATGTGTTTGATCTTTGGTTCCTACCTGTAATGATCCTAATTGACCAATTGATATTTGTTGGATGGGGTGAAACCAATGTCATGCTGTGGGTTCATCAGCTGTTTGTTTGGGATGGTTTCGAAGGTTTCAGGAAACAAACAAAGATCAAAATTGGGAGAGTTGATATGGTTAATGGTGGATAATGGTGGATTATCAATGGTTAATTAGTTATCCACTATTGGAAATAGCAATGAAAAGCACCTGATGGCCTGTCAGCGCAAAACTTCCAAGTGTCCTGGGGTCACTGCACCAAGGTTATGCGATAGACATCTACTGCCCCTGGGCATCCTATCTCGATGGCGTCTTCGCGATGCACGACTCACAGGGCCAGGAGTGGAGGTGTGGGTCAATCATGATGGTCAAGAATGGTCAAGACTCAGAAAGAACATTTATCAACATTTATCAACATGTATCAACATTTATCAACATTTATCAACATTTATCAACATTTATCAACATTTAACAACATTTACAAACATGTATCAACATGTATCAATGTGTATCAGAATGTATCAACATGTTTGAACATGTATCAACATCTATCAACATCTATCAACATGTATCAACATGTATCAACATGCATCAACATGTATCAACATGTATCAACATGTATCAACATGGATCAACATGGATCAACATGCATCAACATTTATCAACATGTATCAACATTTATCAACATTCATCAACATGCATCACCATGCATCAACATGCATCAGCATATATCAACATGTATCAACATGTTTCAACATGTTGCATCATTTTCAACATGTATCAATATGTATCAACATGTACCAACATGTATCAGCATGTACCAACATTCACCAACATTTGTCAACATGTGTCAACATTTGTCAACATTTGTCAACGTCTATCAACTATATTTTTTTGTTGATCCATGTTATTCGTTACAGTACTAGGCTTTTGACCCATCGGGTCCCCTACACACGTAGTGATCTGTGGGATTTTCCATGACAAAAAACTCATGGGTTTGTCAATGGAGTACCCTACCATCCAAGGGTTTATCAACAGTGACAATGATCATTTCGGGGTTTCTTAAACTGGGGATCCCCAAAACTATTGGTTTCAACACTAAAATCGTCTAAGGATTTGGATTATTTTTGGGCCACCCATGTTAGGGAAACCTTGCAGGCCTTGGTGTCCAAATTGCCAGTGTCACTGAGCTGCATTGGAGTCCCAACCAAAACGAGCTGTTCGTTTTGGCACACCGTGATCGTTTCCAAGGCACACCGAGATGATGGACCTTTCTCACAACGACATTGGCCTGAAAGGCATTTCTGCGATGGCGAATCGTTTCCAGAAGAAGTGTCTTGATTTGGCAATCAATTTGGGGACGAATGATGGTAAATTTCTGATCTCCGGAAGCGATTGCAGTCCAGGTTTGAGGAAAAATATGAAGATACGCAAACAAAAACACACCTAAGTCGAGAATGCAGGAGAGTTGATGCTATGAGAGAAAAAGACGTGATGGCCCCCAGACGGCCAGATGTGACTGTGACATACTGTGACTAGGTTTTCCTGCAACATGGTCGCTATGTCATTCGACCTTAAGGAGCCTTTGTTTATTACTATATGAATCTTCCATGGGTATCTTCCTGGAAATTCGATTGGCAGTTGACCCTTTTTTCAACTTGAAACTGCAGATCATGTCCAAAATTGCCTGGCTCGGTAGTGAAAAAATTCGGCAACCCCACTCCATCCCTCCATCCTGCCTCGTTTTCAACAGCCCTAGGCTTCTGCCACAGCTGAGATGGTTGGACCTGTCGATGAATCTCGGCAAAATAGTGGCCATTTCTAGGGCATGATGCGGCTTCAATGAGGAGACTGCCTTATTTCTGGTGTACAAACATCCTAGCGAAAGACATCTCCAAGGAAGAAGTTGTATATTTTGTCCTGGCGGTCCTTAAATTCTACGGGACACCATTTGCATTTGAGTCTTTTCATGAGGTGTTTTTTTCACGGCACCCCAAAGCTGTGTCCCAAGCAGACCCAATTTGGATGTACGACTGGAGGATCTTGGAGGATCATGACACTGGTTGAGAAAAAACCCCCTGGCGCGCCAGCACGTTTTGACACGTTTTGACTCCCCTGGCTATGCCAGGGAGTTCCCATGGTTGTTCCATGGCTGTGATCATAATCCCCTTTCCGAACCACTCGTCGCTGATCGTGGTCAGTGATCGTCGTGGCTACAGGAATGGCTTGAGAGACGTGGCGATCGCTCCGTTGACAGCCAGTTTGCTGTTTTGTCCTCTGCTCATCCGACTGGCCCCTTGACAGCGGAGAGTGGCTGAGTGACTCAGATGGTCTCTGAAGTGATCTTGAAGGGGAAACGCCAGATTCGTATAGTTGAATAGATTCGATATTATAAATAACCTTCAATATATTATGAGTACAGTATATATATATATATGTATTATACAATAATATAGCCACATGAAGTTGGCTTGCAGGAAAATATCGCTCAACAACGATGAAGCAGTTCAGCAGCTTCCTGCGGCGCCAAACGGCCTCAGGAGTTGAACCACAACCACATCGAAGAAGGTGTGGAGGGTCTGCTGAAGATGACCTGCCCATTTGCAGCCACTATGAATCTATAAATGGATCCCAGACCCAAGTGCTTGCTTTGCAATGTCCGGAGTCTTGGTGTTGACAAGATGTTTTTTTGCTATGCCATCCACCGTCTTATCCCTTGATATCCCTTGACAATTTGCAAGCAATCATGGCATATCTTCAAAGTTGCCATACTCCGACATGAACTCCCCTCCAATCAGCTGGAGTTGTTCTGGATTTATGATTTATTCCAGTAACTCCACTGACATAAAGCCATCCCACCCACAAAGCATCATCCAATGGCTTTGGATTGCAAAGGGCCAAGTGCTGAACGCAGAACGCTTCGCATGCTTTGAGCATTTTTGGGGACCCCAAATATGACGCAAAAAAAAACGAAAAAATGGATGGTTTAGTACCAAACAAAACAGGGCGGCACATTGGTACTGCGCCCATTTATGTAGACGTGTTTAAATCGACTGATTTATCATCATTTTACCATATTTGACCTATTCAAATGGCCACTTAAATCATGTCAAATCACCGTTTTCACATTGTTGGTTAGACGATATATCGTATGATATCCCCATTAATATCCCATTAAAGATCCTATATCATTGGTTATATCATATCCCTATGAACTCTCATGAAATTGATGCTTAATCATCCAAAAATCGTCCAAGAAAAAGGAGAAATCTTGAGGCATTCCCCATTCTGTATTCCTCCTCCAAAAATGGGATAATCAATGATCTTCACCAATCCAGGGATTCCCCAAAAAAGTGGGGCGATTCATGGGTTTTTTGGAGCCCCAAAGATCGCCAGGCCAGGCCCTAGGGGATCTGCTTTCGGAGCACCCGCGCCTGGCGCGTCTCTCGCTGCATGGCAACGCGCTGGGCGAAAAGGGCGGCGCCAAAGTCTTCCAGGGCCTGGCGGAGAATGCCCGTCGCGCGGCCCCGGGCCAGGACCATTTCATAGGGGATTTCATGGGGATATTCATGGGGATATTCATGGAGTATGGGGATTTCCATAGTGGGGATAGGCCCTTAGAAGTTAGATGGTTTAGACATGTTTGGAATGGAAAATGCTATGAACATGGATGATTTAGGGGTACCCCCATTGATGCAAACCCTAATTTTACCAATGATATGGTGGATGCACAACTATATGCAACCACCAAAAAAGATAGAACAGTTGGAAACCTGGAAATATGAGGTGATGACCATCTATCCCATCCTAGAAACGCTCATCTTCTTGGGGATTAATTTCATCAATAATATGGGGATCTAGTGGGAAAGAATATATAGGAACCTAGTGGGTCAATAGCGAAGTATAGGACATTTCAATACATTTCATGATATTAACGGAGATACCAGTAGTACCGCACAAGGCGGTGGCGGAAGTTTCAAAAATAGGACACCTATAGGAGAGGTTGGTTGTTGTGAATCACGGATGGCAGAGCGAATCCACTGATGGACTGACAGGTGGTTGGAGTTGTGTTTTTTGAAGTGGTTGCAATGGTGGCAGTGGTCACCTTATAGTGCAGTTGTAGTTGTAGTTGTAATGTGTAATAAGTGTGGTGTAGTTGCAGTTGTAGTTGTAGTTGTAGTTGTGGTGTGGTGTAATTAGTGTAGTGTATTGTAGTGTACTGTATTGTAGTGTACTGTAGTGTTGTGTACTGTAGTGTGGTATAGTGTAGTGTAGTCTAGTGTAGTGTAAGGTAGTGTAGTTGTAGTTGTAGTGTGGTGTAGTGTAATTGGTGTAGTGCCGTGTCGTGCAGTTTAGTGGTAGTTACACTTGCAGTTGCAGTTGTAGCTGTAGCGTAATGTAGTGTAATTAGTGTAGTGTAGTGTAGTGTAGTGTAGTGTAGTGCAGTGCAGTGTAGTGTAGTGTAGTGTAGTGTAGTGTAGTGTTGTGCAATGCAGTGTAGTTGTAGCTGCATTTGTATTTGTAGTTGTAGCGTGCTGCAGTGTAATTAGTGTAGTGTAGCGTAGTGTTGTGCAATGTAGTGTAGTTGTAGTTGCATTTGTATTCGTAGTTGTAGTGTACTGCAGTGTAACTAGCGTAGTGTAGTGTAATTAGATGAGCCACCGCAAAAACCCCGGCAATACTAAATATGTATTGGACGGACATTGGTTTTTGGAAGCTGATGGAAATTGTTAAAAACACACGGTGAGCGATTGGACCTTCCCAAATTAGCGATACCCCTTTTCAAGGTTATGTCATTGTATTTCTTTAATATCTACATTAGCGATACCCAAATTGGACGTTGATTTCTGTGAATTATTTATTTTCTGTGAATTATATATATATATATGTAATTAGTGTAGTGTAGTGTAGTGTAGTGTAGTATAGTGTAATTAGTGTAGTGTAATGTAGCGTAGTTAGTTTATTTGTATTTGTAGCTGTAGTAGTTGTAGTGTAATGCAGTGGTAGTGGTAGTGGTAGTTGTAGTTGTAGCTGTCTATCTATCTATCTATCTGTCTGTCTGTCTGTCTATCTATCTATCTATCTATCTATCTATCTATCTATCTATCTATTTGTCTGTCTGTCTGTCTGCCTGTCTGTCTATCTATCTGTCTATCTGCAAGCTTGAAAACGAAGCTATTCTGCGAGACATCCTCAGCTTTTTGAACTTGACGACATCAAAAACGCAGCAATTCAGCGAGACTTCCTCAATTTTTGAACTTGACAACGTCAAAAACGAAGCAATTCTGCGAGACGTCCTCAAAATTTTAGTTGACAACATCAAAAACGAAGCAATTCTGCGAGACGTCCTTCAAAAATGGAAAGTTGAGTGCAGAGCTGACAGCCTCGAACTAATGCGTTTTGCGATGTTTCCACTCCACCTGTCTAAACTATTGCACCTGCCACGAAAAAGTGATGCCAGGTCATACGAAGTGCTGCACTTGTCACGCAAAATCATCTCAGCAAACCTGAAGATCTGAGGCTCCAAAATGCAACCCCTCTCAGTCTCAGGAAATCAGCGCCCGGACCTCCTAACAGCTCTGATGAACATGTCTCTTGCATTGCGCCTGCCACGGAAAATGCATCTTTGCAGATCCTCTTCAAATGTCCCACGCCTGCCATAGTTTTTGGAAATGCTACAAAGCCCTCACGTTTTGCTCACTTTTGACACGGTGCACAATCCCTTGCGCCTGCCACGCGAAACGACATCTGCACATCAAAAAGTGGTCCGGAGCTGGTGTGTTTTGTACATTTTGACTTCGAAATGTGCTTCGCGCCACAACGGCGTGCACTTCAATTTCCAAAAGTGGTCCGAACCTGGTGTGCTTTGTACATTTTGACTCCGAAATATGCTTCGCGCCACAACGGCGTGCACTTTTTCGACATCGCAACTTCGAAAAGTGCTCCGAACATGAGGTGTTTTTACCTTTTTCACTTGCAAATGTGCTTCGCTCCACAACGGCGTGCATCTCTCATCTGGCCAGCTGGCTCTGCACCCGCTGCTTTAGCGAGCCTACTTTTCGACCCTCCAGAGGCGCAAATCATTGGAAACACACAGTGTTTCGCGACTTTCCTACCTTTTCGCGCACCTGGATCTTCTTTCTTCTGAGACTTTTCGCGCACCTGGATCTTCTTTCTTCTGAGACTTTCTCTTTCTTCTTCTCTTCTCTTCTCTTCTCTGACTCTTCCCATCTCTGCTTTTCATCTGCCCATATTGTCGGAAGTTTGACTTCCCACCTTCCTTCGATTATGGAGATATTTCACCAACTATAAGGGATTTCATGGGATAATGGAGATATGTCATCAATAATGATGGGATTAATGGGATATGAATGGGATATGAATGGGATATTCATAGGGGTTTAAACAGCAAACCTGGTGGTATAATGGGATATAATGGGATAGTGGTGGGGATATGACGGGGGTCATTTGGATAGGTTGTAACGACCTCGCTGTGACGCCACTGGAATACAATGGGTTCGTTTGAAAACAGGGCGCCCGCAAACTCCAGTAGTTAATCATCCTTTTCACTTTTATTTTATGGCCATAACTGGAGGGAGGGTATAATGACCTCATTTCCAGGGTGAACTGGCCGCTAATATGAATTTGATACCTGAAACATCGTGAAAAGCTGGGGAACCTTCCCTAGTTGATGGTCCATCATCATTTTCCCCATTGGAAATATATCGTTTTTGAGGTATTCTTCATTTGCAGACCCTAAAATGGGAATTTCATCAAAAATAATGATAATAATGGGGATATATTCGCGGATGTATTATATAGCAATAAGCGATTCTGTTGGATTTGGGATCACCTTCTTTACTCTTCTTTTTGTTGAATGTCTCTATATAGATCCCATGGGTTTCGGTCGGGGATCAAACCATAGGAAACACCAAAATCCTGAAAGACTGGTCTTCTTAGTTTCGTGGACTGCAGGGCCAATAAGTGTGACCCAAAGCCACGAGCATCGAACTTGCTGGTGGTTTCAAACACGTACCCCTTGGTAAACTAATATAGCTATGGAAAAGCAACCTTTTTGCAGGTAAATCAACTATCAATGGCTATTTTCAATAACTATTTTAAACTACCCGAGGGTGTACTTTCTTATTTTCAATCCTACTTGTACCTGACGTGATTATGTATAGCCACTTGACGATGCAATCATGCCTTTTTTCTCCGATGAGTGGCTGAACCACCAGCAAACCATCCAGCAAAAATAGTCCAATTCTTATCAATTTAATTCTATGGACGATATTTCCGGCAAAAAATAGAAGATTTGGTTGATCATCAAGCAAACACATCCTATTCCAGGAACGAAGCACCAGCCAAAAACAATCCATTGATCAAAAAAAAACTCACATCCGTCAGACAAATCCAAAAGATCTACAGAAAATCTAGAATTTGGATTGCTTCAAGTCTTTTTTTGGATCTTCCCTGTATATTTTCCCTATTATTTTCCATGGCAGCCATGGCTTTCCCGAGGCAACGGAGGCCATTTGTCGGACCTGGACCTGGCGTGGAACCAGTTGGACGGCAGCGACGCAGCGATGGCCCTGGCAGAGGTGCTACGGATCTCGGTGCCTTGGAAGTTTGGAAGTGGAGGGGGGATAAACAGTCATGGTTATATATACATATATTTTTGTTTTGATTATATGTATATATATAATAATATATATATATATATCTATGATTATATATATATATATCTATGATTATATATATGATTATATATTTATCTATGATTATATATATATCATTGTATATATATATATCATATATATATATTATGATTATATATATGATTATATATATGATTATATATATGATTATATATATATGATTATATATACATATATCTTTTTTACATTTATGATTATATATATATATAGTTATATGTATGATTATACATATATGATTAATACATATTAGATTATATATATATGATATGTATATATCATTATTTATATATATAAATGATTTATATATATATGATTATATCTAAATGATTGTATTCATATATATTTTTTTGATTATATATATATGCATGATTATATGAATATGTAAATATATGTATATATATATATACAATGATATGTCCACTAATGATGATATTCCTCGCTGCGGAGAGGTCTCCGCGTCAATTGGATAATTTGCTCGGAGATGGTCAGAAGCGAATTGGGTAAAGCAAGGCCAAGGGCCGGCGAAGCAGACATTAGCAGGCCGGTCTTGAAGATTGCCTCTACCTGACTTCCAGGAACGTCTGCTAAACGCCGGAACATTCACCAAAAAACAACAGGTGTGCCACCTGCCAGTCAGCGTATGTCATGGACAAGAGCAATACAGTGTGCTAGGGTTGTTCACTAGACACTGGATCAACAAAATCAAAACAGAGACCGATCACCTGCAAATCTGTCTCTGCAAACACCTGACAGTTTGCACGTGCCCAGCACATAGAAAAAGGCAGCCATTGGATTCAAACCGATCAAGCTTTTGGCAAGAAGCAGACAGCGGGTGGGCTATTGAGTCACCGCAACGCTGCATCTTTGCTTTATGCCCTGAGCCACACCAGAAGTCACAAGCGCATCTTTACTCCTTGTTCTCTTTGGGATTGGAAAAATTGCCCGGAACCGAGCCATGCTTTGCGCTCCGTAGCACAATCTCCCAAGCAGCCTGCCGCATACCAAAATGCTAGTTTCAAAGCCCCTTTGCCTTTTGCCACTGAAGGTCGCTAAGAGTCCACAACGAACAACAAGCATGTGATGCAAGCCAACAGGAAAACAACTCCAGGACTGCAAGTGCCAATTTGTAAAGATGTGAGCTACCGACCTCAGCCAGGACTGGCAGTTTGCCGCTTGTAGCGGAAGCAAGCTGGTACCAAGCAGAGTGAATAGCAAAAAGTGCAGCGGGTCAATCAAACTGTTTCTCATCTTAGAAAATTCGTCCCATGTCAGTTGGATCTCCGCCCGAAAATCCGTTCACACCAGGCATCATCGCTTGTGGACTAATGACTATAATCCATGATTAGTATTAGGATTATTATATATATGATTTTACTACCGCAATAAATGTTGGAACATATTGGGACCGAACCTCTCGAAAATTATTGTAAAATGATTGGCGTTATATATATATACTACCTAATCCATTAATGGGGTTAATCAACTATTAACCATTAATCTCTGATTAATAATGGATTAGTGGATGAATAAGGGATTGATGGATTAATTATTGAGGACGAATCGGTTTCTACTACCCAAACAAAGGTTGGGACCTAACCTCTGGAAAATTATTGGAACATGATTGGGGTTAGATACTGCTTAATCCATTGGTAGCGATTCTGCTGATTATTGAGGATTATCAGAGTCAATTGCCGATTATATAAAATCCGCTGATGGATGGATCAATTGTTAACATAATTGGGGATTATATAATGGGGATTGGTTGGTTGTGTTGGTGTCCCCGACTATGGCATCTATCGTGCTTTCTCCAAATTCGAGAGCATGCATTTGAGAACAAGGTTCACTCGACCTTTTAGCCTGAAACGGAAAAATGGAAAAATAATGTGGATATATGGGGATTAATTAATCCATTAATCCATTATTGAAAACATATTGGGGATTAATCCATGGTCTTTTGGGGATCATGTTGGGTTAATCAATGGGGATATTTGATGATTCAAGGTTAAATAATTAATTTTGAGGAGGAACATCCAATTTTCACCAGTTTTTGATGGAACGACAGAGGCTTTTGAATGCTGCTGACATGGATTTTTCCACGTTTTTCCATGGTTGTTCATCCAAAAACCCTGGGGAAATTCCCACCAATACCGTGAATAATGTTATATGTTAGAGCGAAAACCGATGGTACCGATGAAAACAAAACATGTGTTTTTTCCCCCTTGTTTCTGCTTGCCTTGTTCAGTACAATTGTGTTTATGTTCAAACTGCTGACCTTGAATTCACTGGTTGCACTTATCCACTTTCCATTCTGCAATTGGCAAGACGTGGGGGCTGTCAATATCCTTCCATTTTGAAGATATTCTTCTTTTGGTGATCCGAAAATGGCATAAAATGGCTGGATTCATGTGATGCGCTCAGTCACCTGATACGAAACTTGAAATTTTGCATTTTGATCCAAACCATTCTGAGGGTGACTTAAGCCCGATAGCCGCCAAAAAGGTCCTATGTTTTGCCACATTTCGTCCGCACATCCATGTGAGGTAGAACCCAGAGGTCTCGGTTTCCATCCGTTTCCATCTGCCAGGTGACACTTTACCATCTGGATCTGAGTTACAACAACTTGGGCCCAGCCAGCTGCCAGGCGCTAGAAGGGGCGAGGCATGTTTTTTTTCGGGCAGGACTGAGGGTTTGCCCGGAACGGAATGCGCGACGTCTTAAAGGAGGCTCATTTCACTGCGCAAGCGCAGTGTTTTATGACTTTGGTACATCTTTGGGTTACTATGTTCCACGTCAAATTTTTGGAAAAATCAGTCGGAAAAGTGAACCCTCTGCGGACTTCATGCGTGTCGGCCTTGTCCCGTTTTTCACTATTTTGGCGAGTCTGGAGTGTTCATGTGGTATAACAGTATAACTTGTACAAACCCTGAATGAAACCCTAATAGAAGTATGGTTAATTGTTCCATGGGGCCGGGGCATTTTTGAATGGATGGTTGCTGGGTCTGCCCTCAGTAGTATGGCCCTTATTCATGGAGGGGTCCCATTCACATAGAGTAGCCTCTGGTAAACTGTCACATAACTATGGAAAATCACCATTTTCAATGGGTAAATCACTATTTCTATGGTCATTTTCAATAGTTTTTTATATGTTTACCAGTCGCCGGGGATAAAAATCCTATGGGGATGATGGCCATGGTCAGATTTTGTGCGGCCCGTGCAGATCATCGCAGATGGCTTGAGAGACAACCACTTCCTCTACGGTTTGCACATTGTGGGCAATGCAGTAACTTGGCGGGGAAAAAAAACCAGTTGTGGACCAATAAAAAAACCGTTTCCTAGGGCAGAAGTCCGATTTTGACCTACGAGAGCCACTTGCGTGTCAATCAATTTGAGCTCACAAGACTTGCATTTCACTTGAAACATTCCCCCAGGCAAAAATGGGTGTGTCTGAAAATAGTGTACCCCTAAACCCAATGGTCAATGATCATTATCCCATATTATCCCTATTAAATGGCTATTTGTTTGGGAATATACCCTATTTTCAGACAAACCCAAATGGAAATTTGGTGAAAGTGTCAGTGGTAACCTTTTCGGTGAAGGTATCTCCCAGTAAAACCTCATCCATAAATTTTGTGCAGCTGAACATGGTAGGTCCCAGAAATTTGAAGCAGAAACACAAGAGGTTGGGGGTGTCTCCCCCATTGTTGGACCCAGATATTCATTATATGTATCGTTTTGCTCCCATATGGTTGGCGCGACCTACGACTGTATCCGATTTCTTGGAACCCAAATCACCGACACATTCACATCCCCAAGACCGCCGGTGGAATTTCCCATTTTAATTTTGGTTGGTTCAACATCCAATTCTATTGGTTCTATTGGTTCACACCACATTTGTTTTCCATCAAACTAATCTGGTTGGTGGTTTCGAACATGTTTTATTTTCCATTTCATATATGGGATGTCATCCCAACCCCATTGACTTTCACTCCATCATTTTTCAAGATGTTTTTTTTTTTTTTTAAACATGTTAAAACATGGTTATTGCACCACCAAGCACTAATTTTTCTTTGACGGTAAATCGCCCAATTCTTTGGCCAGCAACATCCGGCCGGTGTCCAACGGGTGAATCTCAGGCCACGATGGATGCAGACGGCTTCTTAACACCAGTGATCGATAGCCCCAAGGCGTCGTCGATCCTTGCCGAAAAACCGCCTACCCTCTGGTAAACTAACATAACTATGGAAAATAACATTTTCAATGGGAAAATCCACTATAAATGGTCATTTTCAATGGCTATGTTAAATTACCAGAGGGTATACCTGAAATGGTCATGAAATATGGTTGGAATTGACTTTGATCAGCCACAGCAAGACGCAGAAGAGATCAGAAGAGTGAAGTCCTACCAAAATGGAGAGACATGACCTTGCCATATGTTTTTTTTGGGATTCGATTCCTATATAAACTTTTTTACCGGTTCCAAAAGGACATTTCATCAAGGATCGAAGGATCCCAAGAAAAGCGGTTGGTGCTTTTGGGAGAAGCAACACAAATGGGCGGGGTCCATAGTCATGGGGATCCCCAAAATGGTTGGTTTATTTCATGAATAATCCTATGAACAAATGGATGATTTAGGGGTACCCCCATTTCAGGAAACCTCCGAATGAACAACATAGGTTACATAGGTTGGTGGTTTCAAAGGTTGTTTTGAAATTTCTTGAAACAACTAGAGAAACATCACGACCAAACTTCAGCGAAATTGCTGTGTGGTGATTTTTTCTTTGGCAAGCACTGGATATCACTAAGAAATTTGAAGTGGTTCAAATACGTTCTTTTGGTCCATCCGCATTTGCCAGGAACATCAACCATTGGGTGCCTATTTTAGAGCTCTAACAGGCTGAACAGGAACAGCGAGCCAAAATGGGGTGCCTAGAAGGACAAGTATCGCACCACGCCATCGAATCAGAAAGTTTTCTTAGGTCAAACACATGTGTTTTACCATTTTGCGGCGCTCAGCACCAAAGTATCCCAAAAGTATCCTATTTCGGCAGGATTACATTTGAGTGTTTCTCAAAATTCGGGTATCCAAAAGCATTGGTTTCCGGATGAAAGAGGACACATTTGGAATCTACTTTTGTGGCCCCGCTTTTTGAAAAAACAACTGGCCCCCATTTGTTCCGCCATCGCACACTTGAGGTTGCCGACTGGAGATAAGCCGCAGGCCCAGCAATTTGGAGATCTGCGACAGGCGCAGCCTTGCACAGAAATCCACAGAAACTTGGGGTTATCATACCGAAATTTGGTATACCCTGCGGTAATAAGTCTAACCTGGCCAAACAAACTATGGACACTTCCAGACCCTTCCCATTTTGTAATCATTCTGGTGTAGATGATTTCTGTTGATGTTCCGCATGAAAACAACGGAACTGTGCATTGCCAGATTAGCAGAGGATATATACATAAATCCTGTTGTAATTGGCAGGTACAACAAAGATGGGTTTACCACAACTGGGTCAATGGACGATTTCATGTCGTTCCATTTGTGCAGCTTCGCAATGATGGGAGAAGAAATTGTGCCGAAAACGCTTGGTCTTTTCACCCAATGTATGGATACTGTATGAGACAGGTATGGTGACCCCATTCGAACACATTGTTTGTTCAGTGTCCTTATAGCAGTCCCAACTTTGATAGTCGAGCAGCCAACACAATGCCGGCTTAGCTCACTATGACACAATCCCAATTTTTGATGAGTAAAGCACAAAACAATTCCGATTTTGTTCGATTAGTGGGGCTTGAAGACGAGACAGTCCCAATTTTGAATGCCAAGTTTGTTTTTTAAGTACGAAACAATCCGATTTTTGATTGCTTGAACACGAAACAATGCCAAGTTTGTTTTTTGAGCATGAAACAATCCCAATTTTGATTGTTTGAGTACGAACCAATCCATTTTTTTTGGTACCCAATGAATAACTTGACCCAGCGTTCATCGGCCTATCTCCATCTGCTTCTCGATGGTTCTGACAGGGCATCGATGGAAGACTTGGAGCTCGATCTACGGTTCCTTGGTATGTCATATTGCATGGTTTATTTATGTTTATTTTATATTTTGGTAGAGAACTATAGAGAACATCTTGACCAAACATGGGGAACATCTTATGTTTGGTAAATACCTGAAAAGAATAGAAACTAAAGATTAAACAACAATGCGACAAACCACATTGTTTTTTTTAACACCCCCCAGAAGTTTTATAAGCCATGTGAAACAGTTGTAGGGCTTGATGTACATTTGGACCATCTTCCAGGGGCTGTAATTAATACGAACCCGTCAGGATGCATCCGGTCTCGGCGTCGGCGCATGGACCGATGCTGATGTGCCCTGGGGCGGTGGATTGCTTGGGAAATGGGGCCATTTTTGCACCATGTTTGATCATAGGAACATGAATTTGTTGCATCAACTTCAGTACTTGAATCTTTTGACTGCGAACAGGATATGGGGATATATTATTTATATATATCTAAAAGTCTAAAAACTATATGATATTATATTATTATATCATATCATATCATATTATATTATATTATATTATATAAATATTATATTATATTATATAAATATTATATTATATTTGACGGGATATAGGGTTCTCACTAGTTGCTACGCCAACCTTTGGCTCAAGAACACCGCTGCTAAAATAGCGAGTTGCATATTCTCCGTTCATGGTAGCGGAGCGATACGCTCCAGGGTCTTAGCAATGGACCAACAACAAGCGGCACAGGTCCTCCAGTCGCTCCAGGAACTACAGACCGAGGTCAATCGACTAAGAGGCCGAGAAGCTGAACTGACAGCACAGGTCGCTTCTTTTGGTGCCGGTTCGGCTGCTTCAGCTGGACCTGGCAGTGCACTGGCACAGTTGGTGCAGTCACAAAAGGAGCTTGTGGACGCCCTTAGATCGAAAGAACAAGTCCGGTTGGTCGACAACAAGGGCCTTGGCAAGCCCGACAAGTTTGATGGGACAGCCGAAAGATTCTTGTCATGGAAAATCAAGACGTCCTCCTATCTTGCAAGTGTTCGCAAAGACCTTCGTGAGATTCTGGTTTGGGCCGAAGATTGCGATCATGCAATCACTGCAGATGACATCGACAAGGCTTTTGGGAGTCAAGCAGATGCCATTGACCAGGTGTCGAACATCAGTGAATTGAGACGCGAGCTTTGGGACGCGCTGCTAATGCTGACAGAGCGTGAGCCCTTTGACATCGTGCTGAACACCGGGGAATGCGGCATCGAAAGCTGGAGAAAGCTCACGCGGAGGTACGACCCATCCACTGGTGGTCGCAAACGCGCTCTCCTCAATGCAATCTTGTCACCGGCTCGATCCAAGATGGAAGATTTGCCGTCCAACCTGGAGAAGCTTCTTGACAGCATCAGACTTTATGAACGTCGCAAAGACGCATCTGGCAACCGAACGATGTTGGCAGAAGACATCAAGATCAACGTGATTGAACGATTGGTGCCGGCAGAGCTCGAGCGTCATCTCGTTCTCAATCGAGATCGCTTCAAAACGTTCGAGTCCATGCTGTCCGAGATCCAGTCCTATGTGGAACATGCCACCGGCAACAAGATCAAGGTGGTGAACAGCCAGCCCTACGACGCACATGGCCGTGGGGACGATCCTATGGATGTCGGAAGCTTTGGAAAAGATGCAAAGGGAAAAGGTAAGGGCAAGAAGGGAGCTGGAGGAAAACCTGGAAAGGGAAATGCAACAGCTGAGAAGAGAACATGTCACAACTGCGGACGCCCAGGACATCTGCGGGCAGATTGCTGGGCACCTGGAGGCCCCAAACATAAGGGGACGGGTGGCAAAGGCAACAGCAATCAGAATAAGGACAAGGGCAAGGGCAAAGGCAGCCCCGGAAAGCACAAGCAGAAGCCCAAAGGAGGCAAATCTGTGAACAATGTCGAACAAGGTGAACCAGAAGCAGAAGACTGGGACGCAGCTGATGGCGACGATGGTCAACAAGCAGCAAATGGTTTAACGCTCTATGGCGTTGATGGGCCACCACATGACGAGGATGACGACGAAAGTTTCCAGGTCGATCCCGAGTCCGAGGAGTCGGAAGCCTCGACAAGTCGCAGAAGGTGGTTTTCTTTGCCTCACCCACGTGCGTCATGGCCTGAAGAGTGGGACGACCCCGACTATGATGGACCGAGTGGATCGAGTGGCTCAAGACCCCTTCGGTCGCTTCGACTGGAGGAGGTCACCGAGCACGAGACCACTACATCCAAGTCCGCGTCTTCCAAGGCACCTCGAACGCCACAGGGAAGACCCAAGAGGGGCAGAAGTCCAAAGAGCTCAGCACCAAAGAGAGGCAAAGCAAGCAGATCAGGGCCAGTCACTCCGGAGTCAGCACTCCGACGCTTTCGAATGACTTCGATGACACCACCACCAAGGAGAAGGTTGAGGCATGGGCCACAGACTCCAGAAGAACTTCTTCGTAGCTCTACACCTTTGCCAAAGACACCACCGACACCTATAGCATGGCCTGCATCACCTCCACAACAGCCGATAGCCTCGCCCAAGACTCCACCAGGACCACCACCAGGATGGCAAAGCCAAGTAGCTTCACCCAAGACTCCGCCATGTCCACCACCGGGATGGCAAAGCTCTCAGGTGAAGCCACCACCACCTGTCAAGGCATCATCGGCAGCTTCGACTTCAGGTTCTCGACTTGTCCAGATGCTGAAGGCTGCGCTGAGTTCACAAATCCGCAAAGTCCAAGAAGAAGATCCTGGTTCAGGAGATGGCCAGGCAGATGCGATGTTAGCGGCTTTGAGGACTAGATCTGTCAAGGCACCGCACATCACAAAGCAGAACATCAGCGATCCTTCTTTCCACGACTCGAGATACCATGCCGAGATTGCCAAAGGTGTTGCACACAATGTGGCCTGGAGAAATGAACGTTTGAGAAGACGTGCAATCGTCCACCGACGAGGAGGAGTCAAGGCACGTGCGGCTGAAAGGATTCGACTTGACAAAGAATGGCATGAACGCTTTGACAACCCAGAAAATCCAGAAGGCATAGTGGGAATCGAGGATGAAGACAACTTGGATGCGGGCATCGAGACGGTGGTTGTGGGCAAAGCTGGTCAGAGCACAGTGATAGAGTTTTCAGCGGAAGAGCGGAAAACCTTGAGGCAGTTCCCGGACGACGAGGCCAAGTTGCTGCAGAAGGACCCCAAGAAGAAACCCATGACCAAGCGTGTTCGAAGCGTTGGGTACAGGGTGAAGAAGAATCGCAACCGCAATGTGGCGCGCAAGATGGCGAGGAAGAACCGACCAGCCTTGGTTCTGAAGGAAAACACTGAAGTGAACGCAGATGAAGATGATGATGAAATGGAAGAGGTCTACATCGAAGAGCCTGATGAGCCTCGAGACCGACCAGGCAGAGGAGACCCCGATGGTGGAGCTGGATCGGCTCCTGCTGCAGTCTACAGCTTGGGGGCCTCTGACGACTGGCGAAAATGGGAACGAGCAGAGTTGAACATCGACACCGGTGCTGCCATCACTGCAGTACCACTTGACTTCGCCAAGGACTACCCGAGGAGCGAGTCCAATGGAGCAAGCTACAAGGCAGCCAATGCGGAACCCATCGAAGATCAGGGAAGTGTGAAGCTGGTGGGATACGACGAATCTGGCAACAAGATCCCAATCGATTGCCGAGTTGCAGATGTGCATCGGCCACTTCTTTCAGGTTCCGAGATCGCCAAGAACTACCACATCGCCCTTGGACCATCTTCGGGGAGATTGATCCCAAGAAACACTCCTGCGGGACGGGCCTATTCGAAGGCCATGAAAGATCTGATCCGAGATTATGGCGATTCAATGCCCATTGTGCACAATCGCCGAGGCATCTATGTGTTGGACTATTGGGTGTCACCTTTTCAGGGGCATCCTCAAGAGGAGTAAGACCACAAATCAACGCTGTTGGCGAGGATCCAGCTGTTTCAGCCGGAGCCGATGCCATGGAAGATGGAGGCGATGTTTCAGCCGCTTCGGCCGGAGCAGGGTCCTCAGGCGATGTTCCAGCTGCTTCAGCCGGAGCAGATGCCTTTGAAGATGAAGTTGATTTGGAAATCGGTGAAGAACAGAGGAAAGCCATTGTGAAGAAAGAACCACATCAACCATCCCAAGCTGAAGTTGACGAACATGAAAGCACTGGACATGTTGTCCATCGGAGCTGGTGCTTGCACTGCAAAAGGGCACGTGTGACTGCTGATCGCCATGTGCCTAAGGAACTTGATGAGCCAGAAACGCAGTTGCCCACGCTGAGCCTGGACTACTTCTATATGAACCAGGACCAGGTTGCGGATGAGGCGACCCTTCCGAGCATTGTGGCGAAGTGCCACAAGACCAAGAGATTTTGGGCGAGCGTTCTCCCGGGAAAAGGGGCGGATGCGTTCGCAATCGCGTGGCTTGGGGGAGTTTTGGATGATGCTGGTTTTAATAAGGTAATCCTTAAGTCTGACGGTGAACCCTCCTTGGTATCCCTTAAACAGAAGGTTAAGGAGATAAAGACCCACATCGAAGTGCACTTGGTGGAAACCCCAGTAGAAGACCATCAAGCCAATGGGTTTATCGAAGTGGGAGTGCGAGAGATAAAACGACAATGTCGTGCTCTCCTCAGCGACCTGGAGTTCAAGCTGGAAAGGAAGGTAGATCCGGGCCATCCACTTTTGGTTTGGCTCCCGCGGCATGCTGCCTTTCTCTTGACGAGATACCGAGTAGGTACTGATGGAAAGACCGCTTTTGAGCGGACCTATGGACGAAAATGGCGGATTCCGCTTGTGAGGTTCGGTGAAAGCATCCTGTATAGGCCGAGGGCCAATCGTGGGGGCAAGAGAAATGACCTTGCTCCAAGGGTATCCATTGGGATGTACGTTGGAACTGGAAACAGAAATTCAGACGTCTTTGTCATGACGGAACGTGGAATCATGAAGGGGAACTCGATCCATCGACGCCCACCTGACGATCAGTTCAAACATGATCAGTTTGACTCGCTACGTGGCCTTCCTTGGAGGTTGCAAGAACGAGAACATGGTGGACTGAGGATCGCCCTTCCCGATGTTGCAGCGCCTCGTGAAAGGCCTGCAGTGCAAGAAGTGATCCCAAGGAACCTCTATGTCACCAAGAATGACTTGGAAAAGCATGGGCACACACCTTTGTGTCCTGGATGTGAAGCAGCAATACTTGAGATGCCAAGCCGAGCTCACAATGCTGAGTGCAGACAAAGAATCCAGATCGAACTTGACAAGACTCCAGAAGGTCAAGAAAGGATCAAAAGAGCGAGAGAGAGAGTTGCACAAGGCAGGCGCCCAAGAGGCGCGGCTGCACCGCCTGAGGGTGGTGGGGCAGAAGGTGGTGAAGCTGCACCACCAGTTGTCCCAGGAGGGGAAGTTGAACAACCAGTCTTGCAAGACCGTGTTCCTTTGGATGCGGAAATGGATGCAAGTGAGGCTGTTGGTGAACCACTGGTCGACACCGATTTTCGTGGAGAACTCAGACAGAGAGAACAAGAAAGAGAAGGAAGCCCAAAGAGGCAGAAACAAGAACAATCCCGAGGAGAGAAAAGGAGTTCACAAGTCGACGTTGAAGATCTTTACAATGAATCTTCAGCTCAGGCTTCAGGGTCAGCCGGACCACCGGCACCGGATGCTTCATCTGGTGTTCCGGAAGGTGCTGCCGCTGCACCAACAAGTCCTGAGACAAACCAGGAGATGCTACATCTGTGTTCCTTGCTCAAAGATGTGATCGCAAAAGGGAAGGTTGCTGAGATCTTCTCTCCACCGCGTGTGGCTGCACAAGCCCAAGTGGTCGGGCTAGCACCTGGCTTCTCGATTGACTTGGAGACAAAGCGTGGTGATGGAACTCACTGGGACTTGAGTAAAGATGAACACATTCGTGATCTGTTTCAACTGCTTGACTATGAGAAACCAGAGTTCCTCGGCGGCTCACCTCCCTGTGGGCCATTCTCGAAGCTGCAAAACATTGTGGATGCGAAGGGCAATGTTTCACCTGAAGTTCGAGCGCAGAGACTAAAAGATGGTCGCAAACATCTGCGCACGGCAGTTTCAGCGTATGAGCATCAAATGAATGCTGGAAGGTACTTCTACCATGAGCACCCTAAAGGGGCCGCTTCGTGGGAAGAGAGAGCTGTGAAGAGACTGAGGGCAGATGAACGGGTGTATGAGGTCACTGGACCAATGTGCCGTTGGGGAATGAAGGCCGCCGATGGCCAAGGTGAAGGGTCAGTGAAGAAAGAAACTACCTGGCTCACGAACTCTCCAATCCTGGCACAGACCCTACAAGGGTGCTGTTCAAACAAAGAAGGCAAAGTTTGGCACCGCCATGTACATCTTGTTGATGGACGAGCCCGAGCTGCCCAGAAATACCCACCAAAGCTTGTCCACGCAATTCTCAAGGCCATTAGGCGCCAACTGGAATGTGATGGAGAACTACACTCACTTTCACATGGCCCAGTACCCGATGCTGGACCTGTGATCAATGAAGAGGAGGAGTTTTGGAAGCAGCTGCCCGACAGCGATGACACCATCGTGGAGCCAGTGCTTGACGCACACTCCGGTGCTGTCTTAGATGTTGACAAGGTCAGAGCTGCTCGACAAGAAGAACTAGCATGGGTACACAAACAGGGTATCTATATCAAAGTTCCACTCACAGAAGCCCAACAGTCTGGAAAACCGGTCATCACCATGAAATGGATTGACAGAAACAAAGGGGATGCAACACACCCCAACTACAGGTCACGTCTGGTCTGTAGAGAGATCAAACGGGCCAGCAATGCTGACTTCATTCCGGACTATGCGTCCTTCAGTTCGATGCCGCCTTTGGAATCGCTGAAATTGCTTCTATCGCTTATGGTGACTTCGAGACGATCCAAGTCTGGCAATGCACTGAAAGTTCGTCTTCTTGACATATCACGCGCTCACTTCTATGGAGAGGCAGAGCGTGATATCTTCGTGCAGTTACCTGAAGGAGATCGACAAGAAGGGTTTTGTGGCAAGCTCGTTAAGAGCATGTATGGAACACGCGATGCATCAGCGATCTGGCAAAGATCATATACAGAACTTCTCATCCGAGCTGGTTTTGCCAAGAATCAAGCTTGGCCATCCTGCTTTTACCATGAAGGTTACGGTGGTATTCGAGTTCTTGTACACGGAGATGACTTCGTGGTGCTTGCTGATGATGCTGGACAGAAATACCTTGAGGACACCTTGAGGTCCAAATATGATCTGCGGGTCGATGGATCGATCGGTCCTGGAGAACGGCATCAGCAGTTCGCAGTGCTCAATCGAATCGTGACCTACAACGAGCAGGAAGGCTCTGTATCCTATGAGGCGGATCCCCGCCACGTTGACCAGATGGTACGAGATCTAGAAATGGAAAACTGTAAGCCAGTCAAGACACCATCTGAGAAAATGTCAGCCACGGAGGCCAACTTGAAGTTGACCACCCCGACCATCACACCGGACCGTGTAAGTTTCTTCCGGTCTCTGGTGATGAGAGCGTCGTATGTGGCACAGGACAGACCTGACATCGCGGAGGCAGTGAAATGCCTATCAAGAAGAATGCATGAGCCCAAAGAATCTGACTTTCAGGATCTGAAACGCTTGGTGAGATTTCTGAAAGGGAAACCACGTGTACTTTTGAAGTTTGGTCGCCAGAAGTTTGCTGACACGATCCACATGTACGTGGACTCCGACTTCGCTGGGTGTCTTCTTACAAGGCGCTCAACAAGTGGACTTGTGGCAACCTTTGGCCGCCACACGGTGAAGGCCTCGAGCACTCTTCAGAGCACGATCAGCTTGAGTTCCGGTGAAGCGGAATACTACTCGATCGTTCGAGGAGTTTCCATCGGAATGTCGCTACAGGAGATCTTGCGAGGATGGGGCCTACAACCAAAACTTAAAGTGCACACAGATTCATCCGCTGCGCTGGGAACATGTAACCGTCAGGGCTTAGGCCGCTCACGGCATGTTCAAACTCGCTTTCTGTGGGTGCAAGAAAAGCTTGCACTACATGAATTCGAACTGGTGAAGATCCCGACAAAGCAGAACGTAGCTGATTTGTGCACCAAAGGTTTACCTGCGAATGAGATGGAAAGACACATGCAAAGCATGGGGTTCGAGTACTCTCATGGTAGAGCCGAAGCTGCAAAGGCTTTGGAATGAGTGTACATCAGCTTAGGAAAATCCCAGCCTCTGTACAGGAGGGGTGACGGGATATAGGGTTCTCACTAGTTGCTACGCCAACCTTTGGCTCAAGAACACCGCTGCTAAAATAGCGAGTTGCATATTCTCCGTTCAATATTATACCCCAAATTTATGACATGCACCAATGAGCCACGACACTTAAAGCTATCTCCGTCTGGAGAGACGATCCCAGCTTTTGTTGTTTCACGGTGGCCATTGTAATAAACCAGCGGATTTGGCGGTACCCTCGAAAATGGCCATTTATAGTGGATTTTCCCATTGAAAATTGTGATTTTCCATAGCTATGTTAAATTACCAGAGGGTACACTAATTTCAGTCAAACCCGTACATCCATTAATGTCCATTACATATGGGAGTCTTTCTAAAACCCAAGACTTTTAGTATCCGAGTGACATCTGCAGATATGGATGTGTATTTTTGCTGCAGTGGCGAAAGACCGCGAAAGGGCAGCGAAAGGCTCGCGAAAGGTCTGAATACACCTATTAGACTAGATGTATAGTATTTATGCTTGGCAGTTGCAGTTGCATTCATACAACCATTGAACAAGAATTTTGGGAGTTTTTCTCAGATAGGAATGGATTTTAGTATAATTTTTTTTGAAACACCTGCCCATCCTCTCATGAAACATGAGTTTTAAAATCATGTTTATAGGCGAGAAATCCGCGAAAGGTTCGCGGAAGGTTCGCGAAAGGTTGGCGAAAGGCGAGTCTGCCAGGATCCCACCTTGGCCCAAAATGGTCTAGTTTGTCTTGCAATGTTGCCACTGCAAAAACCCTTCAAAATCTTTTCAACTTGTGTTTCCGTTGTCGGACAATCTGTAAAACGACTTAGGCGAATGCTTCCACTTCCTTGTTTTTAATACAATCCTCCTGTAAATCTTCAGTACGAAATATGCACACGAAAACATGATCATAATTCCCTGTCCCGATTCTGCTGGGGCGCGAAAGGGCGCGAAAGGTTCGCGAAAGGGCGGCGTAAGTGCAGTTTTGATGTACCATAACTTTGAACAACCCCCATATACAACATTATATACATACTGGGTTCATGTCGTTTCTTGTCTCGTCTCCCCTGAAGTTGTCTCAGGTCGGTGTGCCGTGGGGAAGTGTGTATAAAAGATATATATATGACCTTATTATTATTCCATTGGATCATTGCTTATTGTAAGACCACAAAACGCATAGGCACGCTGAATTTCACCAACATGAACCTTCCATTTGTAGTCATTAACCTTCTTATGGATTCTTATGGTTTGTTTGTCCATTGCAGGGCACACAACACAGGGGTACACTGGTTGTCATAAACATCCCGGCGGAAGGGAAACCGCGCGAGCGTTTTGATTGGTTGCTTCCAGGAGAGTCACAATCACCTGTAATTTACAATATAAAATGCACCTCCGATCAGTTTGGATAACTGAATGTGGGTTTAAAAAAGTGGATGCAAAATCTATTGATTTTTAACAAATCCAGGTAAACATCATGTGCATCAGACGTGGATGCGCAGATTTTTTTTCACACTCTTCGTCGGCTCAGCGATCCATCAGTGTGGAAGCTGTCAACCTATGCATCACTACCGCACCCAAACCCATACGCAGCGCAGCAACATGTAACGTAGGAAACTATCTCAGAGATACCAGCAGCGTAGCAACATGTACCTTAGTAAACGATCTCGGAGATACCAACCGCGTAGCAACCTGTAACGTAGTAAACGATCACAGAGATCTCAGCAGCGTAGCAACATGTCACGTAGTAAAAGATCCCAGAGATCTCAGCAGCGTAGCAACCTGTAACGTAGTAAGAAAGTCCCAAGGATCTCAGCAGCGTAGCAACATGTAACGTAGGAAACTATCTCAGAGATACCAGCAGCGTAGCAACATGTAGCGTAGTAAAAGATCCCAGAGATCTTAGCAACATCGCAATATATCCTGTACGAAGTACAAGGAACGTTAACATGCCCCCCCCAACCCCAACCCACAGTAACATGGCAATATATCCTGTACGAAGTACGAGGAACGTTAACATGCCCCCCCACCCCAACCCACACTAGAGATCTCAGCAGCGCAGCAACACGTAACGTAGTAAAAGATCCCAGAGATCTTAGCAACATGGCAATATATCATGTACGAAGTACAAGGAACGTTAACATGCCCCCCCCACCCCACGCCACCCCAACCCCAAGACAAAGAGCAATGCTCAAAAAAGAAGCAAAACGCACGTACGGTTTTCCTGCCGTAGGCATAAACATGTTTGTTTATTACTTGGTTTGATACTTGTGACATCCAAACGCAGTGGCATGCTCGGTCAAAGAGAATATGTGACACTGGGTATTTCAATTATTTTGTGCAGCACAACAGATCTTGTGCCAACATCGGTGTGCCTGCCATTTGGTGCTAATGGGTTCAAGTTTGGAAGCTGGGTCGATGTTGTAACAAGTGCCGATGACAGGATCTTGTGCAAAATCGTGGTGTGCCCACGGGGAAAGTCCCACATGGGGAGCGGCGCCTATGATTTTTAACTTACTGATGTATTTTTTGGCACTTCGCATAGGCACACGATGCTTACCTGCCATATCTTTTGTGGGTTAACCCCTATATACTCCCAAAGATGAAAGTCCATCGCTATTATACTCATCGCTATTATACTCATCATAAAATGTGTTGTCCATCCTTCGGAACTTGTGTTGGGTTGATCAGCAACACTGGAAGCAGGCCTTGAAACCGATGAATTTGGGTCCTGCAGGGTACTTTTGTTTGTCAAAAAAATCCGGTTGAGGGCAATCCGAAATGACCTCATTTGTGTGTATCTGTATGTTCAGTCATAATTTCATGTGTATGTATGTGCGTGTATATATATATATACATACATATATATATATACATATGTATATATATATATATATGTATATATATATATGTATGTATGTATACCATAAAATATATGCATATGAACATGTGCACATATTTTACATTATACACAGTATATAGTAGGCCAATGTCAATTGATTGACTCAGAGCATGTCAGGTGCTGCGTGAGCGTGATGTCCTGGAGCAGCAGACCACCTGCTGGGCATGCGAAGGTCCGGTGTTTCTTTCTATCTTTCTATCAATCGTATATATATATATATATACATACATATATATACACATACATAGATATTAATATAGGCATCTTTCTATGTACATATGATATTATGTATCTTTCTATGTATAGACGTATCCAGAAATGTGCATATGTATCCATCTATTTGGCCATCAGTCTGTCTCATGTTTCTTATCTACATATACATGTAATAAATATTTGACATTATTTGACGATATCTAGAGTCCCTCACCAGATTTGTTTCAGGCAAAAATGGCAAAAGACTAGTAAATGCATCTATGCAAGACACCAGAATATTATATTTTTCAGATAGTCTATGTCACATGTCTTACAATGTATATATATATATATATCTATGTAGTTATATATAGTTATATATATAATATGTACATACATACATACATACATACATACATACATACATACATACATACATACATACATACATACATACATACATACATACATACATACATACATACATACATACATACATACATACATAAACGATTGGGATGGAAGCAAACGCACAGGTTGGGAGCGCCTGGAGCTGCAGTGGAGAGTAGAGACTGGAAGTCCAACACCCAAGGTGAGCCGAAGAGCCGAAACTGCCAGGAAAGCGCCAGTTTCTGCCCTCGATGTTATATATATATATATATACGTATATACACTATGTATATATATATATATGATTATATGATTATATGATTATATGATTATATGATTATATGATTACAAAAATTATATGATTCAAAATGAAACGATAATTGGATACCTTCAGGTAGACTAGTAGACATGTTTAGTTTTCCTCAAGGCTCATTGTGACACTAAGTCAAACATACATACACATACACATATTATATATACATGATGTATAACTTATATGAACAACAAGAATACTGAATAATAGTATCCCAGACGAGTTTTGATGTTGCGGAAGCAATTGACAACAGATGTTTTGGTGCAAATGGGTCCATGGTTGGTGTCGAGTGAAGACCATCCCATGCCAGCGAGGTTCCTAAAGGTACTCCAATATATACAGTTTCATAGGTTTTTTTGAAGGGTTGATGTAGAGTTTCTTTAGGGTTCAATTAGGGTTTCTTTAGGGTTTTTTCTAGTGTTTCTTTTTTTTTTTGAGGGGTAAGTTTCTAGGGTTCATGTAAAAAGTGACGAGAACCAGTTTTGGAGGACAGCTTCTCCGCACACGGTCAGCAAGGACGTCGACATCTATATAGTATCATCTAGTATCATCTAGTATCATCTAGTATCATCTAGCATCATCTAGTATCATCTAGTATCATCTAGTATCATCTAGTATCATCTAGTATCATCTAGTATCATCTAGTATCATCTAGTTATTGGATCCACAACTAGAAAGCCACAGAAAGCCACATAAAGCCAATAAAGGTCACCAAAATTAGGCTTCCGACAATCATCCCGAAAGACAAATTGGGGCATAGCACGAGTGCCGGCCCCCAAAAAATCGAGTTGTTTGATATCACCAACATAGAGGTCACATCCTTTTCATCATTCTATAAATGGGTGATGTTTCACCGATTTCAAACCGGATGCTTTTGGGCCCTTTTTTAATGCGGGAAATCCCCAAAACGTCCCCAGGCTGTTTGGGCGTTCACCTCCATCGATGGCTTCCGCGCCGGCCTTCGCTTGAAGCCTGTGGAAGGCTATGGGGGGTTCCATTGGGGGTACCCAATAGCTGGATGGTTTATGTCATGGAAAATCCGATGAACAAATGGATGAAAAATGGGGTAGCCCTATTTTGGGAAACCTCCATATGTTGCCTCTATATGAATCAGCTGACGCCAATTTTAAGTTTGACGGACCTCTGAGTTGCTTGGAATTTCTCATAGAACCCCAACAGAATGATACGATGGAAGATATGGACGATTTTTCAGTTGCGAGTTCGATTTTCGAACATCTTTGCAACGAAGTTCCATTTTTGTGTGAAACTGCATCGAAAGTTGATCAATCATACAAATTATACAAACCGTTCTATTTTTTGGGGGACCCCACAATTAGGAGATTCCGGGAACAACTTCCCAGCACCCTAGGAGCGACGCCAGCTGTCTTTGCAGCAGCCCGGATGGTGCCCAGAGATGGAAAGATCCTGGCCATCTTTCAGGTGGGGCAGAGCACCTTTGAAACTACCATCCTCCCAGAAGTGGCTTGAGATGAGTTTTGTTTATTTGTTTGAACTTGTTTAAACAAATTATAGTACATTTGTAGCAATATGTGTTTTTTGTTTGAATTGTTCTATTGGATATTGGATATTATGTTTGGTAAGTATTCCCCAGTTTTGTTCGCACGTTTCGTGATTGAATGCACGATTTTGATCAGTTATACTCTAGTAATCAGCCACGGCCATAAATAAATCACCTATTTGCAGATGATTTACATATATATGGGATGCAAATAGGTGATTTATGCCATACAATATCTATAAAAATGATGATGCATCATTGTGATGGGAAAACAACTGAACATCTCGGAGAATAATCCATCCAGATAAGATGCAGCTGAGTGTATTGTAATGTTAATCCCAGTATCCCCAATGACTTGGGAGAAACCAGTGGGTTACCCCAGTTGCTAGCCCCCCTCCGTTGCTAGGCAAGCTGGGACATGGGACATCCCCGAAGCGGAGCTAGCCGGGAAAATCAACCAGGGGGAATTGCCATGGATAATCATCCCATTTTATGGGATCCAAGTTGAGCAAGACGCCTACCAGACTTTCCCCATGAAAGTCGCCATTTCCCCAACATCAGCAAATTTCACATGAAAGTCACCATGATTTTTCTTGGTGACATCTCCACTTTTTCATGGTGAAGTCAGGTGAAAGTCACCCATTTTCGGCAACAGAAAATCACCATTTTTAGTGAAACCAGGTTAATTTGATGGTTAAGTCCCCATTTTATTTGATGGTTTTATACCGTTGGTTCTGTACCAATCCCCATTAAATTTGATGGTTATGTCCACATTTCTCCAGGTGGACAGCGAGCTCCGGACCTGCCGGCACTGCGACCTGGAGCGCCTGCCGCTGCCGGTGGAGATCGAGCTCAGAGCCTGCGAGGAGCGGTTGATTTTTGGTCACTGGGGGTACCCCTTTATCGCTGGTTTATGTCATGGAAAATCCATCTATAAATGGATGATTTATGGGTACCCCTATTTTAGGAAACCACCACATGTGTATATATATATACTGTATATATGATGGGATATACATCACCGTATTTTCCTATTTTCCTGAAATGACAATGAGATATAGGCCCTATAGGCAAACCAGACCTTAATCTGATATATCACATCAACTTATATAATATGATGTTTGGGTTTGGTACCTGAACATATATCAGTCATGATCAGGGTAATCCTCATCTTTTTCATGACAGATAGCACAGTTTTCCGACACTCCCTGAATGGAGGTTTAAGCATGCAAAATAGCAAGTTTTCAGCATGCTTAAACAACATTAAACAACAAACATTGGGAGCTTAACCAAACAACAATGCTGGTTGAAAAAAGAACTTAAATGGGTTTTGCATGGATCCACACCCCATTCGTCTCACAGAAAAACGGAATGGTTTTTATCAGTGTCTTGCCATTTCCTGCTTTCAGCAGATGTTTTTTGGGTTGTCCATGGTTGTCCTTAAAAGATATCCCCTTTGGGGTTCCAATCCATGCCCAAAAAATCATTCCGTGGGTTTTTTCCAGGAGCTGCCGATCTTGCAGCCTGAAGAGGTGTGATTTTTTGTGGTTTCCGGTGGAAAATGGGGGATACCCAACCCACAACTGTTGGTTTCTAATAGAAACTCCGATTCAAATGGATGCTAAAATGGGGTTACCCCCCCATTTTAGGACAGCTCTAAATATAGTCATGCTATGTGTATATGTATATCATTGGTATTGTATATCATTTTATCATTCTATACAATGTGGATGTACTCTTACCATTCAGAGAATTTTCCGAATCATAATTTCTTGTAACAGTAGAGATGAAAATTGTCCCATCCCAATTGTTTTTCCTCAGAAACCCCTGCTTTAGTACTGGATCCCCATTTTTTACGGCGGGCATGGGAGCCAGTGCTTGCTTGAGAAACCCCATTTTTCGAAATCACAGGACTTAACTGTTCAGCGAGAGATGTGGTTTGAGCAAAACTTGAAACGGATTCATGGAATATATATATATATATACACGGTATACGAATATATATATATATTTATTTATGCATACAGTATGGTACTTCAGTACTTCAATGGATGGTATAAACCATGAAAAATGGGGGGGGGGGTTTTACAGTCTCGTTTTAACCACTACCTGGCCTTGCAGGTGGTGCGCACAGAGCTGGTGAATGTGGGTGGTGAATTTGAACATCATCTGATCCTCAGGAGCCCGGCTGACCTCTCGGCTCAGTGCTGATTAGCAATAGGCAAGAGGACTTAACGGCATTGTCCATATTTCTTGGATTTTTGGATTGGCAGTGTATCCGAAGTGTTCCAACATGTCACAAGAATTGGAACAGCTCCAGTCGCAGCTCCCATGACTCCCATGTAACAGTGGATCTAACTATAGGTGTTTCTTGGAATTTGGAGTTGTCCATGGCTTTTCCATGGCTTTTTCCCATGGTTTTCCACGGTTTTCCCCATCAAACATCACTAAGGGATGAAAAAAATGGAGGGTTTCTGGCAGGATGGAGACGGCCAGCGTCATCTCGAGGCGATGGCTGGATGGTTTATACATAAATTGGGACCGTTTGACCCCCATGACTTAGACCTCCATGTACAAGTTTCCGCAGTTTTCCCCCCTTTGTATACCATGCATATCCATTAGTCTCTGGTAATGAAACATGGCTTGCTCGAAATTCCATCATCTCGTTCGATGATTTGGCTAGAAACCTCCATGGCTTCGCTTTCCCAGCCACGTTTGACACCGGAGGGTATCACTATTCATTGAGAATAATTCCACTATATTCCACTCATCTACAAATCATATTCATACCATTGATCTACCATCAGTCCATCAGCATCAGTTTTTTTTACCCCAGTTTTCCCCTTTGGATACCAGTCCTGGAGGTTTCCTACAATAGGGGTACCCCCATTTTTCATCCATTTATAGATCAGACTTTCCATGAACAAAAACCATCCAGCGATTGGGGTACCCCCCATGACCATGGAAAAAAAACAGATTCATCCATATTCCATTGCACCATTCATACACCATCAGTGTATTAATATACCATATACCCCATCCATTTTCGTGGGAATCGACCGCTTTTTCCATGGTCTTTCCCGCTTTTTCCTCGCCGAGATCCAGCGAAGCGGGTCGAAGCTCGGGGCGGAGCGTGTTGCTGGACGGCCCCGCAGGACCTGCGACTCGGCAGGGGAACTTCAAGGATAGGATGGTGGTACTTTATAGGGGGAGATGGGATTTTTTCTGATACTGAATTACTTATGGTGAGTTAGTGGTGATTTGAGATTATATGATATGACTTAATGATATACATGGAGTTTTATGGTGAGTTAATAGTGATTTCAGCGAAAAAAGACTCGTGATTTAGCCATTAACGATTCTGTGTTTAGCTCTCAAACATGGGGATTGGACCAACGATTTTCATGGTGGGAACCAGTGGGAACCATTGGGAATGGGACAATAAAGGGGATATTCCATTATGGGAATAATGAAACAATAATGGGAATAATGGTATGTAACACTAAGGGGATATCCCATTATATTTCCCAAACAATAAATGAATATACGTTTGATACAGACTCCATGCAGTTATTCATGGTATGTATCAGACGTGTCAAAATTGTCCCATTATGAATATGATCATGTAATTCATATAGTTCGGGATCAGACGTATGGGTGACTTGAACTCTCCATGGAGTTTATTAGTGGTGATTTCATGGTGATTTAGCGACAACTGGTGATAAATTTCATCGGATTGCCCCAACCCGGAATCAAACAGATGGAAAATCCCATCCTACCCTCTGGTAAACGTTTACATAACGAACTGGAAAGATCCACCATGCTATTAATGGGTAAATCCACTATTTCTATGGCCATTTTCTATGTCGCAAACTGTAAACGTTTACCAGAGGGTACTAATATGGGCAAACGGGAGACCAAACTAAATTGCTGATTTTCCAGCCAGGTTTGATTGAGGCTAGTTACAGCTATTCGTACGCAGAAAGTCATGGAAGTGTTGATATTGGACCTGTCACTTTTTCCAGGACTGGAAATCCTTGATGCATTGGAAATGCATGTTAGTGAACTAAATCATGGAAAATTGTTATGAGGATTCACAGCTACGCTAATGGGACACACTATTATTACCATCTGGTTATTTGTTACATAGCCATGGACAGATCCACCATTTTTAATAGGTAAACCATCTATTTCTATGGACCATTTTCCATGGCTATGTTAAATAACCAGAGGGTACTATTACTATTGGTATACCAATGAGGGTTTATCCCACAAGCAGAAAGACATATTGGATAGACAATACTTGAGGATACAATACGACATGACATGACCACAATGGAAACAACTAGCAAGTAGTCTGAGTCTAAATCTTTGTAAACCTGTCCAAAACACAGGAAATTCCTACTCGTTCGGACACTCGGATTCTTACGGCCATCTTGGATTCGCGTCTCAGAAAGGGAAAAAACTGGCACACGCGAAAAAATGGAGAAGTTACTTTAGGATCAACTCAGTTTGTCCAAAATGATATACCCCCAAAAATTGCCATTCGGATGGGAAAACATGGAAAATGATTTCGTCTCCAGATTTCGGGGATCCCCTCTTTTCATTCAAACTGTGGATTCAACTGTCATGTTTCAGAACGGCAGGGTGGACATTCCTTCCCTCATTTTTCTGCAGGCTTTTCCCCTGTTGGTCGACACAGCCAAGGTGCAAATGCCGCGCGTCACCGAAAGCGAATTTCGCAGCTATGCTGCAAGAGGGATGGTGTTTGGGGCGCAAGATTTGATCAATGGAGACCTTTTTAAGGACAATCATCATGAGCATTGGCATTTGATGTTCGAGTTTCATTTCTTTGCCAAATTCAGGCTAAATGGGATTTAAGTGTCAAACAAAGTCGATTGACAAAATGACACAAATGACCTAAAATGACCTAAAATGACATAACATGACATAACATGACATAAAATGACGGCAATGTTGGTCATGTTTTTTAGTTTGACATTTGCCTGGTGAGTCCATCTTTTTCTCCGTCCCGGAGTCGAGGCATGAGGACCAAAGTTCCTCGTGGGCTGCCATTCTATGCTGACTACCAGCGGGAGAACCCCAAACTCATGGAGGCGATCACTGGGATCACCGTGTTTCCACCAAAAAAAAAGAGGTGTGCCCATTATGCAACGGGTAGTATAGTAAGAATAGCATAGTAATATATGATCCAGATATATCATAGATGCATATAGATGCAAGTACAGTCATATTATATCTATGATATATGATTCTATCTACAAAAAAAAGATTGTATCTACGGTGTATGAGTATATCTACAATATTAATGACTATCGTAAATATGTTGGGAGATTAACATGCAGCATTATGCAGCTGGATAAACTATATCTATTACGATTCAGCATGATAGACTTGGGGTCGCCCAAAACTAAATCCACATTCCAGCACAATTCAAGAGCTGGATGATGAACTTGTGGATTTTGGACTGTCCTTTGTTTCCGGAGAAACTTTTCCGCTGGCTGAATAGCATCGTTGCCGCGATTGCTGATCAAATTTCCTGGTATTGGGATGGGTTTTTCACCTTGAATCCAGGATCTAGTTGCTGGAGATCCAGAACTAGCGCCGAAAATGATCTTCCCCTCTATTTTGATCCACATATTTGTTGCTTACGGAACGCTTTTCAAAAGGATCTTTGGAGATAAGCTTTTGACCCATAACATGCTTGGTGATCCCATGATTATCCCAACAAATATCCCAGTACATATCCCCATTCTACGGCCATGATACCGTTGGTTCTGTACTAATATAACGGTTTTTCACCCCAGCTTGTTGCAGGAATGCTTTCTCTTGGACTGGTCCAGGGCCAAGGTTGCACGCATTGTCTTCCTGGCGGAATTCGGGGATCAAAACCGATGGTTAACATAAAACTGCTGCGAACTTCTAGTGAGTTCATGGGATTAACACATATTAACACCTATGATTTTCCATACGGATGAAGCTCCATCACTTCCAGCTATGGCAGCGTGAAGGGGTGAAGGAAATCGCAGCCTTTTCCTGGTTGGCCAGGTGGGGAAAGCCAGCGAAAAGGATCGCAAATCCACCGAGGAGTGTCTCGGCAAATCAGCAAAAAATGGCGTGTAAAATCACTGAGTTCCAGGATTTTCCCATCTGAATCATCTGAAAATCATCTGTCCATTTGGCGCTTTCCATAGTCATGATGTCATGGGGGGGTACCCCTTTATCGCTGGATGGTTGATGTCATGGAACAGCTTATTAAAATAAATGATTTAGGGGTACCCCCATGACTATGGAAACCCCCATTTTGATTGGGGATTCCTGCCAAGTTTGGCTGAGGGTACACTGTCACAAAATCTTGCCCTGCGAACATAGAAAAACAACGTGTGTGGCTAATCTATGTTCATGGTACCAAGATGTACCAAGTGAATATTCATATTTTCCAGAAGAGTTCAACAACCAGATCCTTTCGGCCCCGACTTCGAAAGGCTTTCTTCTTCCAATTGTCTCTAACACCATGGCATTCGGAAGCTGCCATGGCAGTGGACACCAAGTTTTCCCCCATAGTTTGGTGTTTGGGTGCCATGTACCTTGGTATACCTTGGATCATCAAGTCAATGGATTGGTTTGTTGGGGAAAATCTTAACCGGAAACCATCGATTTTCCCAGTTTTTCTATGGGGCTTTCCTGTAAATATTGATCAAGGTCCCCAAGAAAGCATCTCAATGTTCCTTTAACAAGTCAACAAAGGGAGAGTGTTTCTTGAGTGAGCCATGCACATCCAAATAAATGCCTCGTGGCACCAGCGCATAGCGGCATAGCATGATGGGTTGACGTGCGTCGCGTTAAGAGTTGGATCAAGGACATCCATTTCGCATTGGGGAAATGGTCATCAATCCATTTTTCGGGATTTCAAAGCCATTAAATCAGGAGGAAAGATGAAACATAAGCCATTGTTTCATAGGGGATGGGCCCAGGTTTTTAGTTGTTGATACCTCCTTTTTTAAGCCCTAGCCATAGTTCATCAATATCATCAATCTGTTGTTCTTTGTTTCGATTGATATTTCAATCGCCACTTTCAATTGAGGATTCTGATAAGATTACCATCTGGTTATTTAACAGTTCGCCATGGGAAATGGCCCATAGAAATAGATGGTTTACCGAACTTAAAAATGGTGGATCTTTCCATGGCAAACTGTGAATGTCATAATCAGGTGGTATATTCATTAAAATCACCATATATTATCCCCTTATCATCATCATGGCTATGTTAAAATCACATTATAATCAGGTGGTAGACCCCAATTCACAGACCCGGCGGTTTTTCCAGGGTGGTCTTGGCTCACTACCGTCGTTTCGTGGCCCTCTTCCGGGAGCTCTCGGTGAGCGGCAACGACGCGGGCTTCGGAGGTGTCACGCAGCTGGAGGCGGAGGGAATGAAGGGAGAGGAAGATCCAAAGAATCATGGCTTGATCTTGCTTGATGCTTAATTAACATTAATAAACTATATTTTCTAAAAATTTCTATAATATACTGTATATATATATAGTTAGCGGACACCTTGTTCATCGGGAACAGGTGCCATTCTGCCCCCCACATTCATTTTCACAAATGCATTTGCTGATAGAAAATTCACTAAAATAACAATCATTTTACCCAAAATTGATCAACACTATTCTCAAAGCTATTCTCATTCAATTTGGGGGATTTCATCAAAGATAAAAAGAATGGCACATTCCCAATGAACAAGGTTGTCCTTATTCATTTTTAACAAACATTGATAACATAATTAAGTACAATTATTTTATCAAAGCATCATCATTTTTCATCGGTAGTATCTGGTGGAATTAAACCACGTCTTATCAAACTTTGTCTTCGTAGTTCTGGATTGTGCCAAAACATTGTTTTCTTGATTTCCTAAATTTTGTCTTGGCCTTCTTGATAATATTTCTGCTTGAACTCTGGTGTAGGTGCTTCTTCAACTAATCTCTTTCTAGTTGTTTAACAGGCCCTTCTTTGTGTTCTTGTTTTTCAAAATGATCATCCCAGAGTGTTGGATCTCTTCTCTTGTTGCAAACCATACAATATATATAATCTTTGGTTGTAACATTTTTGTAGTAAACACGTTGTGTTCCAAGCATTGTTTGCACGATTTCCTTCCTTCATCAAACTCATCAATACGTTTTTCTTTTTTTGCATCTAATGCAACTCTTTTTCTCCATTCTGCTGTTATATTAAGGTAATATGTCTTTAAATGCTTTCTGTCAAAGGATTAAATCAAATCAATTTGTAAGTGTCTTCAAAATCATTTTTAATAATTCTGTAATATTGAAGCGTAGTCGGTTTTGGCATAGATATTTTTCCAGAAGTAAGCATATCAAAATATTGTTGCCTTTTTGATTCGTATGTCCCAGCAGGTCTACCTACCGGTTTTTTCTCAACTGGTTCAGTTTTGTTACTACCCAGTTTTTCATCAATATTTTTCATCATCTCCAGAATTAGTTTAATATTGTTGTTGCAACGATTGAGTTTCTTGACTAGATCATTCATTTTATCCACACCGTCATCTGGATCACTCATAAATATATATATATATATTAAATTAGATATTTATTTATCAGTTTAATCCATATCATTAAACTCTGGTTGAATTAGATATTTGTCATTGATTGGGGTTTGTTTCTTACTTCTGGGAGTGTTCATAACATCACTTATCATTCTGTTAGTGCTTTCTGCTTTTTTATCTTCTGGTGTTATTTGGCGGTTGAAAGAAAAACTGATGCTATGCTCTTGACTGTCCAACTTAATATCACCGTTATCATCTCTACTAACATTCATTGTTTTATCGTTTTTGCTGATTTTGAAACTGCACGGGTGACATTTACATTTGATACCTTTAGGGGTTATTTCAATTTCATTTCTTATCTGCAGTCTGGTAAAACAATGAGGACATTCAAAGGTGATAGATTTACTTGATACTTTTTGATCCTCATCCAGTTTAATTGTAGTGGGTTCGTCATCAGATAGTTCAAAATCCTCGGGGATGGGTTTTCTTTCAATACTTTTTTTTTTCTCTTGGGTGGCATCTATCTTTACCTTGAAATAGTTTATCATCATTTTTGCAAGTTCCAATGTGAACTGACAGCATTTCTTAATTTTATTATCTTGAATTACTGGAAATTTATCATTGTTAGAGATTCTGTCCTCTATCACATCAATGGTGTTAATATATGAGTCATATTCAGATACCGTCATTGAAAATAATTAGATTTTATTATGTAAAATCTAATTGAAAATAATTAGATTTTATTATGTAAAATCTAATTGACAATAATTAGATAATATTATGTAAAATCTAATTATTTGTTTTTAGTTGTTTTTCTTGCAATTTTTTGTTTCCAAAGGACGGGGTCATGTGCTGGGTAGAGACTGTAAATGGTGGTCAATCCAAAAGGAAAACATGCTTCCAAACTAATTCGCGACACTATGGACTTTTCACATCTTCTATTGCTTGTTTTTGTCGGCGCCTTTAAAGAAGCATTCCCAAAACTAATTAACATTCTTATGATGGATTAATGTGTCTTTATCTGTTTCTCTTCTGTGCGGTATAAAGTCCCATTAATAATATTAACTATATTTATTTTCTAATTGTTTTTAATGACAAAATTAGAAACTCCTAACATACAACCTATTGATGAAGTCAAATATATTTATGAAGAAAGTAAGTATAAAGTAGCGCCTAAAATTCCATTTCGTGCTTTGATTACCGGACCGTCTGGTTGTGGTAAAAGTAATCTTTTGATTAATATGATTTTGGACATTATAAAAATTCCTTTAGTCGTATATTTATTTGGTCGCCTTCAATAAATGTTGATACTATTTGGTTGCCCGTAAAGAAATACATAAAAGACCAAATGAAAATCGACACAGATAAAGAGCCTTGTTTCTTTGAAGAATTTAATCCTGAAGATATGGAAAAGATAATAGACACACAACATAAAGTCATAGAATATCAAAAGAAACACAAGATGAAAAAACTGTTTGGTATATTATGTATTTTGGATGATATAAGTGATGACCCTAGAGTATCCAGACATAATAAACTGCTAAACTCACTTTACGTGAGAGGAAAACATAACAATATCTCTATTATCACAAGCGTTCAAAAGGTCTCAACAGTTCCACCAACAATTAGAGTTAATGCTACACACCTTTTCTTTTTCAAGGTCAGAAATTTCAAAGAGATTGAAATACTACAAGATGAATTATCTGAAAGCAAGAAAATGATTTATCAGTTGTATGAAGTTGCTACACAACAATGCTATAACTTTCTTTGTATTAACCTTCTTGAAAAAGACCCTCAAAAAATGTTTATGATAAATTTCACACACTACCTACAAATTGAGGATTAAACACCAAAATAATTTACGATCATTAGTTTAATAATAATTTTACTATGTTATTCTTAAATTAATGAATACGAACACAAATTAATAGCAGGTAGCTTATACATTATCCTATCGCTTTTCTTGTCCTCTATTTCCTTAATCTTTTCAGACATTTATGTTATTGCTTTTATTTGTAGTTTATCTATTTTACTAATATCTAACTCATCTTCATTTATATCGTTTATTTCTTCCATACAAGTATTTTTAACTGTAGATTGTTTAGAACCCACATATATATATAGACACATTATATTATATGTTTAGACTTTAGATTTTGCTTTTGCTTTAGGTTTAGGTTTAACTAGTTCTTTTAGTGCTTCTTGTAACTCATACACCGATGCTTCTAGATGTTCTATCTTTTGTTGTTGCTCCCTCACAGCACCCCATAATATAGCATTCATTTTGATATTAATATAATTTAGTTGCTTAATACCTTCATCATTTTCTAAGACTATATTTTCCCACTCACTAGGTATTTCATTAATTAAATCATGAATCATCAGCAACAAAACCAATATGTTTTTTTGTTATTCCTATTTCGTTTTCATCAATCATTTTGAAAGTCTTGGGTTCAATTGCTTTGACAATGTCAGTCATATTATGTTCAACTGCTTTGATGTCATACTTTTTCTTTTTATCAGATGTATCGACCAACTCCCCAGATAACGTAGCACCTGCTACAACTGTTGTATTTTGTCTTAAATTCAAAACAGTGCCTGACATATCAATTACTAAATTACCTCCACAATATATGCGATTTGACCCGAAGTATCACTATTTACTAATGAAATTATCTTAACATTGCTTTCTACGAAACTCTGGATATAGCATTCTTTTGAAGTAGTTGTATTTAAGTATAACTTTTTACCTTCACTAACCTCGGAATCGGTTTTAATATGTAATCTTTCTGGTATGTGTTCATAGGTCATATAAACAGTTCCACTTGCTAAACCAGCAGATATACAACCCCTAAAATCAGTATCACTATCAGCAGTCCTATTAGCAAAGGTATTAGCAAACATCCAACTGGAAGAAATACCAACATTGCCATCATTTACTAACAATAAATTTTCTGGACCATTAGTTACAACATTAGGACCTTGTAATCTGAAAAAATCAATCCCGTTTCTATTGAAGACTACATCATTATCACCAGCAAAACTATCAAATGAATTACACAAAACCTGAGGTAATGATAATTCAACTGTTGATGTTAAACCAGTCTTGAAAATCTGAAAGACATCCAGCACATCACCAACACCAAACGAAATAATGCCATTATCAACATTTTCGGTGTTTCTAATTCTTAATACATTATAATTGACCAAATCAAAATATGCCTCTTCATATATAAAGGATGTTTCATTACCCCCTAACAATTGTATTTGATTACTTGTATTCAATTTAAATATATTAACGTCATTTCTTTTGAAGACCAAATCAACATTAGTAGCATTTTTTGTATTGATGACATCAGTTTGTAATTCAGTATGACATACGACATCTACATTAAAATATGCCTGTGTTAATGACAATTGAAATTTTAAGTGTTGAGGAAACGGACTACCACCAACATAAAACCGATGTAATCCACCAGAAGCAAAAATACAATAATCATAAGCAGTATTGCCACTTCCTATATGAATAGAACGAACATAGCCTTTACCACTTCCTAAATTAATTGTTGCCCCGAGGACTAACTCTATACTTGAAAGAAAATAAGCAGAACCATTAATCGTTAAATCAAAACTACCAAATTGAGCACCACCACCTATGACTATATCACCTTCTATTGTTTGTAATGTTTCACCTGTATATTTGACACCGTTCGCTCCATCTGTTGATAATGATATACCACTGTTTAAATCTAATGTGTTATTTCTTAAATAAAAGAAATCAATAGTGTTTCTTCTAAAATTAACATCGGCATTACCTATACTATCATAAGTGTTTGATTTAGCACCTTTTGTCATCTCTAC